TCAGTTATTTTAAGTAAGGCAGTTGTAGTGCTGTGACCAGGACGAAAGCCGGACTGAAAAGTACTCAGCAGGTTATGTTTATATATGAAATTGGAAATTTGCTTATGAACACAGGCTTCCAAAACTTTAGATAGGAAAGGTAAAACCGATATGGGACGGAAGTGATTGGGAAGTGTTGGATTGGATACTTTAGGAAGGGGTCTAACGAAAGCATTTTTCCACTGACTCGGAAACTGACCCGAGTCAAGCGAAAAATTAACAATATGTGTGATTGCGGAGATAATGTGTTCTAGAATATTAACAATCATGGCTCTGCTAATATCATCGCAACCGACAGCCTTGGATTTTATTGCCAGAAGGATCTTTCTGATTTCATCCTGATCTACAGGGTTAAAAAGAAAGACTGGTATGTGTGGAGACGGAATTGAGGCTATGTAAGCGACTGTTTGGGATCGGATTGAAAGGTCCAATGCAGAAGCAGAAGCAAAATGAAGATTTAAAGCATCGTGAGAAAGCGATAAACCACAATCCAAAGAGGGTGTTTTGCCCACACCTAGAGAACTAAGAAATTTCCACACATCAGCTGGCGAAGAATTACTTATATTGCTATGGATAAATCGGCGTTTTGCAGAACGTACCATCTGATTGCATCTGTTTCTGGCCTTCTTAAAAGACAACCAGTTTTCCTCAGATCTGCTCCTCTTGAACCGGGCAAATGCTCGATTTCGCCTAGTCATGGCCTTCCGTACCTCTTCAGTTATCCAGGGAGCTGGTGGCCGTCGTAGTTTCACTTTACGTACAGGAGCATGGATATCATACAAAACATGAATTATGTTATTGAAAATAGTTACTTTATCATCTACTGTTGATGCAGTTGCTAATGGCGTAAAATCTATAAGCGATGCGTCTTTCAAAAGCTTATCCATATTAATTCTACTAAAATTACGTAGGAATAGTACAGTAGGTCGATATTTGGGAGGTTTGAGGTTGTATGATACATAAATAAGATCATGGCGGGAAAATCCCGGCGCTTCAAGTTGCCCATATGACAGCACCCTGTCAGAGGGGTCAGTTATAATGAGATCAATCAGAGAGTCATCAGTGTCTATATTATGATGAGTTGCCTTTAAAGGAAGAATGTTGAGATTGACAGACTCAATGATTTTACGAAGCTTTTGAGACCGGACTGAATTTTTCAGTAAATCCGTGTTGAAATCTCCCATGATTATGCAGTGGGTGTACTCAGAACCAATGTTATCAAGAGCCTCTTCTAAATTGGCGAAGTAATCAGTGGAAGGAGGACAATACACTGCTCCAAGAATCATCCTTGAGCCCTTTACATCAAGTTCTATAAAAAGAAATTCTGCGGAAGCAGTGTAAGGAGAAGGGGATGCTAATATGATTTTGTAGGAGATAGTAGCGTGGAGATATATTGCAACCCCACCTCCTCCTTTATCTATACGATCATTCCTAATCAGCACAAACCCAGGAAGAGGATACAATGCCGAATTTAAAGACGGTTTCAACCAAGTTTCTGAAACTAAGATAGCATGTATATTGTTGTTAGAGAACGATGCTTCTAGCTCAGAAAAGTGGCTGGGAATGCTTTGTGCGTTAATATGGCAAACATTTAACGTTCTATCAAAAAAGTGAAAAATGCTATTCAATTGGCTACTTAAAGAGGGCACACTATAATTCATCTGATCGTCAAACGATTCAAAAGAACTCTCTGACTCAATAGAATAAAAAGAGTCAGAGTCAGACATGATAAGTTAAAAGCATAATATACCCAATATAAAAATAAATAAAATAAAAATATATAAAAATACGATATTAAATAAAAATATTTGTCAATAATATATATAACAAAAATACTACCAAGATATAAAAAAAAACAATGACCTAAATAGTAATAAATCATTAAACATCATCCCACCAGTTAACTGTTTACATAATATAATCAGTACTAAATAACAAATAAAACAATTGTACATAACTATCAATTAAAAAAAAAAACATAAGCTAAGTAATTAAATAGCGTGCCAACACAGTGATTCAATTATAAACAAAAATAACATAAATATTAAAATAAGACAACTAAATATTTTAATAGCAGGGCTTTACAGAATTAATCGAAAAATTTGCAATAAAAATCAGCTTAATCACAAGATTTTGAAACCCAATTAGTTAAAAACATCCAGAAAATTTAAATCTCACAAGAGTACATAATTCAGCTGTGTGGCAAAAGGATCTGTGCCCATGTTACCATTACTATGTTGACAGTAAAAGTTATTATCTATGGTCAACAGTCTTTGCCCTGTCTTTGCAACTGTCTATGCCTAGCTCTAGCATCTACGGACTACAATAACATTTATCTATGATAATTGGTTACATTTTAACACTTTTACATGATAAAAATTATAAACACAAACTAATTTACTAAAGTTTACAAATATAATTAAAGTTACTACAGTATAACAATAAAAAATTAAACTAGCTAATAACATAAAACTATTGGAATATGAATAAAGGAAAATACTAAAGACAAGTTATAGCAAATTAGTTACATACAATTGGACTACAATCGATTTATATTCTTGTCTAATGCTGCCGGTTAATAAAACTAAAAATAGTTATTATGTTACCAGACAAAGTAGACTATAATAAAAAGAAAAAATACGAAAGGAGATGAACATAACCAAAATATGATAACAAGAATAACAAGGATATCTTGGAAAGTTAATAGCAATGTAGGAATTACTTCTTGCCTACCAGTCGTCTAGATCTCTTTACGTCATCAATTTGAGTTACCGCTGAAGTTTGAGTGCGACGTGCTGCATCATTTTGCCGATTCGAAGAGCTCTGCTGCGCTGGGGTGACCTTTGTATTAGGAGCCTTGTTAGAACTCTCAGGGGAACCATCCATGGGGTACTTGGCTATTAGATCGTCCAATTCCTCCTCAGTGGAAATCTTCGTTCGGCCTCCCGAGTGCTTTACATAGATTGCACCATCAATTGTCCAGACATTTCTAATTCCGAAATGCTTACGGGCATTCTTATGTATGGACTGACGAAATTTAGTGAGGAATTCACACATTGAAATGGCAGACCCTTTAAACTTTGATTTTAAATTCCAAATCGCAGACTTAGTGCTATGATCATTAAAGTGCACAAGAATTGGCCTTGGACGGGTACTGGATTGAACACCAAGTCTGTGGCATTTCTTGAGAGAGTCATCAGTAATATGAGTTAAACCCAGATACTTGTGCAACAGTTGTAAAATTTGCTGTTTTAGGTCAACTTCAGAAGCCTCAGCTAATCCATGAAAAAGCAGAACTTTTCTCCGGTGATACATACTGATTGCATCAACACTTTTGTTGCATTCCTGAATTTGCTGTTGCAGCAGGCTAAACATGGAACTAACAAGTACCTTGAATGAATCAAACTCCTCCCGAAGCTGTGAAACTGTTGGGTTAGTTGGAGTAGTTGCAGCCTTCAGACGTTTCTCAAACTCCATCATCTTCCTGGTCAAGCTCCCTTCCAATTCCTTTTGGATATTCACAACTTCAGAGACATTTGCCATTGTAGTAAAGTGAATTAACCGAGGAGAGATAGAAAAATAGTAATTTATATTTAGTGTGACAGAGGTTATGGAGGGAAGATGAATATAAATATTTTAACTAGATTAAATGCACATTCCTATAATTGATAATAATGCTAAAACTTATTCTTCCAAATTGGAGTAAAAAATTAAGCAGCTAAGTTAATTATACTTATTTTTAAATGTAAATAAAACACAAGAGATAATTTCAGCTGTTATCTGTTTTGCACCTACCCTCGAAAAAAAACCCTATTTTTCCACCCTAAAAGGTTAAATTTTTTCTTCCAATTGAAATGGAATACTTTAAAAACATTGTGATACAGATGTGAACGACAGCGTCCGGAAGGTACGCCTTATGTGAAGGTTTATCGCCCAAATCGGCGATATTTTAAAAATGGGCCACATTAGGAGTACCCTTAACCGACGAGCGTGAATGCTTAGATATATGGATGTAAAGGAGGCGAGAGAGGTATGTCAGTATCGTGAAAAATGGAATTCCGTAGTCTGGCTACCCCTCTGAGTGACCGGCGTGAGTATTTATGTCATGTTTTAATGTGGATGCTATCAAGAAAAGTAAGAGTTTTATGTTTTTAGTTTTACGTTTAATTTCAAAGCCTAAATATATGTAGTGACAAATTTAAGAAACAAAAAAAAACATAATCAATTTAAAAGACCCCACGGAAAATAGTTATAAGATAAGATATTTTGATTTAGGTTTCATACATAAGAAATTAAAAAATTTAAACAGTCATTTTCACCAATTTATGTTACTTAATTTATTACAATAATAGTCCGCTTAATACGTTAAAATAACCTTAATCGTTGCCAACAATACCAGAGAATCGAAAACCTCCGTCAACATTTTTGGTAGTGTAATTCAAATGAATATATCATCGTAGTTGGATCTCTTGTCCTAATAAGAGAACGCAGCAAACCTCCACTTTTATGGCTACTGAGTCGAGTCACACAGGCGGAAGCATGTTATGAACACATTCGTTAATAACCGGAAATAATATCATCTATGACACGGTGACTATATTAATATCATCTACGATACGGTGACTATATCAACTGTGTCACGATCCCTCTTTTTTTGAAGGGACGACTGTAACGGTCGACGAAATAAAAAAGAAACTTCTCTCATTTATCAGCGCTTTTAATTTATTCATATAAGCAATAAAAAATAAATTAGACCTATCAGTAACTAAACGGTTTTCTAAGATGCATTAAACAAAAACGAACCTTAAAATTTGAAGCTCATTTTTGCATTGAGAACCCAAGTCTCCAGAAGCAGCAATTGCATACAAGTATGACGCGTCTGGCGGCGAGTCGACCATATCAAAGAGAAGTCGACGACCCGTCCACCGAAAAAACTGACTATCCAAATAAAATCGACTAACCTGAGATCCTGTAGGAGTGCTTCTCCCTGTGCGATGGTGGCCGCACAGGCATCCAGGCTGGCGGCACGATGTTGCGCACATTGCTCCAAAGCACGACGCGCCGCTTCGGGACTGTCGTCCGAAGCACAAACGCCGCCACCGCTACGGAGCGTCTCCAACCATTGAAGCAACTGAACAAATAAATTTTTTGATCAAATTTCACAATTCGAAACAACTTACAATAATGAAATAGCTGTAACTTGAGATATTAAAAAATAAAATAAACGCTTTTTTGCTTTGATATACACAATTCAATAGATGTCAATGATCTTTATTAAAAATAATTTTCTTAATCATTTTCTATCTGCCTTGAAATTCTTCTATTTGAAGAATATGGACAGCCGGTATAAGTACAGGAACTGTAATGAAACATGCATAGATATCCGTATATAGATTCCGTCTGAACCCTCACTGACATCCCACTACTGGTGAGAAGATTTTTCGTTATTTGAGTTTAATGTGACCATCTTTTTATACTACACTCTCGACTGCTTCGGTGTCAATACCTTTCTATTTATCTTTGAATATGTAATAATAAAGTTTCATTCATACCCTATGTGACATTCCGTGTGAGGCCTATGGTCAGCAGTGGACTTGTCCAGGTTCCCGGTGTTTCGAGTACTTTACAGCACCCACGGCAGGGGGGAGTCTGAGGTGTTTGACTTCCCGATGTCATAGTTAACAAAGGCTATCTTCAACCTTTAATTATTAATTTTTGAGCTTAGAGTATCTTGAAGTCTTGCAGTAATACCACTGAATAATTATATATTTTATTTTATTAACTGTGGGATCCCAAGAAGGTAGCACCCGGCCATCTTCTTTATTGAAATTAGGATATTTTTTTAATTTCAATCGCGAATCACCCTTGGTAGGAATCGGTGTTCTTTTGCGAGGATTTGTGGTCTATCAAATCTGATATCATGGTTGGGATGACCCTGAACATGTTGACATACTGCAGACTTCTTGGAGCGTCGGTGCTTCACATCTGTGATTAGATTAAAAATTAAAATTAAATCTAAACCCAAGCATACTAGTGTAAAACTTCAAGATACTGTAAGCTTATTCAGCGTGGTTCGGATCAAAAAATAATAATTAAAAGTTGAAGATAGCCTTCGTTAACTATGACAACGGGATGTCAAATACCTTAGTCCCCCAGTAACCATGGGTGCTGTAAAAAGCACGAAACGTCGGAAATAAGAAAAGTTAAACTTATACGCGATAAAATCCGCAAAATTGGTTTTATTCCATACTTGAAGACTGTTAATTTTAAAACAATCAGACGATGAATGTTCAACTATTTTTTATGCTTAGAAATCAATTTGAAAAAAGATGCAAAAGTGCGTCTTTTATTTGTGAGGGCAGAACAGGTTACTATTTCGCTGCCTCAAAATACAGTTTGCACAGCGCATGTATGACAATACAGCTCTTGATACGGGGTCGAAGCGGGACGGGGGCAGGGAGCAACGCCGTGCATTTCATAGAGTACGGTGCACTGTGGTTCTGTGATGCAGCAGTGCAGTACTGACCTCCTTCTCGTGCGTGTAGAGCAGCACGGCGAGATCGAGGCGGCGGCGGCGACGGTCGACACGTGCCGCGAATGCTGCCACGTGCGCCTCCAGCTCGCGCGCCACGCCCAGCACCTCCTCTGGGTCGCACTCACCGGACCTCGCCAGCTCCTCAGCCGCAGAAAGAAGCTTTTCGGCGTTCGTGTACGTGTTCTGTTGGAACAAACAGAATCGTACAGTAAACAAAGGTTTAAATAGTTAGATGCGCCCTTACCATAGTATGACCACTCCGAAATGTGTCCATTCTCAAGTGAGTGAGTTCACTCATTCGCAATCAGTACTCATTTGTGCGACAGAGAAAATAGTATACACAATTTCTGTAAGATAATAAGAGATGACACTATTGCATTAGTGTGCGCGCGTCAGCGTCTTGCAAATGAACACATTCAAAAATAATGCCATAGTTTTCAAGGTGAATGCGTATCTATTTAAATCTTTGACAGTAAACACTTGTTTATGAATACTTTGTGTAGGCTTTTTTTCACTAGTGTTAATACATTAACGCCCTATTTATAATTTACAACGGAGTGAGCATTCAACGGTTCGCTACTGAGAAGTCACATTTTGCTAAATTAACTATTCAAAATTTGAATTTCTAACATTCATTACTGGACGGGTGGGTAGAGCGCAATCAAATTGTATATTTTATAACAGAATAAACGTCTGTTATTAAATTTAATATAAAAAATAAATAACTGAAGGTCATTCCCGAACCCTGACTGCACAAGAACTTATTTATTATATAGATATATTGAAAATTCTAAACCATACTCTTCACGCAATACAGCAGCCAGTGTTTGTGATTTTTATAGGGGTGATATTGTTTATCACAGTCTATCTGCTGTAAGTTGATACTTGGGCCCATAAACGTCTGTACTCAACCAAATCTAAGAAATACCTTTTGAAGTTTTAAATTAATCATTCCGCCATAACTTTTTACAAACGTACTCACACGATTTAAAATAACCTTTCATGTAAATCCAAAGAATTATTAAGTTATCTATATTTCATTACAACATATATATAATATGCATATATATCCTTTATCACGAATTTAATTTCCAATCTTTCAAACAAAACAATATATAAAAAATGTAACCAGAACCTATTTTTATGCTTGACATTGATTCAATGATATGTCCTTACATACCTTACGTGAAATTCTTAGTCAAATGACTAACATTAATTAAATTACGATACCTTGATATCGATGCATTATGTTTTCGCTAATTCTATACAAGTTCCTACCATTTTGTAAGTACTGAGTTTAAATTAATAGAATAGAATAATTTTTATTCGATATAGATTATTACATAATACTTATTGAAGATATTTTTTTATTTATTTACCACTGATTCGGAAAATACCTTAGTCCTGGGAAGAACCAGCCAGAAACCCAGAGGGCCTTTTTTTAAACATATTTCACTTTACTATAATTTTGTTTGTACAATTTTTCAATTCAAGAACCAGCGTGGTTCACCTCATACCCAGGGGTATCTTCATTTTCGTATTCTTTGATGTTGTACTAACCCCTTTTGTACAGTTTTTCTTTTATAAAACATTTAAACTTGTTTATTGACAAATTTTGTACATTTTCTAGGATTGCGTTGTAAAAGCGTATACCTACATTGATTGAAATTAATCAATTAATTTAAAAATAAATTTTAAATTAGGTATTCTCGTTTATAATAATGATATGAAACTAAAAGAACTTATGATTATTATAATATGTACTACTTACTTGTGCGACATTTTCGAAATGTTCGTGAGATTTCTGATATACACGAGCTTTATGAAGATTCCTTCCTATTCCAGTGTTTTTCTGCAAGAACTGCAGACCGTGGTTTGAAAGCCAATCCAACACCTACATATAAAAAAATAATATTAGAGCAATGATAGAATACATTTAAAAGTAGCAAATGCAATTTGTTGTCAACATCATTACGTTCTTTGCTTCCTAACTTATTTATGTAATTTATTGACCTATTATAAATTTATATACGAAGGGTGGAAATAATAAGATAAGTTAAAATGTGGTATAAACAAACTCTTTAGAATAAAAAAATACTATATGATAATAAATATGTAGAGATAGAATATCTGTAAAATACCTACATTTGTTTTTGAAACTTGTTGGCGAAAATGGAAAGTGATTAAACTACGCGTTCCACACCAAATGTTTACGAGTATATAAGCATAATTCATTTGTTTACGCATATGGCTATAGTTTGGGACGACAAAACACCTATAAATTAATAGAAACTTAGGAGAAAAGCATATTTTATAAGACAAATTTATGTATAATTTTCGAGAGCCTAAGTTAGTTTTTCTTACTTGGATGTACATTATCTCCAAAACGTAGATAGTTTTTTACAAATCTCTGGGAGCAAAGGATTCAAATCTCCAGTAGCTAAGGTCTTGAAGTAAATGCTAGCCTAGTATGTGGTGCAACTGCACTTCAATTTTTTCCATCTTGTTTGCCTACAAACACTCCAAAATCATTTGTAAAAGCAACTCAAATTTCATTTTGACATTTGTACAAAATTTCTAAATGTTCACTCCGACACGATCCGCGTGTCGTAGTGAACATTTTCAACATATATATAAACAAATATATAAACACTCACGCCTGTCACCCAGAGGGGTAGGCAGAGACTACGGACTTCCATTTGGCACGATCCTGACATACCTCTTTCGCCTCCTTTACATCCATATATCTACGCATACATGCTCGTCGGTTAAGGGTACTTCTTGGCCCATTTTCAAAATATCGCCAATTTGGTCGATAATCTTTTTTCTAGGGCGTCCCTTCCCGACTCGGCCGTTCACATCTGCCATATAAAATTGCTTTGTCACTCTTTCCTCATTCATTCTTTCTACATAACCAAACCACCGAAGCGTTCCTTTCTTAATCCTGGTCACAACATCATCTTGCATACCACATTTATCTCTTATCACGCAATTTCTCACCCTGTCATCCAAATTCAACCCTAGCATATTTCTTAAAGACCGCATTTCTACAGCATTTATTCTACTTTCGTGCTTCTTCTGCCACACCCAGCTTTCACTACCTTACATTAAAGTAGGCACAAACACAGCATTATAAATTACCATACGAGCCTTTTTCGACACATTTTGGTTCTTCATAATAGAGTGTAGTGCCCCATTCACTCTATTCCCTGCATTTACTCGTCGTTCTATATCCCTATCATGTCTACCATCCCTGCTAAATACACATCCCAAATACACAAACTCATCCACTTGCTCAATTAACTCTCCTTCTATTCTTATTTCACATACCGTTTTGCTTCCTTCTCTTTCAAAAACCATCACTTTCGTCTTACTTGCGTTCACTTTCATTTCCCTTTTTTTTAATTCCCAGTTCATTAATGTAACCATCATTTGCAATTCAGCCGCCGATGACGCAAATATGACTTGATCATCGGCATACAGAAGGCATTTGACAGGTTAACTCGCCCATTCTTAACCCACATTCTTCATCTTTCAAAGTTTGCAAACACCTGTCCATAAATAGGTTGAACAGCCAAGGGGAAGCTACACAGCCCTGTCTGACACCTTTTTGGATGCCAAACCAGTCCGAGTATACCCCACTGATCCTGACACAAGCACTAGAGTTCCTATAAAGAGACCTTAATGCCTGTATCAAACCAGCGCTCAACCCATATGAGTTCAGTGTGTTTGCCATAACACATTCCTGTCCACTCTGTCATAAGCCTTTTCCAAGTCCATGAACGCACAAAAACTTTCTGGTTTTTGGCCAAAAACTTCTCCGCAATCATGCGCATGGAAAAAGACTTGATCTCTACACCCCATTCCCTTTCTAAAACCCGCTTGCACATCCCAAATTTTTCCATCAGTTTCTTTCATAACTCTTTCAATTAACACCTTAGCATACAGTTTACCCACAATACAAGCAAGCTGATACAACGGTAGTTTTTGCAGTCCTGCTGTGACCCTTTTCCTTTATATATTGGTACTATAACTGCTTTACACCAGTCATCCGGTACCCGTTTTAATTCCCAACATAAATTAAACAAGGTGTACAGCAGGCCTGCCACCACTCCCTCTCCAGCCCTTAGCATCTCGAGTGATACTCTATCATATCCAGCTGCCTTACCTGCTTTCATGCTTTTCATTGCTTTCATTATTTCACCTACACTTATCTCCATACCCCTTTCCACTTCTTTCGGAATTTCTAGTTCATTTAATTCAGACGACTCTTCACTCATAAACACGCTTTCAAAGTATTCCTTCCATCTGTTTAAATTCGAAACTTCATCATTCAGAATACATCCATTCCCGTCTCTTATAGCATTAATTATAGGCTGTTTTGTATTTCCCCTGGCAGTTCTTACGAGTTTCCAGAACATTTTTATGTTAGCCTGGAAATTATCAAATATCCTTCTATCATTCTTATCCGTTCTTTCTTTCTTTTTCCTTTCAACAACTTCTTTTACTCCCTTATTTAGACGTCTAAATTCTGCCTTTTTTCTTTCAATCTCATCATTCATACCAGAAGAATTACCAGCTTTGGTTGCTAGTAATTTTTCTTTTTTTATATAAGAGGGGGCAAACGAGCATGCGGCTCACCTGATGTTAAGTGACTACCGCCGCCCATGATCAACCGCAACACCAGGGGAATTGCAGGTGCGTTGCCGGCTCTTTAGAAAGGAGTACGCTCTTTTCTTGAAGGTCCCCAGGTCGTATCGGTCGGAAAAATCGCTGGTGGTAAACTATTCCACAGAGTGGTTGTACGCGGAAGAAAACTCCTCTTGAAACGTACTGTGGTGGACCGCCAAGCATCCAGATGATGTGGATGGTATCGCGACGTTTGCCGCGTAGTGCGTTCACGAAATTTGGCGGCTGGGATTAATCCGAACAATTCCTCAGAGCACTCTCCATGGTATATGCGAAAAGAAAATGCAAAGAGATGCAACATCTCTTCGCAGTGCCAGTGAATCGAGCCGATCGGAAAACACTCGGTCGTCGACGATTCGAGCCGCTTTGCGCTGGATGCGGTCAAGTGGAAGGAGCTGGTACTGGGGAGCCCCAGCCCAGAGATGGGAACAGTATTCCATGTGCGGCCGAACTTGCGCCTTGTAAAGTTGCAGGCGGTGTGCCGGCATGAAATACTGTCCCGCTATGCTGAGCACGCCAAGCTTTTTAGAGGCCAATTTGGCCTTCTCTTCCAAGTGACCACGAAACTGCACGTCACTCGATATGTCGACGCCGAGGATTCCGATACTGGCTGAGGCAACAAGGGGAGTGCCTTGAAACTGAGGAGATACGACAAAGGGGTTCTTTTTAGCGGTTAACGCGCAAACTTGTGTCTTCTGGGGGTTAAACTGGACTAGATTTAGTCGCCCCCAATCCGAGACTCTGTTCAGCAAAGACTCGACTTCAGACACAAGTTTGTCCCGGCACTCGGAGACGTTTTCCCGAGAAATATTGGCTCGGCCGGTGTAACGAGCATCACCAGTGCTGTCATCTGCATAGCAATGAATGTTACGGGTTTGCAACATATCATTGATATGCAGAAGAAACAGCGTTGGCGATAGCACGCAGCCTTTTGGAACACCAGCATTAATAGGCTTGCAATCGGAGCTTGCACCGTCTACAACGACCTTGATGCCCCGATCTGCAAGAAAGCTGGTGATCCAATCGCACAATTTCTCGGGAAGCCTATAGGAAGGGAGCTTCGAAAGAAGCGCTTTGTGCCAAACCCGATCGAAGGCCTTCGCAATGTCCAAACTAACGGCCAATGCCTCCCCCTTGGACTCTACTGCCTCCGCCCATCTGTGAGTTAGGTAGACCAGAAGATCACCAGCTGACCGACCACGGCGAAAACCGTATTGGCGGTCACTAATCAGCTGGTGATCCTCAAGGTACCTCATGAGCTGGCAGTTTACAATGGACTCCATTGTTTTGGAGAACAAGGAGGTGATGGCGATAGGCCGGTAGTTGGACGGGTCTGAGCGGTCGCCTTTTTTAGGGATCGAGTGGACGAAAGCCGTCTTCCATGATTTTGGGACTATGCCTAGGGAGTAGGAGTACCGGAAAAGACGCGTTAAAACCGGTGCCAACTCTGGAGCACACGTCCTCAGCACAATTGGGAGGATTCCGTCAGGCCCACTCGACTTGTGGATGTCCAGGGAGAGGAGTGCTTTGCGAACCGAGCGCTGTGTGAAGTGCACTTCCGGCATGGAGCACTCACACCGCGGCATGGTCGGCGGCGTATACTCCCCCCGTCATCAAGAGTCGAGTTGGAGGCAAAGAAAGAGCCTAGAAGATCGGCTTTCTCCTTCGCGGTATGGGCCAGTGGGTCGTCCTCCCTGTGCAGAGATGGAAAAGATGGCTGACAGAAATTCCCCTGGACAGCCTTGGCGAGAGACCAGAATGCACGGGTTCAGAAGGAAGGCGGACTAGTTTCTCGCCAATTCTGCCTATGTGCTCCGACTTTGCCTTGGCAAAGACTCTTTTGAAGGACCTAGAGGCGGAATTATACTTCTTTTTTAGAGCGCTGGTGTTTACATCCCGTGACGCTATTCCGGTTGGTAGCACTCCTGTTATAGCATGATGCTATTTTACAGGAGCGACCAAACCATGGCTGAGATTTGCCTCCAATGGGCACCACAGAGGAAGGAATAAAAAGTTCCATACCCTGAAGTACCACATCAGTGACAGAATCCGCAACAACGTTGGGATCGTCCGGCGAGAAGCAAACCCGCCCCCAAGGGTAGGATGCAAAGAAAAAGCGCATCCCATCCCAATCGGCTGACCTATAGTGCCAAACACGGCGGCAGCCTGCAGATTGCAACTGCGATTTCAGCGTGAGTGGCACCATACTCCGAACAAGACAATGGTCCGAGGAGCCTAAAGGGGCGTCAACGGAAATCTGATATCCGTCCGGGTGAAAGGTCAGCAGAAGGTCCAACGGGGAAGGTTCATGATCCTCCACATCTGGAATCCGCGTAGGCGAAGTAACCAGTTGTGTCAGACCATATGCCAAGGCAAAATCATGAACAGATCTCCCCGCATGATCGGTTAAACGTGAACTAAGCCATTCGGCGTGATGGGCGTTAAAGTCGCCGAGGATCACGATCTCTGCGGAGGGGATCTGCTGTAGCAACGAATCTGTAGCCATTTGGACGTGGTCGAAGAGTCGGTCTGTTTCGGCATTACCGCTATGGGACCTATAGAGGCACCCGTAGACGCGCGGATGGTCGTCACTGTCTACGCGTAGCCAAAGGATGGACAGGTCCGAACCTTCAAATCTGCCGAGGCGTCGAGAACAGATGTCCTCTCTGACGTAAGCGCAAACTCCAGCCCGAGGTTCAAAGGAGTGTTCCAGTTTGTACCCGGGTAGGAGAGATACGAGACATCAGCCGGAGAGGACACCTGCGTCTCGGTCAGAAAGAGCAGAGCCGGCCTCGCCGTCTCGAGATGGTAGTGGACGGCGTTTAGGTTAGAGTGAAGTCCCCTGATATTGCAGAAATTCACGGACAGCGTGGCAGGGGTCGCCTTGGTTTTGTTGCTCCGTTTTCCCCGAGCAATTGTAGTCTTGAGCGGAATTTTGCCCCCCCCCCCCCCCAGAATACGCGGGCAGCCTGAGCAGCCACGCTCAGAAGTGGAGAAACATGATCCAGAATGCTCAGCGAGGGATTCTCCTGCGGTGCTGGTACCCTCCTGGGGTAGTCTATAATCATTTAATTCCGCTACCATATCGAATGGGTTGGATTTGGGCCTCCGGCCACCTGCACTCACCAGACGAAACGCGGAAGCAGAGCTTCCACTTCACGCCGGTATTCTGTGAGGTCGTGGTACCGTACCACCCCGGTTTGAGCCGGCCCATACGTGCTACAGCAAAGCTGCCGCGTGGCTCTACCACTGTTAAACTCTAACCATGCTTTCTTCTTTGATTCAACTTCCACCCGTACCTCATCATCCCACCACAACGTATTACTTTTCCTTTCATTTTTTCTCTTACTTACACCACATACTTCGGTGGCGGCATCCACCAAACCTTTCTTAATATTATCCCACACAGTATTCAAGTCTAAATCATTCATACACAACTCATTCATAATCTAATAATTTCTTTCACATCTAATATTTTCTCTCAGTCTACATTTATACTTCTCTTTCACATCTTCATCTTGTAACTTCTCTATTCTTATACGCTGTAACGCAGTGGTATACACAGATGTCCGATGCCGCCAACGCTTGAAAAGACCATTAATTCGACATAAGACCAAGTGATGATCCGTCCCTACGTTGGCCCCCTGGTAAACCCTTGTATCTACGACAGCGCTCCTCATTCTTTCATCCACAATTACGAAATCTATCATGCTTCTATCACCACCTCTTTCCCATGTATACATGTGAATCTTCTTATGGCGAAAAAAGTATTCGTCACAAAAAGATTCTTTTCCACACATACGGTGAGGAGGTCTTCACCATTCTCACTTATACTTTCATCACCAAACGTTCCCAATATCCTTTCATAACCAGACCTCTTCACACCCCAACCCTTCCATTAAAGTCTCCTAACATAATAATATTTTAATTTTCCTTACATTTTGTCAACACCATCCTTACCATGTCCCAAAACTGCTCTCAGATGTAAGTGGGCCTAGACATGTCTGGGGCGTACACCCCTAGCAGGAACAGCTTCTTTAAGCCCACTTTCATTCGTATCCATAGCAGCCTCGGGCTTACACATTCATACCCTTTCACACATTGACCCATTCTTTCTGAAAGAATGAAACCGACACCCTGGCATGCCCGTTCGGTCTCGTCTACGCCAGACCAATACGCGGTATACGTGCCATGTGCAGTGGCATCCTTTCCCTTTCGTTTCGTCTCATTTCACATATAACCCATCTATTCCTCTGTCATTCATCATTTCGCATACTTCATCCATCTTATCATTCATTCCTCCACATACATTCAGCGTAGCCAAACGGGTTTCCGCAATCCACTTTTCGCCCCTCCGGGAGACAGAACGTGACGGGTGGCGAACCTCGTTGCCGATCGATTTTCAAACAAATTCATCGTATTTGTCTCCTTAAGAATATATAAAAATCTCCTATAAACCTTTGTGTTGGTTACCTTCCACCAGACATTTCTACCCAAAATCTCAAGGATTTTCACGAAATTTGTCATAGAACATCACACGTCTCAATGAGAATTTAGTAATACGTAATTTCAAATTCTGCACAGACGAGTCTCTGTACAAACGAGCCACCGGCTACCGCAACCGGTGGTTAGCAATAAACAGTTCATGCTTTTTCATACGTATACATGTGGCCGGTGGCAGCTACAAGCTACAGCACTGTTTGCAACACGTCACTAGTGGCCTACACGGGTTACACGAAAAGCTGACACTCGTGAGTGATGCACTTGTTTTATACTGAGGCAACATCATCGTCCACGTAGTCTATTGCGTGTCGAAGTCCACCGTGTGCTTGTTCTACAGACAGTCTTAACAGAGTTAGTTTCTCTTTTGAATTTAGGAAATCGTATAAGTGAATTACCAAAAAACCTAAGTTTTATCAATTCCTGACACACTCCTGCTTGAGTTGAATTAAAAAAGTGTACATGAAGAGAAGTTACGTGATCATACTTCTTTACTAATATACTAACCTGCCTACAGTCTTCCTTGTAAAGTAAAAGGGCGAGGCGTTGATGCAACTTGAGACGAGCTTGATGGTACCGGGCTTCAAGCGCGCGATGATGTCCGAGAATCTGGTGTATGACTGCTAATACATGGTTGGCGCCCGAGCTGTAGTCAGCCGCGGGGTCGCCCCCCGCGCCCGCACCACCCGCTCCACTCGTGTTACCTTCGCCCTATTAAGATAACAACCGCAGCATTATTAATAGAGCCTATAATAAGTCGACGCAACCGAGAAGGACCACGTTCGCACAGAATATCAGCTTAAAATAGTAGAATTTTCTTGTTTGATTGAAGGACGGAGATCCTCCTTAATTTTTAGAGGCATCCCTGTGACAACGCATCTGCATTTTAATTCTTTTTGGAAGTTAGGTGTAGACTATCTATTAGCAACAGCGTCCATTTACTATCATATGGACTGTGAATTCGCCTGCTACCATTACCAGCCCTCTGTCACTCTTGCTACCTGCGTGAAATGCCCTCTGTCACTCTTGCTACCTGCGTGAAATTGATTTTGCAAACACTTTTGCCAACGTTTTTTCTAATCCTCGAAGCACTTAAAAAAATCATTTTTCGTTATCTTCTTCATCCTCCTCCTTCGATGCCGTCTCTATCTCCTCAATTGTGGAGTAGCGTCGTCCTTTCATGGGCGTCTTCAGTTTTGGGAACAGGAAAAAGTCACGGGGTTCTAGTCTAGGTCTGTGGAAAACGGTGGCTGTGGGACCATTACTGTGTTGTTTTTGGATAAATATTCGAGCACAAGCAACGATGTGTGAGCAGGGAGCGTTATCATGGTGCAAAAGCCAGTTTTTGTTCTTCCACAATTCCGGGCTTTTCTGGTGAATGGCCTCGCGCAAATTGCGCATAACTTGCAGGTAATATTCCTTATTGACCATACTATTCTGTGGGAAGAACTCACGATGCACCACGCCCCTGTAATCGAAGAAAATTGTGAGCAAAACATTCACGTTCGACCGAACTTGGCGCACTTTTTTCGGTCTTGGCTCATGCGGCAGCTTCCATTGGGATGACTGAGCTTTGGTTCCCACGTCATAACCAAAAACCCATGATTCTTCGCCAGTTATGACCCTCTAGAGCACATTTGAGTCGTCACGGACCGAGTCCAACATCTTTTATTTAGAGCATTATTAACGCGATGCTGTTTTTGGTCGAAATTGAGAAATTTTGGCACGAATTTCGCGGCGACCCGACTCATGTCCAAATCATTACCTACATTCGAATGGCACGAGCCAATCGATATGTTTAGGTCCTCAGCAACTTAAATAAATTTGCAACATCACAGGGTCAATGTGAAAATTCAAATGTTTGTGGACGAACGAGAGAAAATAGCCCATTAGAATTTACTCAGAGGAGTTACACCGTAGTTGTATAGTTTTAACCACACTATATATTTTAGTTAGCATATTTACAGTATTTATAAAATATTTATTATTCTAGGAAATAACACATTAATGTTTTTGAGGATGTAAGGAAACATAATGAAATAAATTTATAAGTACATTTGAATAACGTCCTGAGCATAATCTTCTTTTCTTCGTCACAAATATCCATAGTTTTTTTTTATTTGTCCATATTTTTATGCAGTACTTATCTACTATCCCGCCTAATGGTATATGGTGATTAGGACATGAATTACATGTCATATAGCTTAGTGAAGCCTCACGTCTTGGTTCTGTCATTCACCATTAACACTTGCCATATGTAGTTCAGAAGAATTACATCCATGAAACTATATTTTTCTAGGCGGTCATAATATGTAATAACATGAAATGAAGACTCTTTGTTTCTCGACGTAAGTAATCAAAATCTCATTTGTCGAATGTCAACATTTTTTTAATTTCTGTTAGTCTTTTTTGTCATTTTAAAAGGAACAGCCCCTTAGGTAATATTTTTTTAAAGAAGCTTGTTCTAAAGTTAAATTATACAACAAAGTAAAAAGCTAAAATATAATAATGTGTTGCAAATACGAGTAGACCAGTTCCCACAAGCAGCACTTCTTTAGGAATATGACAAATGTGGGAGCCATTGAACTTCTCGATGAATCAATGACCATTTTTAAGGAAAGTGAATATATTAAATATTGTGTAAAATGACTACTATATAAATATTATTTACTATAGATTGATTTTGCTACCTGCGTCTAGATTATTTTACACACATAATATATCAATAACAAAGTTCTTAAGAGATTTTCAATACTGAAATTTAGGTAAACTTAGAATATTCTGGAAAGTGGTACTATAAACATTAAGCATAGTCAATGTGCATAATCATACAGCATGGTTGTCATGAATAGAACTTACCATATCTGCTGGATCAGTCTGATGACACACTTGAACTAGGTGATCAAGTTGGTAAAGAAGTTTTTTACTCGTTGAATGAACCTGGAAGCAAGGAATTATAAATTTTAAATAATATAAATTTTACAAACGATAAAAAAATATTATACATAAATACATAAACACTCACGCCTGTCACCCAGAGGGGTAGGCAGAGACTACAGACTTCCATTTAGCACAATCCTGACATACCTTTCTCGCCTCATCCACATCCATATACCTACGCATACATGCTCGTCGGTTAAGGGTACTCTTAATTTGGCCCATTTTTAGTATATCGCCAATTTGGTCGACAAACTTCCTCCTAGGACGTCCCTTTCCGACTCTTCCAGTCACTTCTGCAACATATATTTGCTTTGTCAGTCTTTCCGCATTCATTCTTTCTACATGAACAAACCACCGAAGCATTCCTTTCTTAATCCTGGTCACCGCATCATCTTGCAAACCACACTCTTCTTTTATCACACAGCTTCTCACCCTGTCACTCAGGTTCAGCCCTAACATACTCATTAGCGACCGCATTTCTACTGCATTTATTCTACTCTCGTGCTTCTTCCGCCACATCCAACTTTCACTACCATACGTTAAAGTAGGGTTTTTGACACATTCTGACTTTTCACAATAGATGAAAATATTATATTTACAAAATAGGTGTTTCTGAGTAAACAGCAAATTAGAATAGTAGCTTAGATGATAAATTATAGAAGTTAAATGATGAAAAATGAGGCACTTTATATAAACCGTCCAACAATTCTTTCTTTCATTACAGACTACCACAAGTCCGATGCTGAACATCGGTCTCCCATTAGATTGTCTAATATGGGAAATATTTTCGGGTTTAGATTATTGAATTGTTATTAGGAAGATGGTGCTGCTCGTTTCCTGTATCATGTCCCTCCATATGAACTGTAACAGTTATTAATTATAATTACAATAAAGTCTATTGGGTATTCCAAACTGTAAACGGCGATAGAGAGTAACTGAAATAGGAGATGGAGCAACATCTACCTGATAACGATTCAAAATAATAAAGTCAATGGTTGCCTACCCGCATGTCAAGCATTATGGAAAAAATTCTGTGGGGCTATCTATAGGGAGGCCAATGTTCAGCAGTGTTCTATGTTTATAGTCGGTTATGGATGGATGTATACAGGTCTGTATTGTTTTTGCTCATAATGTAATTTTAGTATAAATTATATTATAATATAGTAAATATTATATTAACAGACAGTGTAGTGAATAGCCATAAATAACATACCTCCGTGTAGGCCTGACACATGTGCTCATAGAGCTGACGATGCCGCTGCGCATGCTGTTCTAGAGCACGAGGATCATTGCAGGGGGCGCCACCTTGCCCAGTGGCCAATTGCAAAGCCATAGCACACTGCGCCCCCCACCCTCCCACCGCGGACGCGTACGCCTCCGCCTTGTGGTGGAACACAACCGACAGGGATAACACCGCCGAACGTTCTTCTAGTCCTGAGATGTGAAATTTTAATTGTAACACATTCAAAACATTGCAGTACCCTGAATGAATTACAAAATAACATCGTCAAATTAGGTCAATAGAGATAAATAATGTAAGCACGATGCTATTTGCTGAGTTGAGTTAAGCAAGTTGTAACTTTGTAATCAATTCTAGTTCTTCTTCTACTAAATTTTAAATAGCAGTTTAGCCATCCATTACTATAATGACATATCATAAATCCAATAGAAGCGCCCTGATTGTCGCATTATTCTATTAGACATGAAATAATTTTTTCTTCTATTCAATTCTATTATTTATAAAAGGTTCTTCAAAGATGTATAATACTATAATGCAATGACATATATGCTATTATATACGCCAAATAGCAGTGCTTTGCACTGCTGTGCTCCAGTCTTAAAGCCCAGTCGAGAACAGAAATTCAATATAATTACAGGCTGTGCAGCATTCCATTATAGTTCTCAGAGGTAACAATGCATTTATATTCTTGTTTGTTTGAAATAGGAAGCAGGTGTCCATGAAATGCAGTGGCCACTTTAAGTGGTAATACCATCAAGTAGACTGGAAATTCGTTGTCATTCGGTTTTATAAAACAAACATTTTATCAACAGGTTCACTCAGCGGATTTTCGTAACGAAAGAATATAATGGCGCCATAAAGGGTAATATATTTTAAGGTCTTAACGAAAACAATAAATCAAGTATTTATAATTTACATTACGAAATCTACTTTAAAAGTAAGAGTAGCAAATCGCTTGTGGGGTTATGTTTGCGCTAAAGAATTCATAATATTGTTCGCGCATTCTATCTTGGCCGAGCTGAAGTTGGCTTTTGCGCATATACAGACGCTAGTTGATAAAGATGTACCACTTCATATTCGCTCATAACGTCGGAAACAATTTATTTTGTTCATACATTGTATATATCATTGAAAATTATTATTATTATTATTATGAAATTATTTATGTTTCCATGAAACAATAGTATCTAATAAAGAATTAAGATAAACAGTTTGAATTATATAGTAAATACACGATATTAGTTGTTCTAAACCTTTTCACTATCGCAGAAACAGGGATTTAAAGAATGTTAAAATCATGGGCTCACAATGCAATTTATATGTATTTCTGTTTCTTTTTCGCTTATTCGAATGGGCTGATGGTATGCACGTGGAAATGTAACGTTCCCTAAATGTCTTATTCGTCCTATATTCATCGATAGAGTAACTTTTGAAACACTGAACTTCACAAGGTCAGTCCATCGAATTATCTAAATATCTTTATCATGTTGCTAATTATATAGATTCACTAGCTTAGAATACTATAATACACAATAGAATGGCTGTCAACCATATTTTGGACGAGGATCAGCGTCGCCGGGAGCACACATACAAGCAATTACGTCGTATTATCAGTTATCACTACTACAAACACATTCAGACATTTAGACTTTTGATTATAGTCAACCTTTTGACGTTTCACATTAATCATTCCGCAATAACTTTTCACAAGCGTACTCACACGATTTAAAATAACCTTTTACGTAAATCCGAATAATTATGAAGTTATCTATATTTCATTACAACGTGTATAGTTTTTTATCACTAATTTAAATTTGAATTTTTCAAACGAAGCAAAATATTAAAAAATAACCAGTATTAACTTTTTTTACTTGATGTCGTTTCAATGATATGTCGCCATGTTTATTACCGTAGTGTTTGGATGATTAAAATTTATTGTTATGCGAATAATCGGCAAAATATTCAAATAATCAATAAAAATATTCTAATAATCGAATCATTAATTTCTTTAATGTATTATTTGTTTAATTAGTATTTTTATTTTCAAATCCTTAAATTGCATGAATTATGAATAAAACAAGTTTATTTTCTTTTTCACTTTGTCAAGGTAAATTAGTGTAAGCAAAAAACTCATATACACGGCTACTACTAAAATAACCACTACATAATTTCAATATCCCGCCATTTCGGTACAAGTTACTCGACTTCACAATTCATTCTTGAGGCGATGTATACGCTTTTACAACAAAATGCCAGTAAATATACAAAATTTGACGTAAGTACACAAAGTTAAAAAACTTTATTAAACTGAGTTTGTATAAAAATGGTTATTTTAATATTAAGGAATTTATGAATGATAATAACCCCCGGGAAGGGCGCTACCACGCTATTTCTAATTTGTTTTGTGTTGGCGAAACCGTGAAAAAATGCACCTCCTTTCATCGAATAGTGTAGGACTATGACACCACTAACGAAAGTGGAATTTTGATATAGATAAAGTCATGTCTTTATCTTGAATTTGATTGCTCAAAAACACGATTGTATAATTTTGACTCGATCACAATTATTTGCGAAAACACCTCTAAAAAATCACTATAGTTGAAATTACAACGAAATCATTTGATCTATAAGCTTGGGAATCACTCAAATATATTCATAACATCAATATTCATAATTTACTTTCTCATTATTTTGAAAACTTAAACCAATAATTTTTTAAAAATATTTTAAGTTTTTGACACAAATATTTCTTTATTTTTAGTTCTAATATTCACAAAATATAAATAGTTTCGACCTTCTGGTTGTAGAATATGTCTTCTTTATTTAAATTCCATTTCCCGCTGTTCTTTGGACACATAATTATCGCACAATTTGCAATTTTTAAATAATTTGCATGCAGCGACGCTTGACACGAAAATTGGAAACGATTGATTGTGTTGACATTGATGATTTACTACACGGGCTACTCCCACTACATGTATTACAGTATTCTATGTTCACCAGTATTTTTGTGTCATAATTCACTATTTTAACTGATCATAAATCTGAGCATAAGAATTTTTGCCATGGTTGCAGCGCATGGCGTAGTTTTTCAATTAGCTTGAGTTGTTATTAGGATGATGCTACCGCCCTGCTCTCCTGTTTCATTTCTGTCTATCGCCTCTTACGGATCATAACTCGCCCACGAGATAATAACATTTTTCACCAGTATAAAATTCAAAATAATGTTGCAGATTCATTGAGGAGTATTGACAATTTTCTTTTTCATTATTTTTCTTAAGAAGTTTACAATTCAATAAATATAAAATAAAATCGAATCATAATTGATGATAACGATAATCGATTCTACGTAACATTTTTTAAACTGTGGTAATTACAACCGAGCAATATGGGTGTTCGCATCTCTTATTTCAGTTAACGCACACCCTCCCACTCCACTTGTCATATTTTGTTGCTATATCTGCGCTATATCTGCTAACTTCAGCGCGGCCAAGATGCGAGAATGCGCTGACAATACTGAAAATAAGATAGGTGTTTGCGCCACTTTATTGTGAGTTTGAGATTCTTCCTGTTTAAAATGTTTTACTTTAAAGAATTATATTGCAACAGATTCCTATAATTATATTTGGTTTGTTGTTATGAACTCGTAATTTTTTATTGGATTTTACTGTTTATCGTAATGATTCACAATAAAATTTATGCCATCTAGTAAAGACGGCAATTAATAGTTAAATTTTAAAATTGTAAATACCTTAATTTTGGCTTTTATTTAAAAAATATCTAAGCACCTCCATGATAACTTACATTCTCTATTTTTCGTCCCTGTCTTTGCACACGAAATATTTTGTAAGACGACTAGTTAAAGCACAAATTTGGCTTACCAGCAGAGAGTTGTTTATAAGCCCGTTCCAGCCGCATGGCTAGGGCAGAAATCTGTGATTCAGCGTAGTGTCTCTTGTCGGCAAGTCGCCGAGCCGCGGTCGTCACTCGAGCAACGCTAGGTCGCCCACCTCCCGTACATGCCGCTGCAAATCTAAAATAAATTACAAATAATCAGAAATCGGTTTCACAATTATGAACCATAAATAAGATTAACACCAGTAGTTACAAGGAAGCAATGAATACTATTTCCCAAAAGTTCGAAAAGTAATAGTCTTTCCTTTTATATTTAATTATATTAAAATAAATGAAATGTATAATAATTAAAATATAACAATAGGTCTTTACCTATTAAATTGCGGTTCTGCAGTACTGGCCATTCCAAATCAAAATAATTTTTGTTTGGCTAAGAATTCTAATTTCCAATTAATTTTATTTTAAAAACATGGAATTATTTTTTCAAATTTATTTATTTGTTTATTGATTAGCGTAATGTTTTCGTCATTTTCATCAATCCGAGTACAGAACCAGAGCACGAAACCTATCCAACGGCAGAAGAGATTTAAGACAGGCTGACGTTATATCTCCGAAACTCTTCACCGCTGAATTGGAAGTCCTTTTCAAGCTACTGGACTGGATAACATCAATGCCGAATACATCACTCACCTTCGATTTACCGACGATATAGTCCTTATGGCAGAATCGCTAGAAGACCTAAGCACTATGCTCAGTGACCTCAATAGTGTCTCCCAACGGATAAGTCTTAAGATGAACATGGGCAAAACAAAGATCATGTGTAATGTTCATGGCACACCTTAGCCCGGTAGTTGTTGGGAGCACTAAGCTCGAATTGGTTTACGAGTATATTTAGCTGGGACAAATAGTCCGACTAGGTAAGTCCAACTTAGACCGAGAGGTCAATCAACGGATTCAACCATCAATTAACCTCGATGCTGCCGACCTGTCGGAAGCATTCGAGAGATTATAACACATCTTCTCATCAGGTATACCTGACACGAGATTATACAACCCGTATGTGTAGCCAGTGATGACTTATGGATCTGAGACATGGTCCTTCACCGCTGACTGTATGAGGACGCTCAAGGTCGCTCGCCGAGCTATGGAGAGGGCTATGCGTGGGTTTTACCTGCATGATAAACTTAGAAACGAGAATATCCACAGTAAAACCAGAGTGACCGACATAGCCATATAGCACGAAGAACCGACAACCGATGGGGAAAAAATGTTCTCGAGAGGCAGCCTCGGACCAGTAGGCTAAGTGTATAGGGCGTCCTCCCAGGTATATAGGGCGTCCAAGTGTATAGGGCGTCATCCCAGGAAGTCGATGGATGCAGGTGTCTCAGGACCAGGCTTTGTAGCATTCCTTGGGGGAGGCCTATGTTCAGCAGTGGACTTGTTAAGTGCTGAAATGATGATGATAATGATGATGTTTTCATCGCATTTGAATCTTTTTCCTCATCATGGATAAGTTTAAAGTTTCAGTAATCACGGATATGTTAAAAGTTCGAGTAATTATGGAATATGAGAACCGTCATGGCAGCAACGCAGCACATTCGCACGCAACATCAACGACCTTTGCGGAGCGAATAATACAAACGAACGCACCACCTGTTATTGGTTTGCCCGCTACCGTTTCGGAAATTTCGACATGAAAAATGAACTTTGGTCGACTATTACGAATTAAAGGCGATTATGGAAGCTGATTATACTCAATCTACGGCTGAATTAGCAACAGCTTTCGACGTTAGCATCAAAACAACAAAGGTCCATTTGCGTCAAATTGGCAAGGTAAAAAAAGCTTGATAAATGGGTCGTCATTTATCAAATCATTGAGTTCGTGCCCCACGAATTCAATGATCGCCAACGTTTCAATGAATTCAATACCTGAGGCTGTACAAACTATAAAATGTATTTTGAAAAATTTGTCGCCTCCCGTCCAACTGATTTCATCAATAAACTACCACTGCATTGGCAAAGATGCATCGATGGCATTGGTGATTACTTTGATTAGTAGAAATAAAATATATGGAACAAAAATTACGTTAATTTATTTCATAACAACGGCAACTTCATAGGTAAAGACCTAATATTGTAGCACCATTTGCAGGAATCTATACAGTTTGCTAAAATTTAAATTATTGTTTATGGTAGTATTTTTTTTATATAAAATAAAGGTGACAAATGATCATACAGTCCACCTGAGAGTAAGTGGATGCCGTGGACTGTAGCCCATAGACCTCCTTTAAGATTAAGTATCAAAATGTAGTTGCGTTGCCATCCTCTAGTGCCTCGTTACCAGTAAAAAAGCACTCCCGTTCTCCACTTACCCTAAGAGACACAGCAGTATTAAGCTGCTATATCATGCTGGAATCAACCCATTCGTGCTGCAACCATAATCTAGCTACAGCTTGGCTCTATTACATTAAATACAGGAAACATAAAGATAATAAAGGAAACGTTATTTAAAGAAACGAAATTATATATGTATTTAAGATTATAAAGGAACTGTGGATGATTTAAAACGACGTTTTATAACTTGTTGCGGCTGTTTCCTGTGATACAAGTTACTTATAATCATTTAGTCTATCAAAGGTTATGCAGATAATACACAATATTTTTTTGTAAATAATAAGAGAATATAATCCGGATATCAACGATTTTAAAATAATAATTTCCGCAACCAATTACGGTTATAGTAAACAGTAAAGTGACAGCTTACAACTGATATGATATTTTGCTACTTATATAATTTCCTGGAGAGTTATTTGTCCCCGTTAAAGAAATATATACTTTCCAATAACGTTGAGTAAACTGATGCTTATTTCTGTGTGTTTTTAAGCAAAAATAGTATTATCAGTGGATACGTTTTTCCGTAAAAACATTAAATAATATGTTGAAAGAAATTACCGAGCATGTTCCTCTTGTAAGCGTTTAGCGGCGGCACATGAACGACCAATCTCAACATATGTCGCTAGGAATGCGGTTCGATGGTTGACAATCCATTCCAGCATCTGAAACAACAGTAGGGCGCAAATTCTTTATTTCTGAGCAAAAAATTTACATGAGTGTATGTTTCCGAGAGATAAAATACACAATAATCACGATCTAATGATTTCAACAATGAACAAAACAAGTTTTACGAATTTCACGGTATTAATTTTAAATTATTTTTATTTCACGATGTTCATACGTCTACGTCAAAAATAAAATACTCATTTTGTAGTAAAATTTTAATGGATATTAAACACTTATCTGAGAACTGTTTTAGTGTTTTGTTTTAGAATTTACTTATGAAATCAATTTTTTTAATAGCTACAAACAGCAAAAAGCACAAACTTTAAATTATGAGGTATATGACAAAAGTCTATTACCTTTTCACAGTCCTGTTCAAACAATCTTAGCTGAAAACATTGATCTAACTGCATCTTCTTGTGTTGCCAAAGCTTATGTGCATGCGCATGAGCAGAGCGCACTGCGGAGAGTTGCGCTCGCACAGCACTAGGCGAGCCGCAGTGAAACGCCACTGCTTCTCCTCCGCTTCCACTCGCTTCGGAACACGCTGCCTCCGCCGCTTCAAGTCTCTGAAGTACTCGCTCGCCTATGAAGATTAAAACTGAGTTTCTCATCTACATATCAATATAATATATACTACTACAAAAATACAAATATATATAAGAATTCATATATCTAAAGATATGTTATTCTACTTTTTTACGATAATTACTTTTCGTACATCGTTTATACTATAATAAATCTATCAAATAGCTTATTACGTATAACTTAAGCCTCCTCTATACTATACTGTCACCGAGATGTAGATGATTCAAAATATTATACAATAACGCATAAAGAATTTCATCATGGTTGCCTTACCGTAGCAGGTGTAAATAAATTTACCTAAATTTGACACCAGAGTAATCTAGGAAGAATACATTGTTAATTTTAAAACAGTATTCGCATGACATAATATTTAATGTTCAAAACAATCTAGAGAAACCATTACGAAATCTTTATCAATTTAAGATCATAATTATATAGGTTATACATAAAAAAGTAAAATATAAACAATAACATAAAACAAAAAATAGGGCATACAATCAACTGCTGCTTTGACTAAAATAAATACTGTGTAGCCAAGATTATAAAATATTTTTGTATAAATCAATGAACGATTGCAAAACAACACTAATGTTTGATTCAGTAATAGTGTCAATAGTGACAAAGGAAACAAGGTACAGTACCATGTCGTTTAGGATAGTTCCAGCAATTAAAACACATTTCTTCGCGCGAGCATCTTTCAGACTGTTATGAAACCATTCAACATTGGACTGAAACTGTTGTACAATATGATGGCAAGGTACGTCTGATTAGCACTGCCTACCGGTTTGAAATCATTCGGCCGATAAAAATTGCATTTTAATACTGAAGTATAAAACAAACCCTCCTCGAGTTTCGCGTTTTTTTCCGTTTTTTTTTTTTTAAGCGGACAAGGTTAATAGCTTTATACAAGTTAAGAACATACATAATTCCGTAGAATAAATCGACGATTGTATTAAACTATTAAAAATCACAATATTTAAAATTATTACTACATAACAATTTTTTATAGAATAAGCGTGACGAACTAGCATACAGTCTACCTGATGGTAAGTGGAAGCAGAGGTCCACAGAAATCTACACTCGTCCTCATTAAAGTATTAAAATGCTGATGCGTTGTCACCCCTGAGGACTGTAATGGAATGTGTGCTTATAGCATATATTTAAAGTAAAATGAAACATGCTATGTATAGAATTTTGTAGAATATTTCTGTCTACTAAATGTACACTTTAGATTACGACTATGTTAGCACAGTAATACTGAAGCTTAGTTCACATTTCACCTTCATTCTTACACACATTTTTTGTTGCCACAAAAATTTGAGAGATAACGCCAGGACTAACGCCCAAACTTACAACTCAGCTCTGTCACATTAAGGTAAAAACAAAAATCTATAAAAGAATCTACTTCTTGAAACCATTTCTTTATTTATTGATACTCAATAAATAAGCCATGATATTATGATGGGAGTATACATTCAGTCAAAAAAGCATCGGGAATGGATGACACTTGTTTATGGCTCCAAATTATATATTTTCTATTTTTTTTTTGTTGTTAGATTGGCATAATTCTGTTGTCCATTTTACATCTGCTATTTAGATTAAATACAGTGCTGCTTCTAGTTATATAATATCTAATGTGTATTGCGAATTTCACAATGGACAAAAACATTGAACAAAGAGCTTGTCTTAAATATTGCATCGCCAATGGAATTTAGTGTTCGGAGTCACTGAAAATGTTAGAGGAGGCTTACGGTGAATCGACGTTATCAAAAATACGTGCTTATGAGTGGTACAAAGCGTTCAAAAGCGGTCGAGTGTTGGTGTTGGTGTTAACTGAAGTTAACTTCGCAATCGTGAAGGAAATATTAAAAGAAAAAAGGCCTGAATTCTGCAAAAACTCAATCGCATAAGAGTCGCTGAGGACATGCTAGAACAAGTAAATTCCAACCCAACATTCATGAAACGCGTTGTTACTGGTGACGAGACGTGAGTTTACGAGTTTGACATGCGAACTAGTCAACAATTTTCGGATTGGCGCCTTCCAACTGAACCGAATCCGAATAAACGACGCCAAAGTCGAAAAGTCAAAGTCAAGTTGACCGTTTTCTTTGACTATCGTTATCTTTGTGCACTCCGAATTTTTGCCGGGAGGTCAAACGGTAATTAAAGAATATTATTTGAGCGTTATGCGGCGTTTAAGAGAACAATTTCGACGAAAAAGGCCAGAATTGTTAAAAGAAAATTCTTGGATTTTCTACCACAATAATGCGTCTACGTACAAGGCCATTATTGTGAACGAATTTTTGACCAAAAACTCCACAAATACCATCGAACAAGCTTATTCTCCAGATATGGCTCCAGCAGACTTCTTTCTTCTTCCTACACTCAAATTATCACGTGGCACCCGCTTTCATTCGGTAGAAGACATATAGGAGAATTCGCAGCGAGAACTAAATTCAATTCCGGAAAAAGGGTTTTAAAAATGTTTTGATGATTGGATTATTCGTTGGAGAAAGTGTATCGTTTCTGAAAGAGCATACTTTGAAGGTGATACAATAAAGTTGGATGAATAACTAACATTTTGTGTATTATTGATCTTTTCCCGTACTTTATAGACAGAGTAGTACAATATTCTTTAAAATCATTTTTGAATTCTTACAGCGTTTATCAACAAACAAGTAAATTTTTTTGATCATTTTCTACATGAGAACTAATTGATAAAACAATATTTATATTTTCTTTGTTGTATACGTAACAAAAAATGACAACAATAGAGATATAATTATGGCAATCGTTTGCGACCACGAAACTTCTGCATAGAATTGACAATGCCAACGATTTTTGTTATATAATTAGAAAACTAGAGAAAATTCCAAGAAAAATTCTATTTTTATTTTTTCCTATCTTAAAGAATGACTAAGATAATGAAGCCTAAACTGTGCGATGTTATCATAAAAATTCGGCCGGCCGGACTAAACGCGACGACGTCATCACTCTTGTCTCCCCGCTATAAGGGAACTTACTATTTCGCTCGCAATTTCAAGAGGGGTCAGATGGTTAACGCTCGCTGTAAATATAACAGAACGCGAGTAACCCAGGTCGATCCCCGCCGGCACCAATAAATTGTTAATTGCAATTTTAAGTGCTGATTAACCTCGTGCTCGGCGGTGAATGAAAACATCGTGAGGAAACCTGCATGTCTGAGGAATAAGAAAAAATATTTCGAAGACATGTGAAGTTCGGCAACACGCATTGGGGCAGCGCGGCAGACACTTCCTTGCTCTAAAACCCTCTCAGAAATGAGAGGAGGCCTGTGCCCAGCAGTGGGACGTATTCAGGCTGAAATTTTACTTAACACTTATCGCTGGGATTATAATTTTTGACTAAAATGTCAATGTCGGGGACGACACAATACTCATTATTTTGTCGTCCCCGAGTAACCACCTAAGAGATATGACTTAAATCCACCAATTAATTGTTTTTTATGGCCTCATAATAGCCAAATAATCATAAAAAAGTGGATGATCGTTGTGAAGAAAGCAGACATTGGACCATTAACTACCTTATTCTGTTGTGAGGATCATTTTGATGTAATAAAGATGTTTTTTACGTGGTATAGCCACGCTCCAGCTATATTATAGTAGTAGTAGAATGGGTCGGCTCGACCGAGACTGGATAACGCTCTCACAGAGTACCAGCGTAATGCTGCTGTTTCGTATGGTGAGTGTAGAGAACCAGAGACCCTTTTTACTGGAATCATGCAGGCATGCCATCTTAGTCCTCAGGGGTGACAACACATTTGCATTTTGATTCTTAATTGAGTCTATGGGCCACAGCATCCACTTACCATCAGGTCGACTATGTGCTCGTTTATCAACCTATGCTATAAAAAAATTATATTAATGTGTACTTACTTACACTGGGAACTAGCAACTCGTATCGAGATTAGATTACACATTTCGTACCAAACTACCATCGGCGTGCAAAGGTCTTCAAGAATGCATTCAAAAATAAATGTATATAAGTAGCTAATATGGCTTACCTATCTAAATTTTGTTTATTTCATTATAATCGATTTTTTAGATAAAATTAATGGCTGTTCATCGTGCAGCAGCTAGTGACCCCCATTATTTGTAACATATTCATAAAAATTGTTATATGGCTCAGGTAAGACTATGAAATTGAGACCAGCATTTAAATCAAATCAAATCAAAAACATTTATTTCGGATTCTTCATCCATAGACGTTAGTTAACAATTTAAACTTATCCTAGTGTTAGTAACATTAATAACATAATTACTAATTTAATTTATTTTAATTAATTCTTGCTGGCTGAGCGCCCAACGCATGCAGACAAATCCAGTGCCGTAGCAGTGGAGAATCCCACCTATTTGCCAATGCGCCCAGAATGCTGTTCGAAGTTTCGCGCACACGTCTTAAAAGCGATGGCGCTTCTCTTGCGGATGATAGTATAAAAGCAATCAATTTGTGCCTCGACAAACATAGCCGATGCACTGCAAAAACATTTAAAAAATGTTTGTGAAATATTTCAAGCTATGCTTAGAACCTGAACAACTATATACAATAACCAATCTACCCAGAATCGTTTCCGCTCTTAAATCATACCCGTCATACAGGTCGTCATAAAATAAATACTTTTTTGTTTTCTAATTGAAAATGAAAATAGCATGCCATTGTCAAACTATGTCAAGTATAAACGAGTACTGAGACTGCTGAAACTTAAAGGCGTAGTACCTACCTCACAAGCTTGCTTGTCAAAAGAATCTGTATGGTTCGTTGTAAAAACGTAAAAAAGCAGAAATTATTAAGAAAATCTGCGTGAAGATGTAAGTGGAGATGTTGGGTCTACTTCGCACAAGTTTAGTTATTACTAAACTTTTCGACAAATGCGGCCCTCAGCTCTGTTGCAACAGCCCTGACTGAGGTACTACATGACATGAAATATTACTAACGAACAAACTACTACTTTATAGATAAGTTATTGCTTATGTTTGCATTTCATTTTATTCCACTCATTTCGGATGCCATAGTCATCATTATTAAGAAATATTGAGTTACCATAAAACCATTTACTTTAGGTGAAATGTCAGATTAACCGTTTCCATAGCCGACTTCCATGTAAATTTTTTAAAATTAACGCCCTTACAACAATTCTTACAAACTTTTTTACATTAGACAGGAATAAAATTGCGGAAAACAAGCGTGATCGTCCGTTGCGTACGCAGGTGAATGGCTGGGCGAGAGATGACGTCACTACACTACGAGGGCGCGAAATTCCGGGATTTGTAAAACTCCTCCGAACTTCTCGTAGTAATAACTTAATATATAATAGTTTTTGTTTCAAGTCATCATGAGGTCAATACTTCATGTATTGACTTGAAACAAAAACTAGTATGATATATACGTAAAATAAGCTTTTGTAATAGATATATTTGAATGAGAACTCTTTAATTAATGTATAGTGTCAAGAACGCAGGCTGCGTTTTCTTGTTCTTTTATAGAATAAGTGTGACATAATATGAACACAGTACACCAGGTGGTAAGTGTGAATGCTGTGACTCATAGAAATCTCTCTCTAAAAGGCGAGGGAAGGAAATAAAGAAACTGCCCTCCAGTTTCCAGCGACGACGACCACTCACAGATAGTTAAAAAAAATCCGCGGGTGGTCGTCGTCTCTCATCGAAACTACACAGCGTATAATTATTTCTCATAGACTGATATTTGCGTAATTTACTTAATTGTTGTTTTAGTTGATAGCGTCTTAGCTCTACATTTGGTATCCCTCATGTAAGATGCTACCTTATTCTATACAAGTAGCACCTTTTTCGACACAAGGGCTTTGCCTCTCTGTCAAAGTACAAGTTCACACTGTCGGGTCTCCTGCCTTCGTCTCCAAATATTCCAAAAGGCTTTAAAACCGAGGGAACATTTAAAGAGATAAAAACCCTTCTGATAACGTAACACAGATTCGTGACGCAACACATTTTATAAAAAAAAGTCAGAGTCCAAACTTGTGCAGGCTGCTGCCACAGGGACACCAATGAGGTTGACAGATCACCGCTCCATTCGGGTTTCTACACCTATATGCAAGCTTTCCTTATCAAGTAATGTGATAAGATTACATTATGGTAAAGCGAATAGGAAGTGACTATACTCCTTAGTCGAAACAGCTTGAACCTTCTAATTCTTCTAACCCTGGCTTAATAAAGATTATGAAACAAATAATCATGCATGCTCTGTCCACAGCATTTTTACCTTTTTCTGTGGACAATTGTGTCGTGAGGCATCCCTGTAATTAGAATACGGCGGAGAATTTACATCTAATATATCTCATGAAGCTTGATCAATTTCCGACAGATCAACAATCCATAGTGATTTTAATATTAGTCCACAGTGATTTTAGTTTTTTTTTTTTATAGGAAAAGGGTGACAAGCGAGCTCACAGTCCACCTGATGGTAAGTGGTTGCTGTGGCCCATAGACATCTACATCTATCCTCGTTTGCGAATCAAAATGCAGATGCTTTGACAGCCTTGAGGACTAAGATGGAATGCCTCTTTTCCAGTAAAAAGGGTCTCTGGTTCTCTACACTCACCATACGAAACACAACAGCATTAAGCTGCTATTTGACGCTGGTATTCTATGAGAGTGTGATCCTTCCCCGGTCGAGCTGACCCATTCATGCTACAACTATACTATTAATATAGATGCAGCATGGCTCTACCACGTGTAAGTTTTAATTACATTGCATAATTACAATGCATCTGTAGCTTTCTTTATTTGCCTAAGAATTTTTCATTTTCGCGATTTTTTGTTTTTGGCGTGTTTTCTTACTTACGATGTATTACGATGATTAATTTTTGGGTTACTTAAAACATCTCCTGTTTCACTTCCCACACAATCCATATTCCCATAAAAATATGAAGGTGTAGATAAGTTTTATAAAAAAAATGTAATTTTCAGGTAAATACATATAGGTTCTGACTGTTAATATTGCATGGTAGAGCCACAGCCTAAGAAGAACATATAGTCAGCCATTGCATTTGATGTTAAAAGTAGTATTTGACATAAACATAAATTGCTAGGGTTGTCAGAATGGAGAGTAATAAAAAAATTAAATGAGGACAACCCATAGTTTTCTTCAGCACATGAAGTGCAAACCATTTCAATTTATTTGCGTGACAGGACAAACCTAGCGGACAGTTCCCGAGCTACTAACAGCCACTCTGGAAATTTTCGCCTGTTTCAAGTCCTGCACCTTACTGCACAATTGCCTCATCTAGACACCTTTGATGACCGACTTTTAGTAGTAGTTAGACTGTGGTAGAACCATGCAGCAACTATTAGTAATGGGTATGGCCATAGATTTTGCCACTTTGTAACATATAGTAACAAATAGTTTAGCTGGACCTAAGTAAGATCACATTTCTATAGAAAACCAGCATAACACAGCAGAATAATGTGTGTTGTAAGGTGAATGTAGAGAATCGAAGACTTTTACTAGTAATAATGCATTCCATTTTAATCCTCAGGAACACATATGCATTTTGATTCCTAATTGATGATAGATGTAGATCTCTATGGGCCATAGCATTCACTGAATGGTAAGTACTATCAGATGGACTATGTGCTTCTTTGCTATTAACCCTAGGAATATTTGTTTAGTTTATAAATACTACATAATAAAACTTCTAGAAATTGAGGCAGATATACTTTAGTAAATATTTTATACAAAAATTGTACTTAGTGAAGTTTTCACAGTGCATCGCACTCATGTGCGGCCGCACACGCATACACAGCGCGCCATACTGTTGTCCTGATACCAGTAAACAGGTTTTGACATCATAAGAACTTATAATACATTTTGAATTATATCTTGCATGCAAACAATGTGTGAATGAACCTTGTGCTTCAAGTTCATCGACTGGCACCTTCGCGAGGCGCTTACTAATATCAGCGTGAGCATCTATTGCGCGACGCGCCCCTGTGACGTCATCAGCGAAGTCAGCCCGAGCCACATCTTCCTGCAGATCGTCCAAACGATCCAGAAGTTCGCCTGCCTGCCACATCAGCTCTTCCAACGCCTACAAATATATTCATAATGACAATATTAAAAATAATTGATATTTCAATATGTAATAAATATGATGTGCACAATCAAAATCTATAGAGAGATCTATACTTTTCATTACATGAAGCTACAAATTGTGTAACCTATGTCTCAGGGGTATCTTAATTTGGGACCTTGTCTAATGTAAAATTACTTAGTTAACTATAGATTTCTCATTAACACAGAGGTTATAACATTACGTATGTAATAAATAAAAATGTATTAAATTTACAAAAGTTAAAAGTTTAACTTTTCATTCAATGGTTTTTGACATTAGATAGTTCAATTATACAATACTTAATGGTATTAGTAAAACTCTACTTACAAGTCTTAAATCAATCCATTGTGCATGGTCATAATGCAGTGTGCCATCTAAATCTGATGTCAACTGTGTGCTATCTATGACTTTAGGCAGTGCTTCTAGACTAATCATGGTTGTCTGAAACAATAAAAATGTCGTAATAGATAATGAATAAATATACATTTGAAAAAGGCTTTTTCTAGCAAAAATATAATAAAGGTTAATTTATTAAAGAAACAAAATGAGCCATTATAGTACTTCCCTCTCCAATTATGCTACAACATAGTAGTAGAGCTATGATAATAGTCTTAGACACAAATTTCTTTCAGTTTGCAACCTTTTAAAGGACATTCCCCTATATGTTTTTTTCAGGATTTTTCTGGACAGATAAGACTTAGGGACCTTCACGAAAAGAGCCTACTTCCTTTTAAAAGGCCGGCAATACATCTGCAATTCCCCTGGTGTTGCAGTTGTTCATGGGTGGCAGTAATCATTTACCATCAGGTGAGCCGTATACTCGTTCACCCCCTTTCCTACAAAAAAATGTTTACATGTAGTTAAAACTCCAAAAGGAGTTTAAGGAGTAGTTAATTAATTCAACCGTGTTTCATTGCACTATGACACATTTACTTTAGTTGAATCAAGGAATACACATATAGAACCTTACACCTACATTGTATCATAGTAGCTGGGATCAACCAGTCTAAGCCTTTAATAGAGCCTATATGATGGGTGATCCAAAAGTAATGATAATGAAAATAAAACACGGTAATTAAAGTTAAAATAATAATTTATTTTTCTACATAGTCTCCTAACAAATCAATAAATTTAGTCTATCTTTTTTCTAAACCCAGGATGCCCTTTGAAAAAAATTCTTTGTCTTGACCCTCCCAAAACGCTTCAACAGCGGCCATTACTTCGCTATCGTTTTCGAATTTCTTGCCTCGGCGGCGTTTCTTGAGCCGAAGAAAGAGGTAGAAGTCACTAGGAGCTAGATCTGGCAAATAGGGAAGGTGTTCGAGCAGTTCGAATCCCGTTTCTTGAATGGCAGCCATCGCAACTGCGGCTTTGTGAGCCTGTGCATTGTCTTGGTGAAACAGCACTCCAGCTCGCAGTTTGCCGCGTCTTTTTTCCTTAATAGCCTCCCGTAATCTTCTTATTTGGTCTGCGTAGTAAGAGCCCGTAATAGTGGCTCCCTTTTCCAAATATTCCACCATAATTATGCCTTGAGCGTCCCAAAAAACAGATGCCTTAACCTTTCCCGCCGAACTTGAAACTTTGAATTTCTTTGGCGTTGGTGAGGAGGCTTGCTTCCAAGTCATCGATTGTTGTTTCGTTTCGGGATCAAAATGGTGGATCCAGGTCTCGTCCATAGTCACAAAACGGAACAAAAATGTTCTTGATCTGCTTGGAACTTTTCGAGATTGACCCTCGAAATGTCAACTCGATTTTTCTTTTGATCGTCGGTTAATATTCTAGGTACCCAACGCGCAGACCTTTTTCACATGCAACTCATTCGCAAGGATTCTTTGAACGCTGCCATATGAGATCCCTGTGACCTCAGCTTCATGCCTAATGGTCACTCTTCGATCTGCCAACACAACATCTTCGACTTTTTTCACATTGTCTTCAGTGAGGGACGTGGATGGGCGTCCTTCGCGATGTTCATCTTCAGCGGATGTTCTGCCCAGTTTAAACTCCTTGGCCCAGCGTGTATGTCTTTTGAAGACATTTTTTTCAAACAGAGGTATTTGATGACAGCTCTAATTTCGTTTTTCTCCATGTTGATGTTATCTCTTTGACAGTTCATATTCAAATGAATATATCTCCCGGAAATTGTGATCTATTTATATGATTTTTTTTAGGCTGACGTAGTGAGTATATAAGCAAGCAAAAAATATTTTTTTTGGATTTTTATGCAGACCTGAAGTAACCGATTATCATTACTTTTGGATCACCCCTCATATAGTTATAAGTCATAGAATACTATAATACACAATAGAATGGCTGTCAACCTTATTTTGTACCGAGGTTAGCGTCGCCGGGAGCACACATACAAGCAATTACGTCGTATTATCAGTTAATCACTACTACAAATCCGATTTGCTGTGTTGTCAGACGGATTTTAATACATATTTATTTGTAAATAGCGTGTAATTTGGCATTTTCTAAATAATTTGCATGGGAAATTTGGGAACGATTGTAAAGTCAAAACATGTCTCATGTTGACATTTATATGTATGAATTGACGTCTTGTGGCATTTTAGTGGCTACAAGGGCTCTGCCAACACCCCCATTCTATTATGTATGTATTATAGTATTCTATGGTATAAGTAGTAGCATTTTGAAGGCTCTATGTCCTAGCCTCACCATCACTAATATTGATATATTTACACAAACACTACACATTAAAACAATTACTACACTACAAATTAATTTTTTACAGATTTTATCACATTTATTTTAACTTTTCAATTCCCGAGGTTTTGAGTTATTTAGCACTCTATGACACTATGATGCAAAAAAAATTGTCAAATTGCTCAAAAAGTATATATTTTATATATAAAAGTTGCATACTAACATCATACATGCATAATAAGCTATTAACAATTTAAGTCATAATTTATTAATCTCAAGAAACTACTAATTCTCAAAGACAATCTGCATTGATTTTATTGCTATAAATTAAAAATTACTAGGTTTAGTAACTTTTATTTTTACACAAACCACCTGATGGTAAGTGGATAGTACAGCCCATGACAGTCACATCTATCCTTGTTGGAGAATCAAATAGCAAATGGGTTTTTGCCCCTAAAGGCTATGATGTAATGCCTCTTTACCAGTATAAAGCTTCAACTTAATAAAGAGGGGTTCAATTAGAATAGCTAAAAAATATTTGATTAAATTTCTTATAGAAAATACTACAGCAAATTATTCGTCATATTTATTTTCTCTCTTTGATCCATAACAAAAAGATTTAACACCAACTATATCAACTTACCTCAAATTTGTATTTATGTGCTCCTATTGTTGTGCGTTGCTTTTGCCAAAAATTGTCAGGTTTTACTACCAGTGCCTGATGGACGGATGAAGGAAAGTGTTCTTGCAAAACTTTCAGTATGGGTTTAATAGCAGCCCAGGCTGAACCTCTCATATCTATTAGGATTGTAAAGCCATGTGTTTTGAAAGAATCACTGAAAAAAGATGATAGTTTTAGGCTTACATGTTTCTTTTAGTTAAAATAAAGTGCAATATTTAACACAAATATAAGTTTCTAGTTCCTAATATAATGTAAACAACAGATGTAATAAATGGAAAGAAAAACTCCATATAAACATCAAACAAAACTTATAATGAATAATTAAATAATAGTTTTTAACTGAATTTTTGAAATATTCTAGGATTATTTCTAGTATCAAATATCCAACTTCATACCTAGGAATACTCATTAGATAGTGCAACAAGCGCCTATAATCATCTGGCGCAACCCTGTCCCGTCTGGAATTTGCAGGGAACCATATTATAGGTCCTCCTCGGCGATCCACACCACCGGTAAGTGCCGCCACCCGCTCCTGGAGTAGCGGGAGTACGTCGAGGGCACGTGCCCCGACCTCCATGGTTCACCCCACTTTCAGCTTTTGTTGAAGTAGCCCACAAAGATTGAACAATTATATGAATTAATTACTATCAAAATATTTTTCATTAAAAATAATAAATGCATGAGTTTTCATTTTCTATATTTTAAATATCTTCTAATATGTAAAAATTGTAATGCTTTGTTCTAAAGCTTATCCATTATAATCAAAAAATCTCTTATTTAAATTTGACTGTGTTAAGTTAGTAATTAATAATTTTAAAGAAAGATATTTCGAAAATTAGATTTAAAGGATTATTATTCAACACCTAATGCTGTGTATATGCAGTGTAAAAATATCTACTTCCCCTCTCCTCCTCTATATCATCCCATAGGTGTGTAAGAGGCAGAATGTAACCATAAGATGGGCAGCAGTGTCTTAATAACAACTAGAAATTAAAAAACTGGTTGCCTGCTCGTCTGCCATGTATGGCAAATATGACAAATATCCCCCCAGTGAGGCAATATATAAGGGGAGACCTATAGTGAGCAACAGACTTTTGTTAGGCTGCAAGGGTAATGTTGTGTTCCATGGGCAATAAACAAAGTTTCTTTCCTGTCTTAAACACTGTAAAATAATAATTACACTATTTTGAATAACTACACTACTCATATACTTAGAGCCAACCATAAAAGCAAAGTAAATAACTCCCTATACCATGGCCTAAGCATAATTTGGAAAGTTACTAAAGGAAGCCTTGTATTGCCTAAGCACCTATACATGACTCAATCCAAGTGATCATGTACAAGATTAATAGTAAAATCATGGTCAATATAGAAAATATTGTATAATAGTAGATGAAAAAATATTTTGGGACAACTATAAAAATGTGTAATGGGTTGTTTTCTTTAGCCAACACCATGAATATAATTGACTGTTACATGACATCATAAAGAAATAAACTAGTGGTTTCGGTTAATATTTGTCAAAAACGATGTACATGAAAATAACAATATGAATCAATTAATGAATCACCATAGTTGTACGAACATTTCGAAAACTACAAATATGAAAAGCGAAAGTTTCTTTATAGTCCGTAAGACCAACGCCAAGATGAGACACGGGTGTTCGCAAGATAATGACGCGATGTACGGAAACTTAATAATTTATAAATTAAGCAGGAACATAGAACACAATTACTCATCTACATTCCATTGTATACCACGATAATTTTTAATAATCGCCAATGACATTATTGTAGATATATAACTACATGTCACAACAAATAACCTCAGTCAGCCATCAACTAGAACTAACCGTGGTGACAGACGGGTGTTATTTAGTCGGATATAAAAGGTTCGGCACGCATTATTGTCACTGTTGTTATCTTCACTAAAACATTTGTAAAAAATATAGTAATTTGAGGCTTAAAATTTAATAAAAACAAAATCTATCCATTATGACACACTGAGGAGCACCAACCAACCAACACAATGGCGCACCAGTGATGTTTCAAACTTTTAAAACCGGTAACAGTAACGGACTCGTAGGAGTATATTAACAAACGCACTCGTTAAAAATAGCAGACAAACAGTCCTACAAATAACAGGACCGGATTATACAACGTTCTTTTCGAGTTATTAAGCTGATATTACATTCACGAATAAATTGTTGTGAAAACGCATTTTGTGTCAATACTAACTAACCTATAGTAACATACGTATTTTTAAATTTTCATGACGACAGCACTGCTTCCGCGATTTATCATATTTTAAAATGACTTAAGTACCGCGTGATTACACCTGGAAAATAGTTTTGCAACAGTACTTAGTACTTTCGCAAATGTACGCGCACATACGCCTTCAGTCAGTCAAGTCTAAATGTATTCCAAACGTCACTCATTAGTCATAATTAAAAAGTTATTAAAATAGTTAAAATATCTATAACCTTATCCAAATGAACTTCGAAGCAACAGAAACTATTTATTTGTTTAAAAAAAATATCTGAGTCAATGTATATGGCACGAATTGCTCTTATCTAAAGTAAATATTTTCGAAATCAGCATCAGTTATAGGTTTAAAACCACAATAATTTTAAGCCTTTATAATGTGATATGTAATAATGTGATGATGCATGTAGCTAAGACTTTACTTAGATTTCTGTTTAAAAATTATCACTAATTTTTTAAAATACACTCATGGACAGCACTAACGCTTTAAAAATTTTATTGGTACTAGATTTTTACATTACGTGTTTAAAGAATCGAAAATAAATGTTTCATTTTGTCGAACAAATTACTTATGTACTTATTTATTGTAAACCAAAGTTGATCAAAGATTTTCTTTTATTATTTCGTTATTAATAAAATGTAGCGAAAGTGCATAAAAAGGAAACAAACGTGCGAGGTATAAAACGCTGATGATTAAAAAGTTCTAAGACTTGAAAAATCATATCCATTATATAAAGCCAAAGAAAATTTTATGTATATCTTATCAATAAATGCAAATATGAAAGCTCATGTACCATATTATTTGCCTATTTTTTCTATTAATTGTTTCAACGTACGTACGTATATGCAACGAATTCTAATTTTCATTGGTCATCATGAACTGCATCTTTGACCTTGTCACTTAACAGGATCACGGGCTCAAGGGCTAAGGTTAAATTAATTGTTTAAAAAATTAATCTAACGTCTAATTCAAAATTGTAAAATATCTGTGTTATACGCTTCTACTCCGTTCACGTGCTACACCCTATTTTTTTTCCAGGTGATAAAAAAAGTCACCAGTATAGTTCATCTCATGAATTTGTGCACACGGTTGAACATTTACTAAAATTTATTCACATAATAGCGACCCGGCCCGGTTTCGCATAGGTGATTTCGGGATCTCAACAAAAGTGCACGATCACGATATTGATAAAAAAATTGTGAGTGTTTGATACCCACACAAACATTCACACAATTTTTTATCAAGTCAGTCGAGCCATTTTCAAATTTTAGCGTGACTAATGGACAGTTATTGATTTTTAATATAGAGAGAAGATAATAATTTACTTCCAAATATTACTCTGAGGTGCCATCCTAATTGACAATGATCGTATGAGTCAACGAAGCGATATCGTCACACAACGAGATTTAACACACACATTTCTTTGGAGTGTCCTAATTGACACTTGTTATTCATCGCGCGAGCACAAGAAATGCTTAATAACGATCGTATGATGGTTTTGAATAAGTTTCTTTTTAGGTCCGATTGGTATGTTCGCGCGAGCGCAGCAACATAAGAGATAAGTGGAAAGGTTTTTTTCCAATGGCTTGGCAATTTTCGAAGCAAAATTGCCCGACAGTAAAACCTGTGGATCTTTGTAAGTAGCCGTTGTTTAAATTGTGCCGTTGCGTTGAAGGCGCGGCACCATCGCGCGAAGACCATTGGACCAGCTATTAGGACACTTGTTAACCATCCCATGATCTTTTAAAAAGTGTGGTGAAATTGCATCGTTTACTCGTACGATCAATAGCCAATTAGGACGACGTCTAAAGCTTATTAGAAACGTTTGTTTCATTAATCGTTAAACCATTTGAAGATAAGTTTGTTTAACTCACTCTTTTTTTACGACAGAACAAAACGGGTAGATTTTTTATCACTTTCTCCTCAGTAACATAAAAAATTGATGTTCATGCAGTTCTACTATTTATCATTTTTATTTATTTACATACATTTTAAAACTAAGTAATTATTATAATATACAATATATACACCAAAATAAAAAATTATTTAAAAGCCCTGTTTGCGATAAAGTATACCAGCGTTAAATAGCAAATGTTTTATTTTATGAGAAATGGCGTCCCTTGTTAATTAACAACGCATCAGCTATTTTAATATAGGATGGGTTTGTCTCGGTATACTTATATAATTAGGGGGGAATGTATGCTCGTTCGTCATCAATGCTATTAAAAATGTACAAAAAACGCTGGTGACGTTCCTTTAATGGCCTCTGGATGAGAAATTAGCTTGTGGTCACCAGCGGCGTAATCAAATACAGATGTAGTTCCCTGACACTAATACTGATCTCTGTAACATATGATGTAACCTCCATTCCGTTCCCTTAGAGCCTATTAAAATTAAAGTCCACTGTTGAACATAGACCTCTCCCTATAGATTCCCTCATTTGAGGGATATTTACCGTAATTGCCAAAGTTGGAAAGTGGTTTGGCACCACAATTTTTTATAATGTATGAAAAAAAATCCGAGACGTGTGAAGTACGCCAATACGCCTTGGGTTAGCGCGATGAATACGCCTTTGCTCTCAATCCCTTTCAAAAACTGAGAAGATGCCTGTGTCTAGCTGTGGATAGTATAAAGGTTCAAAAGTGGCTATAAAATAAGCCAAAAAGTCTTACATGGCTTTCGATAGTACAGTATATAGAATAGTTACACCACGCGTAAAATACTCATATCCGCGATGAGGAATAACGTCATCCATGTGAGGGGTCCGGCATGTATCTGTTATTGCATATCCACAGCCAAAGAGGTTCATGTCCAGTAGTGGATTTTACGGACTGGCGAAGAAAGAAGAAGAAAAAAGAATGAAGTACACAATAAAATGAATTTTTTTGCAATGTCATATATTTGTTTTAATTTGGAAGTAATTATTGATTAATGACCAATTATAATGGTAACTTTTAGTTCCTTGTTACATTTTGTTCATTCATTTATTATTTCATATTATTTATCAAATCATTATGACAGTTATAAATTCTTCTTTTTTATTCGTAACTTAATTTAAGAAAACAGATATCAATAAAGCTATAAAAGCTTCAATGGCTCCCCCATATATCAAAACTAGCTAGCAGACTTAGTTCTGCAGCACATGCTGTAAAAAAATTAGAACTCTTACCAGTGTTGAAACAGCTAGAATAGTTTGCTTTAGTTATTTTCATAGCATTATGTCGTATGGTATTTGCTATGGGAACACACGACTGACACTGAAATTATATTTATTTTACAGAAGAGGGCCATAGAGCAATATATAATTTAAAACCAAAAGAGTCACTGATCAAAAATTTAAGGAAGTTAATATATTAACTCTGGCCTCTCAATACATTTATGAAAATGTAATGTACGTACACAAAAATAAAAGAAGTTTTGCAAAAATAAGAGATATTCATTCCGTAAATACTAGGAGCTTGTATCTGACAAGTTAGCAGTACCAGTTACTCGACTCCACCGAGTCAGTAATACATTCTTGGGGCGATGTATACGCTTTTGCAACAAAATCCCAGAAAATATACAAAATTTGTCATACGAAAAGTTCACAACATTTTTATTAAACTAAATTTGTATAAAAAGGGTTATAATAATATTAAGGAATTTATGGATGGATTATATTAACCCCTGGGAATGGTGATCGCTACCAAGTTATTTCTAATTTCTTTTGAAATGTTAGTTGTAAACATGATTGTGAGCTATTATTTGGAAAAAAATTATAGTCCCGCTTGGTTTCTTGCTGGTTCTTCCCAGGACAGAGGTTTTTTTGCAAACCAGTGGTAAATGAAAAATTGACTTTCAATAAGTATTGTTTATAATCTACATTAAATAAAAAAGTGTCTGTTTCTGTTTCTGTTTCAATAAATTGTGTTTTAGCTCAACTATTGTGTATTATATGTAAATAAATAAATGTATATTTGAAATTCATTTTGAGCATTTTAATATAAACTTACAATGAATAAAATAGTAAACTTCTACTTTCTGATCTAAGATGGGGCATGCTCGTATACATATAGATGTTATTTAATTTTATTGGTATTTGATACATAACGTTCAAATCGGTACTTAGTTTCATGTATAACGTTGAAATACGCCCGGTCCTGTTTTAAAACGATTCGATGAATTTTCAAGAGATCCGTTTTAATTAAACAAAACATATTGTAAACAAAAACTATTTGAACAACTTAGTTTAACTTAAAAATTTTAACTAGATACATTGGCCTTTTTTGAAATTAACCGATAACTTTTCATCGGTTCCGGATCCACACTAACTTCGTCCTGTTTATTGATTTTTGACGTTACTCTAAAACTGGGAAAAAATTGCAATTTTGAATTTGCGCTATATTTGTCGCGTTAAATCTTAGCAAAATGCAAGTTATATTGATATTGCAGGTATTTTTTAATGTTATAAAATAAATTTGTTAAATATTGCGGTCGGTGTAACAAAGGTGTAAAGAACAAAAATATTTTTAGCTACTTAAAATACCAATATATTTATTTTTAATATTGTGCGTTAGCGTAATTTTTAAAATTATGCCGCTGCGACTGTAAATATTTTTATATAAAATGTATACTTTAAACTAGCAAAAAAAAATATACTCATATGTATTTTATACCTTATATATATAAATGTATGTATGATACAGCTTTAGGCCAATGAACCCTCAACAAAACTTCTGTAAAAGCTTTGATTTTGTTGACGTTTTGTATTTAATGCTGAAGCGAAATACGTTCTTGCGAAAGGAAAAAATACATTTTTAACAAAATTAAAACTATTTTGTTAGAGGACCTTAAAACATTTTTTGCAACAATGCTAATTTTACAGGAATAAAAACATAACATCAATATGAACTCAAAACTACAAATGCCTGAGCTATCATGCATGGAGCCAGAGAACTATCGAAAATATTTCCGTGCTTTATGTTGGATGGCTAAGAGGTATTTCATTTTTATTAACTGCTTTTTATGAATTAAGTTATATAACCTGAATTAAGTTATAAAAACTATTATAATAAATGATTATATAAATTTATATATTGGGTGTTTTTTTAGAAACATATACACATGGAATATTTATTTATAGCTGGTTTTTTCCTTTGTTAATCTTTGTTCTAAATATTTATTATTACAGTTCTAAACATTTTGCACCCTCCTTGTTGATTACAGTCATAATCAGCTTAAGAATTTAATATCTGGTAAATACTAGGAGATGTTATCTATTCCTAACTAAACCATAAGAATTTTGAAACCATAGGAGAAGATAACACAAGAGGTTTAGGTTTTCTTATACCAATTAGTAATTAATATTATGTTTATCACATCTGTAATATTTTAAAACTACTATGTTGCTTAATAATTTCTTCATTAATTGATTTTTAAGAGTTGATATAGTGCTTGAAGATTTTACCCGTTAAAAATATTTCCTTATTACTATACTTACTCATTTAATTTACAAATTTAGGTGATAAACAAATGCACAGTAAGTGGATACTGTGGCCCATAGACATCTACATGTACCCTTAAGAGATCTTGCTGTAAATTTTCCAAGTCGATCCTAACACGAGATGAGGTGTTGGAACTCCCTCTGATACATATAAATTGGTATTTCTGTGAATGTAAATTTGTATTTAAGTTACTATAGTGAACCCCATTTTCCATGGCAGTTGCAGTCTTGTAGTAATTATGAACTTTGAGAAAGAGAGTTTAATTTGCTTCTGCTTGTATTTTTAAAGAATCATTTTATGGATTTTTAACTAAAATCTAATTGTACCTTATTATGATGTAACTTGGTATAAGGTATATTGTGTCTGAATTCCTCATACTTAGCATGGTAGAAAATAATATTACAATGAAAAGAATAGAATTTTGATGATGAGGTGAAATTCTTATTATTTGATTCTTTATGGTTTTGTTATTTGTAAATTAAATTTATTTCTGCAAAGTTTAAGTAATACAGTCAAACCTGATTAAGTGAGAACTGGGTAAGCAAGAAAACTCTATTAATAAGAGTGTTTACCAGATCCTGTCATTATGCTCTCTTACCCTTATAAGTGAGAAACATAAAACCTGTATAAGTGACATTCAGTTTTCACGTGTGAACCTCTTCAAGTGAGATTGATACTAATTGCCTATACCTCTATAAGCGACGGTTAAACGCGTTTAACTATCGCTATTTATGAATCATTCTTTAATTTCGAGGGACTCTTATTTAATTTAAACCAAATATGCATCTTATTGTTTTGTTATTATAGTTCGAAGAACTCATTCTATTCAAAAAGCCTAATGTGCGCAGTAATCACGGCAAGTAAGTTGAACTATGATCTTGAATGTGCAGTAACACATTTTCGGGACTCAGTCGAAGTGCGGTATGTGGTGCGCTGGCTGGGACTGTGTGTAACCAGAACAACATACATTTTATGAATATATATAATAACTTAAAAAACATACACAAAATTTAAAAACAGAATCGCAAAAGAAGTTATAATATTATTTAGAATAAACATTTATGCTCAGCTATTATTTCATACATATTTATGTAATACCCATGCACTATTTTGTTCCTAATTACGTCACATTTGCCGTATTTTATAGACCTCTATAAGTGAGACAGACTCCTTCTGTAACTCTGTAAGCTAGAAACTCAGGTTAGTGAGAAACCTCTATAAGAGAAAAAGATATTGCGGTCCCTTGAGCTCTCCCTTATCCAGGTTTGACTGTACAGTGGACCCCCAGTAAACCGGCCCCTGTCTAATCCGGCATCCCCTGTAATCCGACATGGTCTGTTATTTATTATTAAATATTTTTGACAATCTTCGCTAATCCTATACCTTTAAACGAGCAATTCTTGTATATATATATATATAATCGGAATCTCGGAAACGTCTCCAACGATTTTCATAAAATTTTGTATGCAGGTAGTTTCGGGGGCAATAAATCTAGGATCTAGCTAGGATTTATTTTTAGAAAATGTCTTTTTGTCCGTGTTTTTAAACAATGAAAAATTGCTACAATATCGTTAGAATAAGAAGGTAAATTTTGACAGTTTATTAATGATTACAAATAGCTTAATTGGTATATTGGGCGGTCACAAAATCGTAATACCATGGTTCGAGCCCAGACCGACCGACCGACTTTTTTTAATTTTTCTTTCAAGTTCCTTTCTTTTTTGAGAAAATCTATTTTTTCGAGCCCTCTTTTAGTATTTTTTAAAAACACGAAAATTTAAATTAAACTAATTGCACTAATGATTTTTTATTCAAATAACCAGTTCAGTTTTTTCTATTATGTCGATAAGATCAAAAAATATTATTCGTATTTCATCAGTATGTAATTTATATCTAAATATAATTTCCAAAACACACGAATTAAAAAACCGAGCGAAAAATACCGAGCAAAGCTCGGTCAACCGGGTACTACATGATTGAACAAGTTATAACTTGTATGGACCACCACTATTGTGCTCGACGCGTATTGTTTTGATTCTGACAGAAAAATTTGATTCTGAAAATGGTTGAAAGATCATAATTTTCCTCAAAAAGCATTATTGTTTCTTGATAACGCTCTTAAATTGATGTTTCTTAAATCGATTGATTCATAATTTTTGATTATTTTAGTATGTACATTTGTTTGTACACAATTATTTACTTATGTAAAGTTTTGCATATTTTTTGTAAGTTCTATAGCATTAATGAAGTTAATTTTATAATAAAACGTTAGCTCATACATATTGAATTGTGTTATATGTAGTACATATATATATATATTATTTATATAATAATATATTATATATTCATCACTCTTAATGTGCTACATTGCTTTGTTTCAAAAAGAAGTTGTGTACCAACTTTTTAAAACAACCTTTACTTGGCTTGAATATTCGATTTTATTAATTCTTGAATTAATTATTATTCTGCAAAATTTAATTCTTATATTTTAAATTTATGAAAAGATGGTGCATACATGCACTGGGGCCGTTAATTCTGTCAGTATATGAGGTATTCAGATTTGCTTGCTTAAAGATGTTCAAATTAATGCATTAACATTAAATATATATATATATATATAATCGGATTCTCGGAAACGGCTCCAACGATTTTCATAAAATTTAGTGTTCAGAGAGTTTAGGGGGCAATAAATCGATCTAGCTAGCATTTATTTTTAGAAAATGTCCCTTTGTCCGTGTTTTCAGGCAGTAAAAAACTGCTACAATATCGTTAGAATAAGAAGGTAAATTTTGACAGTTTATTAATGATTACAAATAGCTTAATTGGTATAGACTGACCGACCGACTTTTTTTCAAGTTCCTTTCTTTTTTGAGAAAATCAATCTATTTAACAAGAAAATTTAAATTAAACTAATTGCACTCTAGATTTTTTGTTCAAATAACCAGTTCAGTTTTTTCTATTATGTCGCTAAGATCAAAAAATATTATTCGTATTTCATCAGTATGTAATTTGTATCTAAATATAATTTCCAAAACACACGAATTAAAAAAAAACCGAGCGAAAAATACCGAGCACAGCTCGGTCAACCGGGTAATTTATATTAAACGTTATTAAATTAATATGAAATGTACCTAATTAATTAAATTTCAATAAATGACAACGCAACAGTAGATGACGCAACGCAGCAGCAGCATCTCATTGACAAAAACTCAAAATAAATTAAAAAATCACCCTATGAGACAAAGGTCTACAAGACCCTATGAGACAAAGACTTTCTATGTGGAAACAGTACTGAGTTTTTGATATGCTACTACTGCAGAATGTATGATGGATGATTGGATGAATGAACAATTATTTTATATTGATGACTATTAAAAACAAGGACTTAGGCTTTTAAAGGATACTGAAAAATTCATTTCAGGAAAGTAGATAAAAAATCGCAAAAGAGGCTTGGTAAAAAGGAAAGACTGAGAAGATTAAAAGCTGTGGGTACTGTGAGTTCTTGCGTTTCCCCAGTATTGTTGCGAAATCCATCACCATTCACGGTATACGCTACAGTACGAAAATTAGTGCTGTCTCGATGGCGCCAACTTAGCTCAGCGTATACTGAAGGCTCTGATGATAGTGACAATGAAGGAGCATCCTGTAGTCATCAGCCTGTTCCTAAAGTTCCAAAGGTAACTGAAGTAAAGATGATCCAATATAATAAGATTTCTAAGATTTATTTTAGTGTGTAGAAACCCAAAAGGTAGATATATATTTATTTTATTATAAATATTTTTGGCTAGTATTTATAAACTGCGTGCAGATGTTTTGCTGATGATCACTCTTTTCACTTCGGCAGACCGCATCCTGCATTTTTCTACTCAGTAGACATGGGTCCCTTAAGATATACAGGGTTACAGTAGACCTTCGATAATCCCGCCCCTGGCTAATTCGCACCCCCTTGTAATCCGACATGCCTTAAATGAATCCGTTATGGGGGGGGGGTGTTCTTCGTGAATACGCGGACAAACAGGTTGCATTTATTTCAGGCCATTGTCTGAGTTTAAGTGTGACTATGGGGTTGCAGCCTAACGGACATCCATCATTTACTTAATTTCACATGACTTTTTTTATTGTTTAATACATTTGATACGTAATTTGTCGGATTACAAGGTACTCTTTTTCAAAAAGTTCCGGACTACGCGGGGGCTGTGGCAGTACTCTACTAGTCCGACAAATTTGATAATCCGACACCGCCTTGCAAAACGTTTGTCGGATTACCGCGGATCTACTGTATTTTACAATAACCGGCCAAATTTGCAGGGAAGGTTCTGAATATGTAATAAAGGCAAATAGTGAAGAAAATTTAATTAAAAGAATCTAAAACATTCTCTGCTTTTTATCATTTAAATTCAAAATGCGTAGTGATGAATTATTTTAACTGATTTTATTGCGCACCCACACATTCGTAAGCGTCGATCGGTAGGCAAAAACGTTGTTACCCATAAATTGCATTCAATTGAGATTATTTCAAATAAATGTAGGTGTGTTATTTACATGTATTTTCAAAAACTGCAATAACTGTATATAATTATTAATATACTTAAGTAAACTAAACATAACTTTAAAACCCCTTATTTGTAGGGCTTATATATATATATATATATATATATATATATATATATATATATATATATATATATATAAGATATTATATAAAAGAATTTTTAATAGAAGAGGGAGCAAACGAGCATGCGGTTCACCTGATGGTAAGTAAAACTGCTGTATCGGTCTGTCGCCAGTGATAAATAATTCCATAGAGAAATTGTACGAGGAAGAAAATTACTAGTAAAACGCACAGTGGTGGATCAAGCATCCGTATGGTGTGGGTGATATCGTGAATTTTGACATCACTTCTTCTTCTTCTTCTTATATATATATATATATATATATATATATATATATATATATATATATATATATATATATATATATATATATTAATGAATTTAAGTGAATTTTGACGCGACGTGCGTTCATGAAATTTGGCGGCTGAAATATATAATCCGAACGATTCCTCAGAACACTCCCCGTGACAGATGCGATAGAAAATGCAAAAGGACGCAACATCCCTACACAGTGTCAATGAATCGAGCAGTTTCCAAAGAATTCGGTCGTCAACGATTCGAACCGTTCTGCGCTGTGTGCGGTCAAGTGAAAGAAGCTGGCACTGGGTGCACCGGCCTAGAGATGAGAACAGTATTCCATGTGAGGCCGAAATTGAGCTTTGTAAAGTTGCAAGCGATGTGCCGGCACTAAATACTGTCCCGCTCTACTGAGCACTCCAAGATTTTTGGAGGCCAATTTGGCATTCCCATCCTAGTGGCCACAAAACTGCACACTATTCAATATGTTAACGCCAAGGATTTAGATGCTAGCTGAGCCAACAAGGAGAGTGCCTTGAAACTGAGGAGATACGATGAAGGGGTTCTTTTTAGCGGTAAACGCGCAAACTTGTGTCTTTTGGGGATTGAACTAGACTAGATTTAGTCGCCCCCAGTCCTAAACTTTGTTCAACAAAGTCTTGACTTTAGACTCAAGTTTGTTCCGGTATTCGGTAACGTTTACCCGAGTAATATTGGCACAGCCGGTATAAAAAGCATTACCAGTTCTGTCGTCCGCATAACAATGAATGTTACCGGTTTGCAATATCATTGAATGCAGAAGAAGCAGCGTTAGCACGCAGCCTTGTGGAACACCAGCATTAATAGGCTTGTAATCAGAGCATGCACCGTCTACTATGACCTTTATTTTCCGATCTGCAAGAAAACTGGTGATCCAATCGCACAATTTTTCGGTAAGCCCATAGGAAGGAAGCTTCGTAAGAATCGCTCTGTGCCAAACCCGATCGAAGGCCTTCGCTATGTCCAAACTAGCGGTCAACGCCTCCCTCTTGGAATCTATATGCTCTCTATGATCTATGCCTCTGCCCATCTATGAGTTAGGTAACCCAGAAAATTACCAGCTGAGCGACCCTGACGGAAACCGTACTGGTGGTCACTAGTCAGCTGATCTTCAAGGTACCTCATGAGATGCATTTAATAATTGTTTCCATTATTCTGGAGAAAAAGGAAGCGATGTCGATAAGCCTATAGTTCGGCGGATTTGGGCGGTCCCTTTTTTTGGACGTCGGATGGACCAAATCTGTCTTCCATGAATTCGGGACTAGGACTTGGGCGTACGAGTACACGAAAAGACGCGTTAAATCCGGTGCTGACTCCGAAGCACACGTCTTCAGCACAATGGGGGGGACTCCATCAGGCCCACTCGACTTGTTGATGTCCAGGGAGAGGAGTGCTTTGCGAAACGAGCTCTATATAAATCGCACATCGGTGTGTTCCCCCGTCATCAAGAGTCGAGTTGGACGCAAAAAGAGAGCCCAGCATATCGGCTTTCTCTTTTGCGGTGTGGGCTAGTGAGTCGTCCTTCATATGCAGAGATGGAAAAGGTGGTTGACAGAAGTTCCCTTCGACAGCCTTGGCAAAAGACCGGAATGCACGGGTTCCCGAAGGAAGGCTTACTAGCTTCTCACCAATTATAGTTCTCACCAATAATAGTTCTTTTTAAGAGCGCTGGTGTTTACATCCCGAGACGTTGATGCGTCAGCCTAGGCGCGGTAGCACTCCTGCTTATAGCGTGATGCTAATTTACAGGAGCAACCAAATAATGGCTGGTATCTGCCTCAGATGGGCAGCACAGTAGATGGAATAAAAAATTCCATACCCTGAAGTACCACATCAGCAATAACGCTTGGATCGTCCGGCGAGAAGCAAATCCGCCCTCAAGGGTAGGATGCAAAAAAAGACCGCGTCCTATCCCAATCGGCTGACCTATACCTATACGGTGGTAATAATACTTTTATACGTGGTAGAGCCATGCTGCAGCTATATTACTGGCATAGTTGTAGCACGAATGGGTCGGCTCGACCGGGGCCCTTTTTACTGGAAACGAGGCATTCCATCTTAGTCCTCAACGCATCTGCATTTTGATTCGCAATCGAGGATAGATGTAGATTTCTGTGGGCCGTAGTAACCTTTTACCATCAGGTGGACTATGTGCTCGTTTGTCACCCTAATCTTACTAAAAAAAACCTACAGTGCCAAACACGGCGGCAGCCTTTAGAATACAATCGCGACGTTAGTGTGAGTGGCACAACACTCCGGACAAGAAAATGGTCCGAGGAGCTAAGAGGGGTGTCGACGGACACCTGATATCTGTCCGAATAAGAGGTCAGCAGAAGGTCCAAAAGGGAAGGTGCATGATCCTCCACATCTGGAATCCGCGTAGGCGAAGTAACCAGTTGTATAAGACCATATGTAAAGACAACGTCATAAACAGATCTCCACGCATGATTGGTTAAACTTGAACCGAGCCACTCGGCATGGTGGGTGTTGTAATCGCCAAGGATTACTATCTCTGCGCAAGGAATCTGTAGCCATTTTGACATGGACCTATAGAGGTACTCGTAGACGCGGGATGGTATTCGCTGTCTTCGCGCAGAGATCCGTACCTTCAAGAATGCCGAGGCGTCGAAAACAGATGTCCCTCTTTAGGGGTGTTCTAATTTGTACCCCGTGTAGGAGAGATACGCAGTATCAGCTGAAGAGGACACCTGTGTCTCGGTTAGAAACCGCGAGACCGGCTTCACTGTTTCCAAATGGTAGTGGACGGCGTTAAGGTTTGAATGAGGTTTATTCACGAATGTTAAAGTTAAGGTTTAAATGAGGTTTGTTCATGATTTATTCATGAATGTTTTCAGATTACTGGCATTGGTCTTCGCATGGTGTTTTCTCTTATATCTCAAGCAAGATTCTCAGATGTGCAATTTTGTGAACATTCACTCAAAGCTTTACTGGACGTTCTGCAAGGACACACGCCTGAAGAGATGGCTTACGAGCCTTACGAGGTATTGCTTGGTTATATCACAGAAATTTCTAAAATGTTAGGTATTATATATTAGGTTTGTCAATTTGACCGTATATATTTCATTCTATTATCACACTTTTTATTGTAATAAAACCAAAAAAAAAACACTTTGAGATCTTTAATATTATGCATTTATGTATTAATTACAGATAATTTCAAACCTGCACTCCATGCTCGTTGAAATCGCTAGTGGCAGCGGATCCACTGGAAAAACTGAGACACCTACCAGTATCACTGCCCTGAGTAGTTCTTGCCTCATAGCGCTGTCAGTCGCTAGGGGCGAGGCTGAACTGATACTTAATGCAGTTGCTTCACTTATCATGACATCCCCAACACTGTCAGAACAATACATGCAGGTATTTTCTAAAAAAATGACTAAAATAGTGCAAATAAACGAACAATATAGATTATAGTGTATATAAGACAATGTATGAAACTGGGTATTTCATGATGTATTATAAAGAATGCCGTTGAGTAAAATACGAAATGATGGATAAATAATAAATTTCATGTAATGCAATTCTCCAAATGTACTAGGAAATTTATAAAAATGCAATCAAATATATTTAATAATGGATCTATGATAAAATGAAATAAAATTTTATTAATGTTGAATACAATTGAAATACATATATTGTACATTTATTAATACAAGCTTTTATAAATAAAAGCTTTGAGAAAATTTTTGACGATAAGTCACTAAAATTTTGGTAAAATGCACCTGAGTAGGAAAAATGTTAACTAACAGCTTCGTTTTGTCTTAAAATTGTTTACAAGTAGCACATTATTTATTAGCCAATTTTTATACGTGGTAGAGCCACGCTGCAGCTATATTATAGTTGCAGCACGAATGCGTCGACTCGACCGGGTCAGAACCACACTCTCATAGAATACCAGCGTAAAATATCAGCGTAATGCTGTTATTGTACGCTGTGTTTCGTATGGTGAGTGTAGAGAGCCGGAGAGCCTTTTTTTACTGGAAACGAGGCATTCCATCTGAGTTCATGGGTTACAACGCATTGGCATTTTGATTCTTAATTGAAGATAAATGTGGATGTCTATAGACCACAGCATCCGCTTACCATCAGGTGGACTGTGTGCTCGTTAGTCATCCAGTGCTATAAAAAAGCCAATATAACTAAATATCTTTTATAGCGGAAACTTCTCTTTTGTAGAGACCCTGAGAATTTAGCTACTGTCCAAAATCTGGTTCCTTACACTCGTGTATAGTGAAAATTATTTCCCAAACGGCTCAAACCATGAAATGTAGGTGATAGCTCTAATTGCTATTTATAAATATAATTGAAAATATCTTTGTATCTCCTTTAAGAAAATCGCATCTGCGATCAAGTGTAACATTTTCTACTTTCTGCATACTATACCTTATTGATATTATTGTAACTCCATATTTAGAGGACAATGCTGTTTAAGCCAAGTTAGTCATGCTACTGTTAAAATGAGTATTATGTACCATAAATTAAAATGTGTCATTACAGATTCCTTCTAATTTGACTACTCTTCAAAGAAGTGTTCAATCAGTAATACTTGGGGCTTCGGTGCGCAACCAATGGATAAACTTCGGAGTGCCACATCAATCCCTCGTATCTAGTTTTCCAGTCGACTTACCTTCACTAATGACTTCTGGTCCAGGAGAGCTGGTAGTTCGTTCTTTAGCATCAGACGGCTGCTTTCTTTACGTGTATACTTCAAAAGGCTTATTGAAAATCGGATCGGGTTACGGCAGTTCTATCAGACAACATGTTTATCTATACAAACCTGATTTCTTCGCTGGCGATCGACATGGATGGCTTGGATATTGTAAGGTAATAATAAAACTATATTGAGCAAATAGTTTTTGGTATATTTTTTTTTCTTTGATTCTTCTTTATCTATTTATATTAGTCTCCTATTGGGCGTGGGGCACTCCAATTTTAAGAAGGATTTATTTTATTATAGCCACGCTTGGCAAGCGGATCGCTGATTTATTTGCCGATGTCTATGCTTATGCCGATTATTGGAGGGCGACAGGTCTTTTTGGACTTTTCCATAGGCGCCGCGATCACTCGGTTTTTGACGTTTGCAGGTTTACCTCGAGTTTGATTTAATTAGCTTTTTTGTGAAAACAAAAATACGTACGTGTTCATTTTCCCGTAGGAATTTTTCATCCATATTTGTTTATTGATTGATTACTCGTAACAGACACCTAAACATCATCATCATCTTCATCATTACAGCATTACAGACAATCACAGGTCCACTACTGAACACAAGCGTTGCTCTTTGATTGTCTAATAGCACGATCCAGATTCTTCTCCTCCTGGGTCAATTACTCTTGTTATTCTGCGGATCCTCGTTACGGATTCTATCATAAAATGAAACACTAAGCACAGCTCGATGAGTTACTTAGAGATTTTTTATGATTTTATATGATGCTAAGATTTACATGGCCAGTAGTAAAGGATTACGTCTCAGTTCCATGTCAAACACTGGCAAAATTTTCACACATGTAGTAATAGTATGTCACCATGTAAATCCTTAGCCAAATATGATTGAAACACCATTCAAATACTTTTTGACTTGGTGTGCGTGTTATTTTCAATTATTTTCACGCATTGAATTAATTAGAAAAAATTACATTCCAGAACAAATTGTTCGTTAGAATTGGAAGAAAAAAACCTGAAGTATATGAAGTTGATGGTGAAACATTGGAAGTAAAAGGTGTTATAAAACTAGATCCTGGAAACTCTGGACAGACTGAATCTAAATCAGCTGTCTTTACTGATGGCAACCAGCTTGGACTCGTTTTGCTTACAGCATATGTACGTTCTTATGTAATAATAACTATATTCTATATTCATTTTATATTTTTATATTTCTCATATTTTCTTGTAGGTGAAGAGGGGCCGAACGAGCATATGGCTCACCTGATGGTACGTGATTACCGCTGCCCATGACAACTGCAACACCAGAAGAATTGCAGATGCATCGCCGGCCTTTTAAAGAGGAGTATGCTCTTCTTGAAGGTCGCTGAGTCGCATCGGTCCGGAAAATCTCTGATGGTAATCGATTCCACAAGGAAGTTGTGCGAGGAAGAAAACTTTCTAAATCGCACAGTAGTGGACCGCCAATCGTCCAAATGATATAATCGCGAGTTTTGTCGTGATGTGAAATCGAGCGGCAGGAATTAGCCTGAACAATTCCTCAGAACCCTATTCGTGGTACATGCAATAAAATACGCAAAGCAGTGCCAGTGAGTCAAGCCGATCGGAAAGAGCTCGGTCGCCGACGATTCGAATGGCTTTGCGTTGGATGCGATCTAATGGAAGAAGCTGGAACTGGGAGTCCGAGCCCAGAGATGGGAACAGTATCCACGTGCGACCGAACCTGTGCCTTGTAAAGTTGCAGATGGAGTGCCGGCATGAAATACTGTCTAACTCTGCTGAGTACGCCAAGCTTTTTAGAGGCCAATTTGGCCATGTTTGGCAAGTGACCACGAAACTGCATGTCACTCGATGATATGTCGACGCTGAGGATTACGATACTGGCAACAAGGGGAGTGTCTTGAAACTGAGGAGATACGATGAAGGGGTTCTTTTGAGCGGTATACGCGCAAACTTGTCTCTTTTGGGATTGAACTGAACCAGATTTACCAACATATCATAGAATAGAAGAAACAGCGTTGGTGATAGCACACAGCCTTGTGGAACACCAGCGTTAACGGGCTTGAAATCGGAGCACCGTCTACTTTAACCTGGATATTCCGATCTGTAAGAAAACTGGTGATCCAATCGCACAATTTCTCGGGAAGCCCATAGGAAGGAAGCTTCGTAAAAAGCGCTTTGTGCCAAATCTGATCGAAGCCCTTCGCTATGTCCAAACTAACGGCCAGCGCCTCCTCCTTGGACTCTACTGCCTCCATACATCTATGAGTTAGGTAACACAGAAGATTACCAGCGGTGTGACCCCGACGGAAACCGTACTGGCTGTCACTAATCAACTGGTTATCCTCAAGGTACCTAATAAGCTGGCAGTTAATAATTGTTTCCATTATTTTGGTGAATGAGGAGGTGATAGCGATAGGCCTGTAGTTGGACGGATCTGAGCGGTGATCGAGCGCCTTTTTAGGGATCGGGTGCACTAATGCTGTCTTCCATGAGTTCGGGATAACGCCTAAGGAGTAGGAGTACCGACAAAGACGCGTTAAAACTAGTGCCAACTCCGGAGCAAACGTCTTCAGCACAATACGAGGGACGCCATCAGGCATATTCAACTAGTTGACGTTCGGGGCTTGGAGTGTTATAAGCACCGAGCACTGGGTAAACAGCACATCCTGTATGGAGCACTTACACCGCGGAATGATCTGCGGTATTTTTCCTCCATATGCGGTATTTTCCTCAATCAGCAACAACGCTGGGATCTTCCGGCGAGAAGCAAACCCATCCCCAAGGGTAGAATGCAAAAATAAGTTCGCATTCCGTCCCAATATATAGTGCTAAACACGGCGGGAACTTGCAGAACGTAACCGTGATGGGAGCGTGAGTGATAATGTACTCCGGATCAGACAATGGTCTGAGGAGCCAAGAGGATCGCGAACGAAGGCTTAATATCCGACCGGATGAGAGGTCAGCAGAAGATCCAACAGGAAAGGCACATGATCCTCCACATCTGGGATCTGCGTAGGCGAAGTAACTAGTTGTGTCAGACCATATGCCAATGCAAAACCATAAACAGATCCATCCGCATGACGTTTAAACGGGAATCAAGCCGTTCAGCGTGGTGGGCGTTAAAATCACCAAACATCACGATCTCTGCGGATTGGACCTGTTGTAGCACGAAGTCTGCAGCTGCGTAGGAGAGATACGAAGTATCAGCCGAACAGGACACCTGTGTCTCGGTTAGAAAGAGTGAAAATTCCAAATGAATGGCGTTAAGGTTTGAATGAAGTCCCCTGATGTTGCAGAAATTCACGGGCAGTTTAGCAAGGAGCGTCTTTTGTCTTATTGCTCTGTTTGTCCCGAGCAGGTTTACTCTCGAGCAGATTTTCGCCCCCCCCCCCCCCGAATACGCGGGGCAGCCTGAGCACCCACGCCCAGGAATAGTAGGGTACCTTGGGTGTGGATGCTCCTTGGGTAGTAGTATTCTATTTGACTCCGCTACCATGTTAAGGAGACAGGTGAATTGGGTCTCCGGCCACCTGCACTCACCAGACGAAATGCAGAAGCAGAGCTTCTACTTCACGCTGGTCTTTTGTGCTGTCGTGGTACCACCCTGGTTCGAGCCGGTACGTGCAACAGCAAATACTACCGCTTGGCTCTATCAGTATTATAACTGTTATAAATATGATCTGATATAAATATTTTTTTATTATAAAAGATATAGATTATAAAAGAGGCGTTTTTAGGCGTTATAAAGGCTAAAACTGTACATGGTCAAGCATCCATCAAAGTAAAAACCAAAAAATAAACATTTTTCTTATTTCCGTGTGTGTAAAGCAAGGGGTAAAATTAGAAATTTTGTAAAACCGCCTTAAATATTAATAAAATGAGAACATCATCAGTGTAGTCGAAGTCAATTAAATACGTATTATTAAGGATAACTCTATAACTATTGGTCCTATCTTGATCAGATTTATGTGTGGTCCCCACATGAGAAACAGCTGTCAAATAAAAAAAAGATCATCACAATTGGTTCACCTAGACAATAATTCTGGGGTAACATACAAAAAATATAGTCGATTTGAGAACGTCTTCCTTTTTAAAGTCTTCTTACGTTCTTTTGTTACGTATACGTAACAAATGAACGCAACGTAAATGTATTTTTGTGCAGGATAATCTCTCAATAAAAATGTATGATATGACCTCGCTACCAGAACGTGTGGAAAATACTCCCATTACACTGTCATCACGTAAAGATCTGAATGTGCATCTACTAAGGCGAAGGACTTTGGCTTTGGGAAGAGCTCCATTTGAAGATGGTATGTCTAGAAGGTCGACAGAGCTGGATACACCGATAGCGATGCAATTCGATGATAACGATGAGGATCCTCTATTGGGCATATGTGCTGGTCAAGATTTTGGGCTTCTTACTACTGCCACCGGAAAAGTAAGAGATTTTAATTTGTTACAGAAGATTTTTACACGGATTAAATTTATTATTAATTTTAGGGGTATTATCACTGGTACTTTTAATTAATATTTCCGACTATGAGAGATTTTATTAAAGGTAATTTTTATATCTCAAACCAATGTTTGTGGCTGTCTTATCAGAATTCAAGTGCTTGAATGTGTACGAAAATAGTACTAACTGTATTAGGTTCTAAGGTCCTGCCTATATAAATAGTGTTACATTTTGTATTATATTGAACTGAAAGAGCATAACAGACGGGCATTAAAGCAGGGACATGTGGATATCATAACAATATTGATAAGTAATGTAAATTATGAATTTGCAGGTGTATTATACCGGCAAAGGTACCAGCCTTGGTTATAAAGTGGCATCTCCGCATACTGGGCGGTGGACTCTCATGAAAGAAACTTTGTTTAACAGGAATGAACCTAACGTAAAGAAGTGCAAAGTTATTCAGGTGGGCCAAAATAATTCATTGCGTAATGTAATTTTTTTTTTATAAAACTAAAGTCACAAATAAACTTACAGTCCACGTGTTGGTAATTGGCTACTGCATTTCATGGATACCTGCAGCTGACTTTAATCCAAGAAGGCTACAAATGCGTTGTCACCTCTGAAGATTCATATGGAATTAATTTCACAGGTAGCTGTAGGTCACGAGGGTGTTCACGCGATTTTAGTGCTGGATAATGGGAGTGCCCTATTCACCGGAATCGCGCGGCGCGGTGAAGACGGTGACAGCAATAAACATCGTCGCACTCCGAAACCTACGCGCCCTAAGAAAATTACTAAGGTTTGTAATATTTACATTACTATCACACAATACATCACATCAACAATATTTAAGGTAATTCCAATCTAAATTAGCGCCAAGTTCAAAAACTTTACTTAGCAAAGATTATATTTTATAATTACGACATATCTTCTCGTCAGGTATACCTCAATCTCTAAAAACTAGATTGTACAACCAGTGCGTGTTGCCAGTGATGACTTACGGATCTGAGACGTGGTCCTTCACTGCTGGCTGTATGAGGACGCTCAAGGTCGCTCAGCGAGCTGTGGAGAGGGCTATGCTCAGAATTTCTCTGCGTGATAGACTCAGAAATCAGGATATCCGCAGTAAAACCAGAGTGACCGACATAGCCCAACGGATTAGTAAGCTGAAGTGGCAATGGGCCGGCCATATAGCTCGAAGAACCGATAACAGATAGGGAAGAAAGGTTCTCGAGTGGCAGCCTCGTGCCGGTAGGCGTAGTGAGGGCGACCCCCCACTAGATGGAGTGACGACCTGGTAAGATATGCAGGAAGTCGATGGATGCAGGTGGCTCAGGACCGTGTTTTGTGGCATTGCTTGGGGGAGGCCTATGTTCAGCAGTGGACTTGTGAAGGGCTGTAATGATGATGATGATGATGATATTTTATTAAAGGGTTATTATAATATTAAGGATCCATACATCCATTACAACCTATAAAAGTTCACTGCTGAACATAGGCCTCTTAGGGGGGATTTTGCCATATATTTGCCACCATTATCGTTTATCAAGATGATGCGGCCGGTCGTATTCTTGTTTCTGTTTCAATCTGTTGCCTTGTATGACGAAAATAACTCTGGGAAACAAGGCAAAAATTGTTACCAAGCTATTTCTAATATAATTTTTATAGTTAATTGTTCAATATAATACATGATTATATCGGGATCTTTTAAAAAGAAAGGCCCGCTAGGTTTCTTGATGGTTATTGTTGGATCGAGGTATTTTCCAAATCAGATGTATATGATATCATAATGAGTTTCAATAAGTATAACTTATGATCTATATGGAATTAAAAAATATCTATATTTATTAATTTGGACATAAATTAGATTAGTAATAAAAGAATTAGATTACTAATAAAAGCCGCCATCTGACCTTTTTTTGATGGTTCTCAAACGCGGAGACGACACGCATGTTGTGTAGTGCTGTTCTTCATCAGCAGGCTGCGGAAGTTGGGTTTACTCACAGATATCGTAATAATAATAAGTGTTATTACGATTTCTATGGTTTTATTTTTGTTTGGATAGATTTGCCATATCAATATGCTGATTGGACTCCCCCGTCAATCAGTCAATAATTTACAGTGATAGATGAAAATGGCGTGAAAACTACAAAACTGGTTTTTATCAAACTTAGTCTTGTCCTCAATCATTTATGTGCATAATAGCCATAGACATCTTAGGCAACTAACTTTAAACAGCTTTTTAAGCATATAATAACGGGTGGAATGATACCTCAGATCGACGGTCACTTCGTGGTGTACGCGGCCTGTAACTATGGTTCCACTGCTCTGGTCACAAGACAAGGCTTACTGTTTATGTTCGGGAAGGACACGCAACATTGCGACTCTGCGGGAGTTGTCACTGGACTCAGGCACGAGAGAGTAACTCAGGTAGATTAATGTCGATTAAATAATATTTAACATTAGTCTTTTTTGTCATATATTTTCCTAATTTACCTTTTTTAGTAACTATTTAATTTACCAACCACGGGGATTGCTCAGAAGAATTGTTTGTATTAATTCCAGCAGCCAGATTCTGCTATCTCACAATGTAGCAAAATTCACGTTATCATCCACACCATCTAGATATCTGGCGGTCACACTTGTGATTTACCAGAAATTTTCTTATTCAGACGAATTCTTTGTGGAATCATCTATCACTAGCAAATTTTTGCGCCAATGGGATAGGAACCTTCCAAAAAAGAGCCTTTTATAAAAAAGGCGTTGAAACGAATTATTCCGTTTATCCACTGTAAGAAATCTAGGGTGGATAATCGGAATTCACTTTTTGATTGTTTTACCGCCTTTCGAACCCAAGTACAGTTCAACAGAAAATATAATCATACTTTAATATATTATTCATAAATTTTTAATAACCACAAACTTAAACAAAAATCGTATTACGTACTATGGCATTTAAACCAGATTAAACTTCCTCATTTTAAATAAGTAATGTATAAATTTTGCAATATGTCCAGGAAATGACCAACACTAATTTCATTGAAATAATACTAGTTTTTACGGAATTTATCGCGTATATTTCCATTACATTTATAACTTCTTAAATACCCGACGTTTCGAACGCTTTACAGCACTCATGGTCACGGGCAGGACTGAGATGTTCAACGTCCATATGTCATAGTTAACCGCGGTTACCATAGATTAAAATTTAACTTTTGTTCCGATCTATGCAGTATGAACTTATGGTATCTTGAAGTCTTGCAGTTGTATGCTTGGGATGGGATTTATTTATTATAGGATCCCAAGCAGATGGTAGCACCCAGCCATCTTCTCTATTGAAATTAGGATGTTTTTTGATTTCAATAGCCTAGCGAATCATCCTTGGAAGGAATCGGTGTTCTTTAGCGAGGATCTGCGGTCTATCAAATCTGATGTAGTGACGGGGGCGATCCTGTATGTGTTCACAGACTGCAGACTTCCCGGAGCGTCGATTCTTCACATCAGCTATATGTTCTTTAACGCGGGTTTTTATTGATCTTTTAGTTTGTCCTATGTAGGAGAGACCACATTCACAATCAAGCTTGTACACTCCTGCATCTTGCAGAGGGACATTACACTTGACCGATGGTAAAAACTGACCAATCTTCTTCAGCGGCTTGAAGTATGTTTTGATGGAAGCGCGCTTCAAGATGTAGCCAATCTTGTCAGTGACTCCTCTAACATATGGCAGTACAGCAGGTACACGCTCGACTGTGGCCGGCTTCACTCGTTCACTGTGACGTAGGCGCGGGACTCGAAGCTTGTTGTCATGCAAAACTTGCTAGTCATGGTGGAGCTCTGCAGCCAGGTGTTTACTGTCACAGATCCCTCGTGCTCTCTGAAACAAAGATTTACCCACGGTAGCTAACTGTGAAGGATGGTGGTGAGAATCACCGTTTAAATATCTATCTGTATGGGTCTTTTTTCTATACACAGTATGGCTCAAGGTGTTATCAGGATTCCGAATTACTAACACATCTAGAAAAGCTAAGGAATTGTTTGCCTCTAACTCCATTGTGAACTGAATTTTAGAATTTATAGAGATAAGACGGTCTAAAAATGCAGTTACTTTATCTAATTGTGAAAGTGTCGTCTACGTACCGCTTGTAGAACCTTGGATTTATGGGAGAACTAAGTAGGGCTTTCTCCTCAAAGTCTTCCATGAATATGTCGGCGACAATGGGAGATACAGGTGAGCCCATCGCCACACCATCTACTTGCTTGTAGAACTCCTTCCACAATAGGTAGCCAGATGTAAGGCAGTGTCTGAGTAATACTGCATATTCCACGGGCATGTTGTTTTCTTCCAGCCTTCTAGTTACAATTGAGATGCAATCTTCAACAGGTAAGCATGTAAACAATGACTGCACATCAAAACTCACCATAGTTTCATTGTCTGCCAGATGTAGGTCTTTAATCTCGCTGACAAAATGGTAGGAATCCTTTATGTGTGCTCTTGTATGTCCCTTGAGTGGTGAGAGTATTTTCGCTAAGTGTTGAGGCAATCTGTAAGTTGGTGAATCGATTTGGCTCACTATGGGACGTAATGGAGCATTGGGCTTGTGTATTTTTGGTAACCCATACAATTTTGGTGATTTGGCGCACGTAGGTATTATCCATTTTACGTCCAGATTTAATTTTTCGGAGTGTTTCTTTATGAGGTCACTAGTTGTTTTTAGTGTGCTATTTGTTGGGTCGTTTTTAACCTTTTTATAAGTACTTACATCCGACAAAAGTTCTTGTATTTTAGAATTATAATCTGACGTATCCATGACTACCGTGGCGTTTCCCTTATCTGCGCGGAGAATCGTAAGTTCGTGTTTATTGCGTAGGTTCTTTAACGCTATAAATTCGTCTTTGGGAAGATTCGGTTTAGGCACTGAACATCGACGTAACATAGACGAGATGTCTTGACGTATCGCCTCCAAATCTTCTTTCCGCATATTGTTTTTAAATAAACAGTCCTCGACACTACAGATAATTTCTTCGTACGATAATTTGCGGGGTGTAATTGCAAAGTTGAGGCCTTTGGATAAAACCCTAATTGTTGCATCATCCAGTGTTTGTTTTGACAGATTATAGAGCGCGATTAATCTATGATCTGTGTTTGTCAATGGTTGCTTTCGGTCCTGGCATTGATTCAGATGTTTGACATTTGACTTGTTCGTTAATTTTTGATATTTTTCTATATGTTTGTTTTTGCATTCGTTATATTTACTAATTTCGCGTTTATTTAATGTTTCCATGCAAAAATTATAGTCAAACGTCGTTAAAACTTTCTTCAATTCACTGGATGATGTGACTATGGATTTGTTTATGTCATATTGATCGGAGCGTTTTTTTGGATTACCGTCCGTAAAAACTTTTTACTCGCCTGATTTAAGATCTTAGCGCTTCCTCGAATGTCCTTTTTGGTTGATATTTTAACACACGTAGGAATGAGATTATGGTCACGGCATCTCTTCAAGGAATTTAAGGCTGTTAGATATCTTGCGCGCTTGGTCTTTAGATCTTCTAATCGGCGTATTTTATTTGCAATTACCAGTCCGTACTGGTTTACATAATGATTTCTTATATTTACGCGAACACTACACATTGAAATAATACTAATTTCATTATTGAGTAGATGCAATTGTATATCCTTTATAAATTCGTCTCTTTTAATGTACATTTGCAATCTTTTCCAAATTTCTTTGTTACAATTGAGGTATTAGCGAAAAGATGAGCGTTTTTTTTTTTAAAGAAATCTAAAAATATTACTAAATTCGGATTATCTTTATCTTTATCTTGATCTTCATTTGAAATAGTTTTATGCTAAGATTCTATTGAATTTGTAGTTCTGTGAGGCACTACGAATGAACTCCAAACAGCCACACGGTTTTCGTCCTTGAGCCATGTCTCTTCATAGCATTTCACAAATACCATTATATTATCATCATTATCCGAAAAAGATTTAACAAACATTCATCATGTTTCTATAAACGACTGCACACAGGCTAGGGCGTCTTGTGTGGATAAATTAAAAAAATTAATAAAATAAAAACAGGAATTTATCCATCCATACATCCATTACGTTTTTCCGAGTATCCATCCTAGGGTGGATAAACGGAATAATCCGTCAAAACATCTGCTATCTACTATCACGTGGGCCGCCATTTACCCCTCTTTTAAAAAAATATTTTTGCTGACTAAGATTTATGCGTTAAAACTTGTAGAACTCAAAATATTATCTAAGATATTTTGATAATCTTGCTGTTATACTCTGCGGTGGAAGCAATCAAGTTTAGCGCCGCATCGCTTCGCTTAAATCAGGTCGCTCCTATTGTTCACATTTTTCACATATTTGCTTCGATCAGTAATAAAGATATTAGTGATCGAAGCAAATTTACTGTAAATTATTTAAAAAATTCCAGTTGAACCTAATGCAACTTTTGGATTCAATTTTTATTTGCTGTTTTTTTTTAAATCAATGTGATGCTTTTCTTGCTACAGCGTATATGAAGCTATGCCCCTAGATATGGTGGGGTAATGTAATTCACGGTTAATCGGTGCTGGAAATAATTTATTATCCAGCATTTCATTATACATAACTGTGATCCGTGTGTAACTGGTAGGAAATTAAAATTAAAAATTATTACTTATTAATTACAGGTTGCTTTAGGTAAAGCTCATGCTGTAGCTTTGACAACTTTTGGTCAAGTATACACGTTCGGTATTAACAACAAGAGCCAATGCGGCCGAGAGTTTGGTTATACTAAGGAGAGTGAGTACAATTTGGCTTTATTTATACCAATAACTATGTTTATACAATATGTAACGTAATTAACGCACACCCTCAGACACCCCAATTAGTATATTATGTTATAATCATAATACATACACTGAATTTTTAGTTAAACATTTTTATGCACTGATTATTTATCAAATTAGTTATACTAATTCCGGAAGAATGTTGTGGTCACAGTACAAATCCACGAACGCAAAGACTTCAACGTGCTTGAAATAAAGTTCGTTTTTCTTTATTTTTATTGAATGACAGAATTAGTAATAATACAAATAAAACTGCACTTTTGAAAGTCTTATTGCCTTAAGTTACGGCCCATTTCAGTTTGTTTTGACTGTACAGATTTAGTGTGATTGTAATTTATGTAGGTTTAAGGGATAAAAAATTACCTATATTAAAAATGATAGGAATCGATTCAGTAAACGATTCTGAACAAACTACTTTCTCAAAGTGCTTTAATTATGTTACATGTTGTATATATTTTTTGATTTCCTAATGGTAGCCAGTATTTTATTACCATTATTATTATTATTTATTACCATTACGGTCTATCATAAGTTCACTGTTGAATATAAGCTTTTCCCAAATGAATTTTTTGGAACTTCGACCCCTTTCTTCATAGCTCGCTGAGTGACCTTAAGTTCCTCATACGGGTACCAGTGAAGGATCACATCTCATCCGTATGCCACTGGTTTCTCACTTGTTCGCGTCGTATTTTGCATTAAAATGTTGTTCTTCCCGCACTCAATTAAAAATTAATATACGACTTTTATTTATATAATTCAAGGCGCCATTTATTATGCTTCATTTTTTTATCCTTAATTCTAGTTTTTTATTTTTCAATTATTGACTGTTTTTTTTTTGCTTATTTATATTATTATATATTGAGCTTTGATATGAGAATAATTGGACTGTTGTAAATGACGTATAAAAATCCTTATTGTTATTTAAAAAAGCTACAATGTTTTTTTGCTAAAGTATGCATTTCAAATGTCTCGTCATCTCACGGTGGTTTGAATTGTGTTAGCTTCTTTCGTCTCTTAAGAGTAGTACCACACCGTGCCCTAACCTGTGATGAACTTGCAGAGATGTGTCCACGTCGTACAAACAAAGAGGACGTTCGTGTGTGTGAAGGTGCTCACACCTGGCTCACGGACTACTGTCGTATATGCACAGTTTGTCGACAATGTACGGGCTTTGCTGCTAATTGCCGCTGCGCTGCGATGCCAAACCGCGTGCCGGGAGAGTAAGTCGTTCCTTTTTTGTCGTATGCATTGTGTTTTATTTAATTATTTCCTGTACTAATATTAGTTCTTAAGTTTTATTTGTATTACTAACATGCCATAGGCCTACGATGCCTGAAAAATAAAACATTTTTATTTTATTTATTATTGTATTACGTCATACTCGTACATCGTACGTCGTATTAAAATGGCATGCCATAATACGGAATGAACAGCTGTGACAATGCTTTTGAAAATAATTGCTTTTTCAAAAGAATGTCATGTTATTTGTGATTATTTAAAATAGATCGCGCTATAGTCGAAACTGTATTGAAACAATATTTTTTTCCTGAAAACGACACAACCCCGACCAATGGGACTAAAGTTCATAATGACGAATTGAAAGCAGCAGCTGGGAGCACATTTATCTCAAACCACGTCAGAATTGCGGCAGCCTTCAATATAAATGATAAAAGGATATTGATTTATTTGCGTCTAAGTAGGAAAATATAGGAGCTGGGATAATAGTACGGTATTAACTTATTGAAGGATAATGGCAAATACGCTTTGAGGCTTGGGTTTTTTGAGTGTAAAAAAACACATTGTTCACAAATTAAAAAAAAACGGCAAATAGAGTATAGATAACAGATGCATTATTTTTATTTTTATCAAACATAAGTGACAGTCAAACCTACAGTCCACCTGATGAAAAGTAGTTACTGCAATCCATGGACGCCTGGAACAAGCTTATACAAAGAAAGCTATAAGCTACAGATGCATTGTCACCTATGAGCATCAAGATGGAATGCCGCATACTATGTAATTATACTTGCTCTGTATAAAATTTAGACTGTACCATAAGGGAGCAGCACTGCTAATTGGCAGGAGAAGTTGGTAGCTAGTAGCGCAATAACAAAATAAATAATAATACTAAGTACAGAAGTTGCAGAGCCGTGGTAGCTCAGATAGTTAGCGCGCGTTGTAAATTTCACAGTACGCGAGCAAACCGGGTTCGATCCCCGCCGGCACCAATGAAATTGTTAATTGCAATTTTAAGTGCTGATTTACCACGTGCTCGGCGGTGAAGGAAAACATCGTGAGGAAACCTGCATGTCTGAGGAATAAGAAAAAAAATATATTTCGAAGACATGTGAAGTTCGCCAACACGCATTTGGGCAGCGCGGCGGACACTTCCTTGGCCTAAACCCTCTCAGAAAAGAGGGGAGGCCTGAGCCCAGCAGTGGGACGTATATAGGCTGTAAATTTACTTTACTTTTACAGAAGTTGCACTTCTACGATCTTGACTACTTGCAGGCGTTTTAATAGGCTACATAATTATTATTAATTAGATAAATCACTTAAATCAGGTTAAAACTTTATCGCTGCGAGTGTCCGCATGGCTTTGAATCTTTTCCCCTTCTTACATCACGGACGATATTCCGTGTTTACCTAGAGTCATCAACGAAGAGAAAGAAAATACGGTACCTTTAGATTATTCATTTAATTTAAATCTGTTTTACTTTATTAAATTTAATAGTGGATAAATCTCTAAATATGTCGATAATTTAAGTAAATAGTGGGAGTGATAAAATTAAAATTAAAAAATCAGTATTATGTTTTCAAAATGGTTAATGAATGTATTTTATATGGTATACATATAAATAACAAAAATATCTCCGTGTATTGTCGTGTAAGAATCGACGGAGGGAAACAAATCATATCCAATAAATCAATCAAAATGGGTAGCAGCTTCTTCCTAATAACGACTAGAAATTAAAAAAAATCTGCCATTGCCATCCCGCTTGCCAAGCGTGGCAACTGACACAAACACGCACTCTATGAGGCAATCTACGGGAGAGACCTGTGTTGAGCAGTGGACTTTAATAGGCTGTTACGGTAAGGTACGGATACGTATAAATTACACTAAAACTTAAGCAACAATTTTATTCTTTAATATATTAAACAATAAACAAAAATATTTATACAATTATTCACAAAAATATATTAATGTTAACACGCAAACAGTGTAAAAACGCGTATGTAACCTGAGGTTTTACGCGATTGCAGGTATTTACAGTAACTAATTGCTGCTAACTTTTTAACTGACAGGTTCATGATCCAAGTACCTGCCAACAAGATTTGTGATTATTTAAACATTCCTCTTCTTCACTTACGCAGCACTGGACTATTTGCACCTAAATCCACTTAATATTATTAGTGCTATATAATATCGTACTTGTAACTATGAACTGGGGCTTAGGAGATGCGGCTGCGGTGAGGGAGACAGCGGCTGTACCGTTTGCGGCATATGTCGCAAATGTGCTGAGGCTTCTACTTCCACTCGACTAGAGAAGGCCGCCGAGATGCTTGAAGACTTAGACGCTTCTCACTCTGAAGCTAAAAGTGGTAAGCTATAGATACTAAAGTCGGTTGTTGCGTTGTGTACAAAATTGTAATAAAACTGTTATAACAATAGATAATTAACATTTATACAAGGTAGTATTTTCGAATCTGATATGAAGTGTGGGGATTAAGAGAATATGCTACAATTTTTCTTGAAATTTCAATCTCAGCTTTACGTGGTGAGTCTGACTATGTCTGTGAGTGAGTCTGGATTAATGAAACTTGAGCGACCGAATTTTGGCTAAAGATCTATCAAAAAAATCAACCCAAATTCTACATTGATGATCAATTAGCAGCATAACTATAGGCTGTCAACTTCTGTACTGTACGGATGGCGGCTGTACTCTTCTGGCTACAGGGGTTGGCAAGGACGAGGTAAAACGGCCTCAAAGGGGAAGCGAGCGGTATGCGAGTGGGCGAGCGACCACGCCGCGTGCTCAAGAGCGCCAGTCGCCGGTGGTCGCTTGCAACGGTTACTTGTATACTAGACGCACACGAGATTACGATCCGAAGATGAGCAAACCGATTGGACGACAATCAAAAGAAATTGTGTATAACGTATACATGTATTTTAAAGAGCGTAAAAATGATAAATCATCGCAAGAATACCAGAACCATATTAATTTGGCAAAAACCGTGTCTGTAAATAGATATGGATTGCGACTATAATTAGTTTTCGTTGTAAATATGAGTGTAAATAAAAAACAGTATTAAATTACTTTCTTATTTAGAAAAAATATTATTACTATTATTGGGTGTTTAATCTTTTATTTTTCCAATTTTCGTTCTCCTTTCGTTCTACTTTCGGCGTGCATTACATTTTATACTTTAGATTTTGCAAAGCTTCCTCATGAATCACTCCGTCTATTGGAGAAAATCCGTTTAGTTGTTTTTGAGTTTATTATACAGACGCGGCGGGGGACTTTTTTTATAATATAAAGTGATTTAATATTATATCGAATTCATCACTACATCACACAATACTTCGTAATAAATCTAAATAAATCCATACTAATCTCAAGATAACTCGATCCCAAATCCCTACGTGTGTAGCCGTGGGCGTGGCCTCGTGCACGAGCCGCGTGCTTCCTCGTCCCTCTCCACCCTGTACCCCGTGGGCGCGGACTGCACGACGTTGACAGCCTATAGTGCGAGGGTGTCGGCTCTGTGCTTATCAAACCAATCAAATTAAAACAGTTCAGTTCGTTGTCGCAATTCTCAAAATAAATTCGTTCCCACTTCAGCAGGCAGTGTAAGATAAAAAGGCTTCACCTTTGCGAAGTATGTTGTCAGTGTTGAAGTTTACGTGAATTATATGTCAGTTTAACAATCTTTCTACGTCTTTGCTTTGTAAAAAATAACACAAAGTAAGAAGCAAAGAGAAGGTTACTATAGATTATAAAAAATATTTTTATTTCCATGAGTTAATTTCATTTCAATTTATAATTTTGTTTTCTGTTATCTATTAGTATTATAATCATGGAGATTATAAAATTAATTAGATCTTGTATATTTTTTAGCACTTTGATGCAGAAGCGTAATTCATGAATCTCGAACTTGTGGAGTCGAGTGTTAACTTGAGTTTGTTTCTGGTATCTATAGAATAAACTTTTTTTATTGAAACTACTTATGTTTATGTACATAAATGTTAGAAAAACAATAAAATTCTCTAGAGGACTAAGATTTAGTTTACATGTTATTGCTATGGGCCTTTTACGTAAAACAGAAGTAGGCTGCTTGTTGTTTGCGTTTGAAAATTTGTGCAAAATTTCAAACGCTACCCGAAAGTTCATGTGACACATAAAAATATTTACAGCAAATGTTGCAGAGCAGATGGAGAATCAGCATTCAGATTTAGATAACTATATGAAATTATTTGTAGACGCGGAGTGCTCGAAAGTGTCTGCGTTCGAGGGTACGTCGAGTATGATGGTGGGGCCGGAGGGCGAGCGCGAGGCGGGTGCGAAGGTGACCAGCGTGCCGCCGGCACGCGTCGCCGTGCCCGGCGGACACCGCGTCGTCGCCGTCGCCTGTGGACTGCACCACACCGCGCTGCTCACGGAGCACGGTAACCATTACAAATATCACTCGTGCAGATAACAAATGGAACTATAAATGGCATCTCATGTATTCACCTCTCGCTTGCACACTGCCGAGGTCTATACTCACACCTACCGGCAATAACCACAAAAAATAACGTCATTTTTGCGTTCCGATAAGCGTTTTTGTTTTAATTTTAAGCTTGAGTAACAACACATAAATTTTTAATATACTTTTGTTTTATGAAATGTCAATAATTATAATTCAATAAAAATAAATATTATTTATTAATTGATTTATATCATATTCATTTTAAAATTCCAAAAAATATAAAACAATATACTAACATAACGTTTCAATTAATATAATATCTTTATTTTATAATATAGCGATGTGATGTTTTAAGCACCGCCTTCGTTTTACGTACAGTGTGTGCTGACACTATAAGCTCCGCGAGCCGTCATTCCCATTCTTTATCCGCACGAGTAGTTTCTTTTACGGGGGTATAATTTTTTTATTTTCGTATTTGCCGTGTAGTGGCGGTTAAGAATATCCATTACCCCATATTTTCCCGTGGGTGTCGTAAAAGGCGACAGAGGGAAACAGGCAGGAGATGAGAAACAGTATCTTCCTGAAAACAGCAACTGTATAACAAAAAAACTGCGGTTGCCAATCCGCTCGCCAAGCGTTGCAACTTTTGCAACGACGCACATAGACGACCCTCCACGGACAACGACGCACATAGATGACCCCCAGTTCCCGACGACCCCGCTATTCCTGGCTACGGTGGCGACCATGATAACGGCGGGGCAGGGGGTGCTAAGAATCTCCGGTGGAGGTTCGATTGCCACCTATGACGACTCGACCTGGAAACAACGCACGCACCCTGAGGACTGACGAGAAGATCCTGGAGCTGGAAGAAGTGATAGACAAGTTGCGCTGGAATATTATAAGATTATCCGAGGTCCGAAGAGAGGGGGAGGACACGGTGATTCTCGAACCCGGCAACTTGTTCTATCACCTAGAGGGCGACCATCTGTCCCAAGGAGGTGTTGGATTTATCGTCCACAAGTCTATCGTTAACAACGTTGTAAAGATTGTGAGTGTGTCGACGAGGGTTTCGTACTTTATACTCAGAATCACCAAGCGGTATTCGCTGAAGGTCATACAGGTTTACGCACCAACATCGGCACATCCTGATGAGGAAATGGAGGAAATGTATGACACTATTTCTAGAGCCATGCATTTCTCCAAAACGCACTATACGGTGTTAATGGGAAACTTCAACACAAAACTAGGTACAAGAAAGAACGATGAGCTGAAAGTAGGAAAATATAGGATAAGGCAACGGAACCCAGGGTGCCAGCACCTGGCTGACTTCATGGAGAAAGAGGGACTCTTTATGATGAACTGTTTCTTCCAGAAGCGGCCCCACAGAAAATGGACTTGGTTGAGTTCGACCAAGCAATTCGGGTCGAGCCCCGACGGTTCGACAAAAAAAGAGATTGACTTCATTATGACGACTAGACGGCAACTGTTCAGTGATATCTCAGTGATCGCAAGGGTGAAAACTGGCAGCGATTACTGAATGTTTAGAGGCACCCTGAACCTAAACGTTAAGTTGGAGAGGTCTCGCCTAATGAAGTCAACGCTCCGTCCCCCTCGTGCTCTAATCCAAAATCCCGAAACCTTTCAGTTCGAGTTACAAAACCGTTTTCAGTGCCTAGAAGATTGCAATGCAGTGGACGATATGAATGATAAGCTTGTGGAAACTATCCATACGGTCGGAGCTAAGTTCTGCAACACTCCCCGCAGAAGAACATAAAAGTTCTCCGATCACACTCTTAATCTCATGGCTGTCAGACGGGAGATGAAGCTGCAGTCGTCAGTAGATTTTTCAGCATACAGCCAACTTAACAGACAGATTTTCAAATGCATGCGGTGGGACTTACGCAACTTAAATACTGCTCGTATTGAAGAAGTGATCGAGCGGAGCCAGGGCTTTTGCCAGAGATCTGTTTGCCAGAAAGAGCCAACTGTCAAAGCTGAAGACTGAGTGTGGCAGCATCGTTTCCGGGCCATCTGAGATTTTAAGTAAGATTGAGAGGTTCTATGGGCAGCTGTACACAATCGTTGGAGCCACACGCAAGTGTAACGATCCAAGAGCAAGTCGTATCCGACACTATTCCGATGATATTCCGGACGTCAGTCTGAGCGAGATTAGAATGGCTCCTCAGCACCTTAAAAACGGCAGGGCCCCAGGCGAGTATGGAATTACAGCGGAGCTTCTGAAAGCGGGTGGAACACCGGTACTTAAAGTCCTTCAGAAGTTCTTCAATTCCGTCCTCCATGGTGGCACTACTCCGGAGGCGTGGAGCAGAAGTGCGGTGGTCTTGTTTTTCAACCTATGCCGGTAGTTGTTGAGAGCACTAAACTCGAAGTTGTTGACGAGTACGTTCACCTGGGACAAATAGTCAGACTAGGTAAGTCCAACTTCGACCGATAGGTCAATCGATGGATTCCACTCAGCTGGGCAGCGGTCGGAAAATTACAACACATCTTCTCGTCGGATAAACCTCAAAACCTGAAAACTAGATTGTACAACTAGTGCGTGTTGCTAGTGATGACTTACGGATCTTAGACTTGGTCCTTCACTGCTGGCCGTATAAGGACGCGCAAGGTCGCTCAGCGAAATATGGAGGGGGCTATGCTCGGGGTTTCTCTGCTTGATAAACTCAGAAATGAGGATATCCGCAGTAGAACCAGAGTGACCGACATAGCCCAACGGATTAGTAAGCTGAAGTGGCGATGGGCCGGCCATATAGCTTCAAGAACCGACAACCGATGGGAGGAAAGGTTCTCGAGTGGCAACTCGTACCGGTAGGCGTAGTGTAGTGCGACCCGTCACTAGATGGAGTGACGACCTGGTAAGACATGCAGGAAGTCGATGGATGCAGGTGGCTCAGGATCGTGCTTTGTGGCATACCTTGGGGGAGGCGTGTGTTCAGCAGTGGACTTGTGAGGGGCTGTAATGATGATGATGATGATGAATGGATTCGTACGTTTGTATTTTCACCACTGTCAAGTATTAAGAAATTGTCTTTTATATTTTTTTGTTAAAAACTTCTTCATAACGTTTATTACTGTTATTAGATAAGTAGCATGTTGTTTTAATTTTTTTATATAATGTTGTATAATTTACTAAATAATATTAAGACAATAAAAAGATAACAATTGATTTTTCATAAAATAAAAAATATTTTTTTTAAATGTACGTACACTCAAACGCCAGTGAGGTCATTATATCGCTTTAGTATAGCCACCACATGGTAAAATCGGAATAAAAATTGTCGTTGCAAAATACAGGTTATATAATATGTTTTGTTCTGTTATAATTATGACTAGAGATCAGATAATTGGATGCATATTTGCCTAAAGCTAGCTTTAGGCTAATAAAATATGGAAGAGGCTTCCTAGGATATTTTTAATAAAAATATCCCGGGATTCCGGGATCGCAAAACTAATCGGATGTATATTTAGTTGTTAAACATGATGGTGTTACGTCTGATTCTACTGACTATTCAATACTTATTAATTCAGGATTATTCAGAGAATTGTAGTATACAATAATAATTTTCTCGAAGTTATCATTTGTTAGTATATCCACATCTACAGAAGTAACTGGCACAATTTTTTAAACAACAGAGTCATTTTATTTATTACATGTTTCGCTTATTTCCCTAAGAACATCAAAATCACGGTTTCTATCCATAACTTGCCCCATTTTGTTGATAAACGTATTATTTTTTGTCTCGTTTAAGATGAATCTTACGTCGTCAAATATTTCGAATATATCTGTTATAGACAGGTCACATTTTTCTAATTATACTATTTCAACACGTGAAGTTTTGAATACTTACTTTATACTTAACATATACTCTAAATCATTCTTCAATTTAGGGATAGCTAGTACTTTTCTAGCATTTGGATGAATGGATATGGATTCGTTGCCATCAAATAAAAAACACTCAATATTTTGTCTAATTATTTGGCATAGTAAAATGCCGCCTCTAGCCATGTTCCCCACCTAGTGATAACTAGCAAAGGTAAATTTGAATGTAGTTCCTATAAAATTCGTACTCTGTTGGGAGCTTTTAAAAATATTTTTTGACATTATTAATTAGACATTACCGTAGCTTAAAAGTATTGTCTCTGTTAATCTGTGCAAGACATGAACTAAACACGTAAAATGTTAATGTTAACAATAGAGTCCAAGGGGGAGGCATTGGCCGTTAGTTTGGACATTGCGAAGGCCTTCGATCGGGTTTGGCACAAAGCGCTTCTTTCGAAGCTCCCTTCCTATGGGCTTCCCGAGAAATTGTGCGATTGGATCACCAGCTTTCTTGCAGATCGGAGCATCAAGGTCGTTGTAGACGGTGCAAGCTCCGATTGCAAGCCTATTAATGCTGGTGTTCAAATAGGCTGCTGCTATCGCCAACGCTGTTTCTTCTGCATATCAATGATATGTTGCAAACCCGTAACATTCATTGCTATGCAGATGATAGCACTGGTGATGCTCTTTACACCGGCCGTGCCAATATTTCTCGGGAAAACGTCTTCGAGTGCCGGGTCAAACTTGTGTCTGAAGTTGAGTCTTTGCTGAACAGAGTCTCGGATTGGGGGCGACTAAATCTAGTCCAGTTTAACCCCCAGAAGACACAAGTTTGCGCGTTAACCGCTAAAAAGAACCCCTTTGTCGTATCTCCTCAGTTTCAAGGCACTCTCCTTGTTGCCTCAGCCAGTATCGGAAACCTCGGCGTTGACATATCGAGTGACGTGCAGTTTCGTGGTCACTTGAAAGGGAAGGCAAATTGGCTCTAAAGCTGGTGCAGAGCGGGACAGTATTTCATGCTGGCACACCGCCTGCGACTTTACAAGGCGCAGGTTCGGCCGCACATGGAATACTGTTCCCATTTCTGGGCTGGGGCTCCCCAGTACCGAGGGGCTCGAATCGTCGACGACCGAGTGCTTTCCGATCGGCTCGATTCACTGGCACTGCGAAGAGATGTTGCATCTCTTTGCATTTTATTTCGCATGTACCATGGAGAGTGCTTTGAGGAATTGTTCGGATTAATCCCAGCCGCCAAATTTCGTGAACGCACTACGCGGCAAAAGTCCCGATACCATCCACACCATCTGGATGCTTGGCGGTCCACCACAGTACGTTTCAAAAGGAGTTTTCTTCCGCGTACAACCTCTCTGTGTAATAGTTTACCACCGGCGATTTTTCCGGATCGATACGACCTGGGGACCTTCAAGAAAAGAGCTTACTCCTTTCTAATGGGCCGGCAACGTACCGGCAATTCCCCTGGTGTTGCGGTTGATCATGGGCGGCGGTAGTCACTTAACATCAGGTGAGCCGTATGCTCGTTTGCCCCCTCTTCTATAAAAAAATGTTTCATATTTGGCAAATGTATTTTCTAATATCTTACCAGCCACATATACGCTTAGCTGTCGCCACATAACATTAAGACGTCCTGCACTTTTTTGTTGAATTTATCTTTGTGGCCGTGGTAGGAAAAGGGGAGATCTCCCGCCGGGCAAGGTGTTCTGCCCGGGGAGCGGCCAACACTCCGTGTGGTAGTTCAGAGATGTTCTATATATACTGTTTATGATTCGGAATGTTGATAGCGCGATTTAGGCTTCGGTGTGTTTTCGCTTGTGGCGGCGACGACAGCGCCGCTACATCACCCCCCTGCTCAGACCGGAGGTCGTTAGTGCAGCCTTGTTGCCGACGAATGTGCAAGTGCCAGGAGATTGCCTTGTAGTCTGCGGTGAGTCGAGAAGAAGGCAAGTAATCTGCGAGAGTGCCGTAAGGCAGAGGCGAGCAGTATGGCTCAGAGCCGTGCCGAACACTGTATAGCGCAGAGAGTAGCTTGAAGGAACAGGAAGCATTATTATTCTAGTGCTGCGATGAACCTTGTGAAGCTAGCTGGCTTGCAGAATATGAAGACTGCAGACGATATCTGCTCGGGAGCGAATGGGTGGGGTATTACATGACGATGATGAAGCTTGAATCCGAAGGTTGTTGGGTTGCGTGTTTAGATCACGTCGGGGTCACCACTGTGGCCGTGGTAGGAAAAGGGGAGATCTCCCGCCGGGCAAGGTGTTCTGCCCGGGGAGCGGCCAACACTCCGTGTGGTAGTTCAGAGATGTTCTATATATACTGTTTATGATTCGGAATGTTGATAGCGCGATTTAGGCTTCGGTGTGTTTTCGCTTGTGGCGGCGACGACAGCGCCGCTACAATCTTCCCAAAAATTTTTTTTTGGACATTGAATCACGAACTCGGACATAGTACGACCGTTAACTACATCTAAAGTTTGACAATTTAAAACTTAAAATTATCCCTATGAGTTTTTATTCAATGGTTTTACTAAAAAAATTTACAACATTTTGTTCAAGAAAATCGGTGATTTCGTCTAAAGATGTCCATATCTTATTGTTTTGTTCTTCATCGTAGATAAGTTTCATTTTATCTTCATAAACATGGGCCAAGAACTTCTTCCTTAACAAAGTTTCACTGGAAATGGTTCTATCTTGTTTTTTTGCAGTTATAAATGTATTATTCTTTAAATAATGGGCCCGATTTGCCACTCGTTTCAATGTAATAAGGTTAGTTTTGCTTCGTCAAAAAGCACTGGAAGTAAAATTATGGAATAGCCACCAACAGGGCAACTTTCACTTGTGTCAAACTACGTTTATTGCATCTCACGGTCACGGAGTATACATTTAAATTTAAATTTCCCGGAATCGCAGGATTTTTTCGATAAAAAAGTGCTTTCCATAATAGCTAATATCTCAACTTTAGGTAAATATGTATCCGAATATCTGATCCATAATTATGACACACGGTGATCCGAATATCGAAAATACAAAAATATAGCATGGTTGCGATTGGCTCACAGCCTCGACGGATACATTGACGTCACGACCAATCACAAGTCGTTGTTTTTATCCAAAAATTTAAATATTTTATTAATAATTACTAAAAAATTATGTTGTTAATAAAAAAGTTATTTAAATATACTAATAATAATAATCTCTCCTAGCTGCTTTCGGCTACAGCGACCGTTTTTGACTCCTATATATAAATGTTACTGCTCCGCCTGTTCATGTGCTCGCAAGTGACTAGCATAACCGATCTTAGCAAGAAAAGTGCGAGCACACTTAGAGCAGGTGAGAAAACCGTCGCAGTAATTATATTGTATAGCCGCAGGTGGTCGGGCTTTAAGTTCCTCTCGTTTAGAATTTAGGTCTTGTACGCGTTTGACTTCGAAGGTGTTAATGTTTTGTTTCACAAGTCGCTACCATTTTTGCCGGTCGCTAGCTAAGTATTCCCAAGGGGAGGGGCTCGATGTTGCATTTTTCCATGTGCTTTTTTAATACATCTATGAATGTATTAATCTATGTATCTATGTATGTAATCTATGAATATGAGCATCAGCGGCTTCATTGACCATATTAAGAAATAAATTGTAATTTTTCTGCGGATCATTATTGATAAAAGCAAAACTTGAAAATTTATATTCTAAATAGGAGCTATATCCATCCCAGTTTGCTTTCTTATAGTTCCTTTTCTTTAGAAATTGACGGTGACTATTGTGGTATGAAAAATTAATCTTAACAATCAAATGATCACTACGCAATGACTCATTAGTAACCTTCCAATCTAACTGCAACGCTAAATCCGAAGAAGCAATAGAAATGTCAGGGGATGACTCATGTACTATTCCGTTTACTAATGTAACGCGAGTAGCTGTGCCATCATTCAAGGAAACAAAATTATTTTCAATTAAAGAGTCAAAAATATTCGTGCCTCTTAAATCAGCCTTACAAGACCAGCTTGGATGATGCCCATTGAAGTCCCCAAGAATCAATGTTTTGTTAGTTTTAAAAGAAAATATTTCATCCTAGTCATTCTGAGAAGTTCGTATGGTAGGTGGACAATATATAGAGAGTATGTAATCTATATGTGTACAGTTAAAAATCTTAATACAAATTATTTCAATTCCGGGATTAGAAATTTGGATAGATATCAGTCGAGTCTTTAAAGACTTGTGTAAACAAATGGCAACCCCACCATACGAATCATCTCGGTCCTTGCGATAAATATTGTAACCACTTATTTTAAGCATAACTTCAGCATTCAACCATGTCTCACAAATGGCAGCAATATGAATTTTCTCGCTATTTAACAGCTGGTCGAATTCCGTTCGTTTGGGCCTAATACTTTGTGAGTTCCACTGAAAAATGTTTATGTTGTAATTATTATTCATTATTGACTAAAAAAGCTTTTAAAAGGCAAATCCCAAATGCACTGCCCCACAATCGGTACTAACCATTCAATAATAAATGACATTACTTGAATCATTTTGTTCTTAAGTTGTTCTTGTGAATTTGTAAATATAGCATATAACTTAGAAAGTAACTGCCTAAAATTAAAAGTTGATTTAAGTTTCTCTCTTCTCTCTTTTTTCTCTTTTCTTGATTTTAGCTCACTTTCCATATCATCATCATTATTATTAATTACTTCTTCTGATTCTGTAGATATATCGTTTTCAAACACTTCATTCTGATTTTGCTTCTTTTTCCTTTTTCTCTTTGTACTTATAGTTTTTTCTTGTAAAGTTTGCGAAACCTCCATAGCACCCGATTGTGATGTTAATGGTATTGATTTAGTGTTAGAAGTAATTTCAGAACGTAAGCGCGGTACCGATCGAGTAACGTTTGCGTAAGACATTACCCCATCTTCGTTTTGTGAGATAGAGGACACAGCCATGGGTTCAGGCATATTATTATATAAAGGTGTATTTGGGTTGAGATGCCTTTGAGCCTTCTTTAATATAGTTGTTTCTTGTTCTACTTGTACAGGTTGAGGTTCTGGAGGAATATATTTGTAGGGCCTTTTTATATGAGCAATTGAATTCAGCCATTAAACTCCTTAGACGCTTTTCTTTTATAAATATAGGACAAGATCTATCCAACGAAATGTGAGTCCCGATACAGTTAATACATCTAAATGTTGTGATCTCACAATTAGCATGCCCATTTCCACATTTAGGGCATACCATCTTTTTAGAGGGGCAAACACGTAGGCTATGACCGAACCTCTAACACCTTGAACATTGAGTGACTGGGAAGACATAGGGGTCGACGTTAATCTTCATGCCGTAAATGTATACTGATGCTGGCAACGATGAGCCATTAAATTGCAACCGTATTGATTCACTATCTTCCCATCCCGTTCCATCCGTTTTTCTGCGCTTTAAGCGTTTTGCATCTATTAGCTCGCAATTATTTGAAATTACTTCGTATTTCTTTTTCGGTCATCTCCAGCTCAATATCCTTAATGACACCGTATGAAAAAGCAACCTCTAATGGCTTTTGAAATCTCCATCCTAACTCCTTCAAAGGTGTACAGTTCATCAGCTCATCAGCACTTTCTGCACATTCAAACTGCACAAATACTTTATACGCGTTCACATATTTCACACGGCTGATATGCTTATAGTCAACCAAATCTAAGAAATACCTTTTGACGTTTCACATTAATCATTCCGCAATAACTTTGCACAAGCGTACTTACACGATTAAAAATAACCCTTTACGTAAATCCAAAGAATTATGAAGTTATCTATATTTCTTTACAACGTTTATAGTTTTTTATCACTAATTTAAATTTAAATTTTTCAAACAAAGCAAAATATTTAAAAATAACCAGTATCAACTTTTTTTTACTAGACGTCATATCAATGATGTGTCGCTATGTAGATCACCGTAGTGCTTGGATGATTAAAATTCATTGTTATGCGAATAATCGGCAAAAATATTCAAATAATCGGTAAAAATATTCAAATAATCGAATTATTAGTTTTCTTGAATGTATTATTTGTTTTATTTTATTTTATTTTTAAAATTCCAATTACATGAATCATAAATAAAACAAGTTTATTTTTTAATTTGTTAACATTCCCGCCATTTTAGGAGTTTACTGTCCGCAATTTTTTTTGATTTTGTGTTTGTTTTTTTTTATTTTGTGACCCGGCTTTAACTTTTTGGACCGTTTCTTCTATATTCGTTGACCTTGGCAATTTATATACTGGACTCTGACTAAGCAAGTGATCATAATGTCGAAAAGAAAACGTAGTTGTGGTAGTCGTACTTTAAATCGTCAAGCTCGTGCATTGGTGGTGAAATTACACGAATATTTTGAACGTGAGTCACAAAACGATGGGCCTCTTTTACCAGTGACATAATTGCTGGATCGTGTCGGTGAAGCACTCGGGATTGGCAAACGCAACGTTGCAAAGATCGTCACTGAAAAGTACGGACCTTCAGGCAGTGAGAATAATTTACTTCACACGCCGAAAAAACTAAAAAAGAACAAACCAGTAACAGGTATCAATCAATTCGATTAGAAATGCAATTAGAAAACATGTCTACGGCTATTTCATAAGAGGCTAATATCCTACTGTGGCGAAGTTGCAAATAAGTTTAATAGATGCCGGTTTGTACAGTGGTAGTGTAGAGTCGTTGAGAACCATTTTAAAACGCATAGGCTTTCGATATAAAAAACTTGACAAACGTAAAATAATTATGGAGAGACATGACATAGTCTTGCAAAGAATAACATTTTTAAGAGAAATGAAAAATATAAACGATTGGGACAACGTCATATTTCTTGATGAAACGTGGTTAAACGCCAACCACACTGTAGCGCAAATATGGACAGATGACAATACAGCAACTTGCTCGAAGGTGCCCGCGGGGAAAGGTGGGCGCCTCATAGTTTGCCATGCGGGATCAGCCGGAGGAGGATTTGTACAAAATTGTTTATTAGCCTTCCAATCAAAGAGTACAAGAGATTACCATGAGGAAATGGATGCAGAAAAATTCAAAGAGTGGTTTATAACCCTTTTACAAAATATTCCTGCGAATAGCAGCATAATAATGGACAACGCCCCGTACCATTCTGTCCAAATCGACAAAGCCCCAACCCAAGCGAATAAGAAAGCAGATTTAATAGCATGGCTGCAACACAAAGGTGTGGAAGCGGACATGAAGTTATTGAAAGCTGAGCTAATACAATTAGTAAAGCAAAATAAACCACGTAAACCTTTATATGTTATTGGTAAATTAGTATTAGAAGAGCACGGGCATAAAGTTATAAGATTATCACCATACCACTGCCAATATAATGCTATTGAATTGATTTGGGCCCAAATCAAAGGCTAGTTCTTATATGAAAAGTAAAAACATATTAACTTTACTTAAACACACACAAAATGAAAATATATTATGCTTTTTTTACAGGCTACGTAGCACGACATAACACCAAGCCACTTTTCACGACAAAGAAGATGGAAGTAAGCATGTACCCATGTCACAAAGGATGATTGGGCAAAAGTGGTAGAAAAAACAAAAAACATGATTATGGATGACTTTAAAAGAGACATTAATTTTGATTGCATTATTGAAAATCAAATAATAATTAATCTTAACAACGACAGCTCAACTAGTAGTAGTGAAAGTGATTGAATAAATTTATTTTTAACTGTGAATGATTACGAACTCTAAATAATCGATATCGATTTTTTTAAGAATCGATTATTGTGCGTTCTCTTTTTTTGGTCGGCATGCTTGGTGCAATAAATCTGACAGCTGTCAAAAGGTATTTCTTAGATTTGGTTGACTATAATATTATTGGTTTTTAATAGTTTTGCAAGTGCAAACTGTTTAGGTAATTTTTCGAAGCAATTAATATATACATCAACTTTCTGTCCCACTCTCTTCCCATTTCTTGAAACCGTAATCCACCTTTCTTCCTCATCCTCTTCTCTGTGTCTCTTACTACTAATAGGTCTAACCTCATCGTAAATCATTGCTTGACATTGAGCGGATTTCTCTGGTAAACAAATCTCCGTTTCCTGTTCATTGTTTTCAATTAATTTTGAATTCATCGCCTCCTCTTCTGAAATTTGATTTTCATCCATGGTGATCAGAGTACACCAATGAATATCCTTCAATTAAAGCATGGCACACCACGCAGGCACGTTGTTAACCGCCGAAGGAAATATATATTACAAAAATATATTATTTTAATTAAAATATTTAATTAAAATTTAAGATAGCTGTCACTTGTCACCTGTCACTGAATTCGCTTTCCAAGTACTTGAACTTTTCTACACAATTCAGAACGCCTTGATTAAGCTGGATCCGTAAAGGGTCAGAGTGGGAGCCCGTAGCCATCACTTCGGTCTTTGTGACACTGACTTAGGCCAAACTTACGGCATAACTCATCAAGACTAGTCATCAATCTTTGGAGAGAATTTGGGGAATCCGTCACAAAGCACAAGTCATCCGCGCGCATAATTTCAGTTATTACGTCGCAAGACACCTTAGTCTGTGCCCGCAGTCTATTTAAACTAAAAAGATTGCCATCGGTGCGGAAACGAATACGTATCCCTTCTTGCAGAGTATCTATAGCATCCCTGACCACTACAGCAAAATAGAGAGCAAACAACGTCGGTGCCAGGACACAACCTTGCTTGACACCGCAAGTAACGGGGAAAAATTCTGTTTGTTCACCATTTACGGAAACGCAGCAGGTCATTTCATCGTGTCATCGTGTAGAAGCCTCACTACTCGTACATACTTTGCCGGACATCCCAATTTTAACAAAATTATCCAGGACTTGAGGTATGCTATCAAATGCTTTATCCATATCGACAAATGAAAGAAACATCGGCCGATGCTGCTCGCGACTTTTTTTCCTGCAGTTGACGTACGCAAAAGATAGCTCCACAAGGACCTTTCCCCGGACGAAAACCAAATTGGGTTTCTGGTAACAATGCCGAAATAGGAATGAATCGGTTAAGAAGCACACTGGCAAATACTTTTCCAGGCGTAGAAAGAAGCGACACACCACGATAGGAATTGCAGTCAGATCTTTCACCTTTTTGTATAAGGAGCAAATACGCGACATCTTAAATACGGATGGAATTTGTTCCTTACACCACAAGTAACGGGGAAAAATTCTGTTTGTTCACCATTTACGGAAACGCAGCAGGTCATTTCATCGTGTCATCGTCAGAAGCCTCACTACTCGTACATACTTTGCCGGACATCCCAATTTTAACAAAATTATCCAGGGAGGTATGCTATCAAATGCTTTATCCATATCGACAAATGAAAGAAACATCGGCCGATGCTGATCGCGACTTTTTTCCTGCAGTTGACGTACGCAAAAGATAGCATCACAAGGACCTTTCCCCGGACGAAAACCAAATTGGGTTTCTGGTAACAATGCCGAAATAGGAATGAATCGGTTAAGAAGCACACTGGCAAATACTTTTCCAGGCGTAGAAAGAAGCGACACACCACGATAGGAATTGCAGTCAGATCTTTCACCTTTTTGTATAAGGAGCAAATACGCGACATCTTAAATACGGATGGAACTTGTTCCTTACACCACATCCGGACAAAAAGTTTCCATACCATAGTGTATAGCTGCTCTCCTCCATACTTAAACAACTCACCAGGAATACTATCCACTCCAACCGCTACTTAAATATACTATAACTGAAATATACTATAAATCAATTATTATATAAATTTGTTACAGAAAAAATAATGCAAATTCTCTATTTGAACCAGCAAACAGGCAACAAAATAACTTGAGACTTACAGCACCATCGTAGCTCTTGTTTCATTTTCGCTGTTCGCTGATATTTAATATGATACGAGTAATTAAAGTTTTAAAAGTTTACGTAGTTTTTAAATAATTTAATATTTGTTAAGTCATTTGCTTAATATTCTGATAAACCAAATTTTATAATTTTTATGTGGATAAACTCTTAGGCATTCTATGTGTCATATTTTTAGTAATTTAATTGGATAAACTCTTAGGCGAGGTGTTAACGTTCGGCTCGAACCAAATGGGTCAGCTTGGTGCGGGCGATATAGCCGCGCACCACCGCATAGTGCGGGTACGAGTGCCGCGCGCCTCCGCCGTGGCCGCCGGCAGTAACCATACCGCCGTACTCACGCGTGACGGCGAACTATTCACCTTCGGCTGCTACCAGGTATACAGTATTTTTATAACACTAAAGTGAAAAACGAGCTAACAAGTCTCCCTGGTGGCAAGTGACTAATGAAGGTCATGGAGTCCATATGCGTCTTCTTTTCTGATGAATAAGATGCAATCCTTTACATCTAGTAACGGTACTAGCTCTCCATATCTACTTGAACACGATTGTCGACTCAACTACGGAAATACAAGTATCAGGTATATTCCGATATACATTGTGAGCATTGCTCAATGCTCTCATTGGTGAAAAATTCGTTCCGTTATGGACTGCGAGTATATGGCCGCAGTACCTTAGGGAAATATATGACATCATAAATCGCCGACATTTTTATCCTGTGAGCACTGACGGTTTTGAGGTAAGGTTTGTTAGGTTAGTTAGGTACTTTGATCACGTGATCAAAAAAAGAACAGTGCCTAGGGATTAAATAATCATACATAGTTATTATTGTTATTTAATATTGTTATTCAAATAAACTCGGTCATTGAGTTTTAAAAGAAAAAACTTTCAAATAATAATTTTTCTCGATGAATGTACATAAATATAAAACGTGTACATGATAAATATTGTCAAAAAAACAATGTCGAAAAATGGGGATGACAGTATATATCCTAGACTGTGTTTCGATTTAAACAGTAGCTATTATAGCAAACTAAAAAGAAACGACTTCACAGTATATTGAATTTACGTCACACCTTACGGTGGTCACAGTGTATATCGGAACACATCCATAGTCTCACAGAATACCAACGTACTTATTATGTAATTAATAATTATGTACACAACGTAAAATAGCAGCGTAATATTGCCGCGTTTCCTATGGTTAGGATAAAGACTCGGAGACCCATTTTACGGATAATGAGGAATTCTATCTTACTTCTCCTATTTTGGGAGTGATAACACACCTGTATTATGGTTCTTGTACTATGGTTCGATAGTAGATGTAGGTGTTTATGAAGTAGAGTATCCATTTATCATCAGTAGTTCTCTGAGCTTGTTTTCATATACTCAATGGTACTGGTTGAAAATTTTGTTGGCAATCCTATTAGTTATATTATGGCTTTTTGTAAAATTATGGGAAATTTTAAAAACATATAAAGATGATTGAGTTCACGGTACCTGCATGTCCTCCGATGTCGAGTCTATTACTTCAGCAGCAACTTCGTCAACAATTCTACTTCGTTGTCACTCTGCACATCATCTTGAGCCAAGTACAAAATAGTTTATATACATGGGTGTATCACTTCTAGGAATATTAGACATAATCTGTATTCTAAGAAAGAGTTGAATAGCATAATTGATAGATTGAATTAAGGAATATTCTTAGAATATTTTTGCCTAGCATATAGTCAGCTGATGCTTACGATTGCGTGATTAGCATATCCGTCGGAGATCAATGTCTGTACGTCGCGTGTTTTTTTTATAGGATAGGGTGACAAACGAGCACACAGTCCACCTGATGTTAAGTGGTTGCTGTGGCCCATAGACATCTTAGATCTTAGATGTGTTGTCACCCATGAGGTCTAAGATGGAATGCCTCGTTTCCAGTAAAAAAGGTCTCCGGTTCTCTACACTCACCATACGAAACACAGCAGCATTAAGCTGCTATTTTACGCTGGTATTCTATGTGAGCGTGTTATGAAATTCGATTAGATTGTGAATTCGGTGATCGCCCAACCATTAAATTACTGAAAGTCTTCAAGAATCCATGTTTCTCTTCAATATACTACCAACATAAATTGACAACGAGTGTTAAGGCAAATTTTTTCGTCACTTTCAGAAAGGTTCTCTCGGCCGACCGCGTATTGATGATCCTAATCGACCAGAGCGAAGTGCTCTATGGTACGCAACTCCTGGTCGCGTGGCCCGTCTTGGACATCGTCACGCCTGCAGGGCCGTTTGGGTTTCAGCTTCTGGTGATCAGACGTTTGTTCAGGTCTCACAGTCTCTCATCAAAACGGACACGCTCTTCAGTTCGACGATAACCGCAAATAACAACAGTATTGGTAAGTATTTTAAATATGATATTTATAACTACGAAATTTATTTGTACTTTTTAACTGAAAGAGCTTGTGGCGGCGCTGTCGTCACGCCACAATCGAAATACACGGAAGTCTAAATCACGCTATCAACATTCCGAATCAGAAACAGTATATATAGAACATCTCCGAACTATCACATGGAGTGTTGGCCGCTCCCCGGGCAGAACACCTTGCCCGGCGGGAGATCTCCCCTTTTCCTACTTCGGCCACAGTGGTGACCCCGACGTGATCTGAACACGCAACCAAACAACCTTCGGAAACTTCAAGCTTCATCATCGTCATAGAATACCCCACCCATTCGCTCCCGAGCAGATATCGTCTGCAGTCTTCATATCCTGCAAGCCATCTAGCTTCACAAGGTTCATCGCAGCACTGGAATAATAATGCTTCCTGTTCCTTCAAGCTACTCTCTGCGCTACAGTGTTCGGCACGGCTCTGAGCCTTACTGCTCGCCTCTGCTTCATGGCACTCTCGCAGATTACTTGCCTTCTTCTCGACTCACCGCAGACTACAAGGCAATCTCCTGGCACTTGCACATTCGTCGGCAACGAGGCTGCACTATCGACCTCCGGTCTGAGCAGGGGGTGATGTGGCGGCGCTGTCGTCACGCCACAATCGAAATACACGGAAGTCTAAATCACGCTATCAACATTCCGAATCAGAAACAGTATATATAGAACATCTCCGAACTATCACATGGAGTGTTGGCCGCTCCCCGGGCAGAACACCTTGCCCGGCGGGAGATCTCCCCTTTTCCTACTTCGGCCACAGTGGTGACCCCGACGTGATCTGAACACGCAACCAAACAACCTTCGGAAACTTCAAGCTTCATCATCGTCATAGAATACCCCACCCATTCGCTCCCGAGCAGATATCGTCTGCAGTCTTCATATCCTGCAAGCCATCTAGCTTCACAAGGTTCATCGCAGCACTGGAATAATAATGCTTCCTGTTCCTTCAAGCTACTCTCTGCGCTACAGTGTTCGGCACGGCTCTGAGCCTTACTGCTCGCCTCTGCTTCATGGCACTCTCGCAGATTACTTGCCTTCTTCTCGACTCACCGCAGACTACAAGGCAATCTCCTGGCACTTGCACATTCGTCGGCAACGAGGCTGCACTATCGACCTCCGGTCTGAGCAGGGGTGATGTGGCGGCGCTGTCGTCACGCCACAATCGAAATACACGGAAGTCTAAATCACGCTATCAACATTCCGAATCAGAAACAGTATATATAGAACATCTCCGAACTATCACATGGAGTGTTGGCCGCTCCCCGGGCAGAACACCTTGCCCGGCGGGAGATCTCCCCTTTTCCTACTTCGGCCACAAGCTCATTATGTTGCAGTAAGCAACAAGTTGAATTTAATCAATTAAAATTTATGATCGAAAAGACTCTCTTGCCTTAAAAGCGGTTTAGTTGGTTTGGCAGTTAGTGCTGTATTGATAAAATAAGTATTATTATCATCATCACATCACATCACTTCACAAGTCCAATGATGAATATAGGCCTCCATCAAGGAATGCCACAAAATACTGTCGTTAATCACCTGCATCCATCGATTATTTACATCTCCTTATCAGGTCGTCACTGCATTTAGTGGAGGGTTTCATTTAGTTTAGATTGAAAAACCGAGAATTGAGGAGGAAGAAAGGTTCTCGAGTAGCAACCTCGTACTGGTAAGCGAAGTGTAGCCCGCCACTAGATGGAGTGACGACATGGTAGAAGATGCAGAAAGTCAATGAATGCAGGTGTCTCAGGACCTGCTTAGTAGCATTCAATGGGCGGAGCGTATATTCTGCAGTGCGTGCGAAGGGCTGTTACGATGTTTTATTAATGTTATATAACATATTATCATAATATTATTATTTTTACAGTTATACTCCCCAATCGTCCAGAGCACACTTTTAAGTGTATAACGATTAACAAACTGGATGGCGCGTGCAACGCGTGGACTGGATCAGAGCAAGTAGACTTTGTGAACACACTGGCCAGTCTTGATCCGCTTTATGACGTGCTTTGGTGCTATCAGCCTCAGATGCGAGTCATGAAGTGTTACAATATTTTAGCTTTTAACGCTAATAAGCTGCAGCGTTGCTTCAACGACCCTGACTTTAACATCGATCCAGACTTCGAATTCCCTAACTATGGTATCATGCGGAGGCTGGATGAATTCAAAGATCTTGAGACCTTTGATATGTATCGCAGTAATGAAGAAAAGGCTCCAGAGAATCTCGCACTCACCAATATGTCTGTGCTTAATCAAGATCTAGCAATTCCATATGTGCCAGAATGTTCTGTGACTAGAATGCATGCTGCTCTACATTTGCTTGGCTGTCTGGATTCTCTCACTTATGCACATGATAATAAGTAAGTAATATTTAAATATCTGATTTTCGCCATTAAACAGCGGCGATGGCGGCCAAGAATGTCTTTAGTAGTATGAATGTCGTAAGAGGCTGCATAGGAGAAATAACACAAAGACCGGAGGTAGATTTGTAATATAGCCAGCCTTATTTTCACTGGATAAATTTAATTTTATGCGTGGTAGAGCCATGCTGCAGTTATATTAGTAGTATAGTTGTAGCAAAAATGGGTCGGCGCGACCGGGGAAGGACCACGCTCTCACCAGCGTAAAATAGTTGCTAATGCTGCTGTTTCGTATGGTTAGTGTAGAGAACCGAAGACTCTTTTATAGGAAATGAGGTGTTCCATCTTAGTCCTAACGGGCGACAACGCATCTGCATTTTGATTCATAATCGAGGATACATTTAGGTGCCTATGGGTCACAGCAACCACTTACCATCAAGTGGACTGTGTGCTCGTTTGTCACCCTATCCTATAAAAAAACCCAGACTGATGGCGTCAAAGGTGAGAAGTATCTGATACTGTGATTGCCAGTTTACCTGCCCAGCATGGCGATTATGGAGAATCGTCCTTAATATAAAGGATCATGCCCATGTCTTACCAGGTCCATAAGTAATAAGGACAGTTAGGCAATATGTATAGTCCAAAGTTATTCTAGGTGTTGTTAAGGTTGAATCATATTACTTCTTAGTTAGTATCTGGTACTGTAAGCTAACATTGAAAAAAAAAACTAAACATATCATTTTATGTTTTTATTTAAGCTACTAATACTACTGAACTTGACTATGATGTTTTAAACATTTTCGATGACTGTTAAAATTCTGATAACTTTTTTGTTTCTGGTACTTACTGATAACATCTGCTTATATTTCAGGATAACTGTGACAGAATGCAAGCAAGAGAGCACCACTGCTCCCGTTGCACCTGTCATGGAAGACTTCCTGACTGTCAATCGCTTCGAAAGCCATGGTGGTGGCTGGGGCTACTCTGGACATTCCGTAGAGGCTATACGGTTTATGTGCGACACAGACGTTGTATTGGGTGAGTTCTGTACTATTTTTACTAGACTTGCAGCGAATAGTATATAGTTACCTCACGCCGAATACCGAATATTCCGCGAGCTACCTGGCCGAATAGCCGGATATATGGCAGAAGTATTCGACTGGGAAGGAAGAAGTGTTTATTCAGAAAGTCTTCTTTCTGAAACTTCGATTTTCTACGAGAAAAAAGGAGTATCCTGGTCCTGATAATGCAGAAAAATTATTATTTCTGTATTATAATCTTCCACGTCTAAATCTACATAGACATTTTCTTGATAGTTTTTTTTTGTTAATTTTAATAATACTGAAGTTTATTACTAAACTATAACTAATAATTACAAGAAAATAACATTATTATAAAATAAAACTAATATTTTCATTTTACTAATACCACAAAAACATTTTACTTAAGTAGGTAAGTCGGTATTCGGCCGATTAGTATCTATATATTTGGCATTCGACCGAATATGATAAAAGTAGCTGAATAATTATATTATATAATTAATATCAATTAATAACTAATAAGCTAGCTAATAATAGAATATTCGATGCAAGTTTAGTTTTAACCATTTAACCCTTTCGGTATTTAACAGTGTGGATACAATATACATTTTTAAAAACAATTATACGTGGTAGAGCCGGATGTAGAGAGGATGAATAACATGAATAACATACCTACATGTGGTACCATTTTTTGTTGCTGGAATTCTATATTTTTTATGGTATGCTACCTGAATGGGTTTTAGTTACGTGTAAATTTTATAAATTAGCTTTTACCAGGGTTCGGGTGAATTCCATGCGACTGTATCACGCTGATATTCTATTAACATCTTCCTGAAGTGGCATAATATATCTATCAGATTTTATTTGATTCGCAATCTTATGATCGTCTTCAAAAATAAAACATTTAGAGTTTTGAACTCTCTATCTTTAAGATTAAAATTGAACAAAAAAATTTATCACTGATGTTCATATTAATGGAGTGACCATAATCTGTCAACAAGATAGATGAAAACCATGTCAATAAGCGCCCATTTGAGAAAATTCAGCCAAACCAAACCCAATTGGAGAATTCTTTTGTAAGCAATTTATGATTAACGTTGTCGAATGCCTTAGATAGGTTTGTGGTCAACCTGTATAAGTGAGTCCACTGACTCCGAAAGAAAATTTCAAAAGTTAGTCAAAATATGTGGCGGGTAGATTGGAAACCTTTGAAAAGTGTAAAAAAGGGACTAAAAAGTTGAACATGTTGGCCTCCATCTTAGGCCTCCTCCTCCTACCAATCAACACTATTTTGTAAGGATAAGTGTTGGATGTTTTTATCATATTTTTAAGATTAGTTTAGAAATATTTAGGGTCCTTTGCTGGTATAACACTTCTTTATAATCTTGAAAATATAATCTTAAACATTGAAAATGGGCCAAATTTAGAGTTCCCTTAACCGACATGTATGCGTAGGTATACGAATGTGGAGGAGGCGATAGAGTTATGTCAGGATCGTGCCAAATGGAAGTCTGTAGTCTCTACTTACCCTTTTGGGTGAAAGGCGTGAGTGTTTATATATGTATGTATATGTTTATAATCTTATCGCAAGATTTTTTTATAGGATAAAGGTGACAAACGAGCATGCAGTCCATCTGATGTTAAGTGGCTGCTGTGGCTGAGACATCTAGATCTATCCTCGATTACGAATTAAAATGCGAGGGCGAAGATGAAATGCCTCGTTTTAAGTAGAAAAGATTTCGGATTCTCTACACTTACCCTACTAAACACAGTAGCGTTAAACTGCTATTTTGAGCTGGTATTCTGTGAGAGCGTGGTCCTCCCCCGGTCGAGCTGACCCATTCGTGCTACAACTATACCAGTAATATAGCTGCAGCATTGCTCTACCACGTAAATTCTCATAAACTTTCATAGCATCTAGCTGCTAGATAACTTTTGACGTTGCGTGAGTAAGTGGTTATTGGTGATGCATTTTACACATAGTGACTGATTACTGATGATGAAATTATATTCTGTTGTCAAATATTTACCGCGGTTTATTAACGCACTAAGGCGTGGATTGCGAATATTAACTTTGTTGTTGTGAGGTTCAAATACTCAATACTCAATACTAAAAATTTTTGTTGTGGGGGGAAATTAAAAAAAAAAAAAAAGAGGGGGGAAAAGGGGGCTTTTTCCCGGACCAGGTTTGTGGCAAAAAATTTTTTTTCGTGTTGTCGTCTCCAATAACTTTATTGCATTCCATAGGTTACAAAAGGTGTTACATAGTTTTATGGTTTCTCTATAGACCCTCATGGGCACAGCAATATTATGAAGGAGGAACATTTATTTGTTTTTTATTATTATTGCTAAATAATTATTTAATATTAACATTCATTATATTATATAAACATACACACATTGGATATGTAATACGGCTATTATAATTGTTATTATTTATTAATTGATTTTGACATTTGATATATTATTATAGATAACACAATTGAAAGAAAATTTAAGATTGTTTCACAACTGTTTTGATTAACACCTGGCAGGTACACTTAAGCTAACCATTTCAGTTGTTTTGAAAGATTACTTCTAATGTAAAAATGATATTTAAAGCGTTTTTTTAGATAACGAATGTGTATAAGGGTAATATTGTTATAGGCGGGTACGGTTTATTCGGCGGGCGCGGTGATTACACAGCTAAGATCAAATTGTTCGACATCGGACCAGACGGCGGCGACCAGGAAGGCGATGGGAAATTGCTTGCAGAGAGTGACGAAATTGTATACGAATGCGCGCCAAGAGATAGATTTCCAGTGTTGTTCGAAACTCCTGTGTCTCTTACGGTATGTTATCGTGCTGATAATGAAATCATGTTCACATTTGACTGTATTTGGGTGCCATTTTAGAATAGGTTTTATGTAAATATATTCACATGTACTTACAACATTTTACAAATAAACATACACTATTATTTTGATAGTGATGTATTTTAATTTTACGGTTCGTTTAAAAATTAAACGTTATGCTTCTAGGCTAATAGATGGTACGTAGCTTGGGCTTGCGTTAACGGACCTTCATCAGACTGCGGTTCTTCCGGGCAAGCGATGGTCATCAATGACGAGGTTGGATTTCACTTCAAGACTTCCAAAAAGTCCAACAATGGTACGGACGTAAACGCCGGTCAGATCCCCTGCCTGCTTTACAACGTTGTGAGCGCCGACCAAGCTTTACCAATACGAGCCGTCGAGGTTTTTGAACCAGTGATAGTGCTTTCAAAGAACGTCTCTCGGAAGGTCAGTGTCACCTGTTTCAAGTCCCTTATAACCTTGATGCAGTGGAGCTGGAAATCTTTTAGAGACACCGTCATTGAGACTAACGGCTTAGTGCCAATAAATTATCAGAAATTGACCATGATGAAACATCAGAAACGACTCGTATACGTAATCAGAGCTTGTCTGAGACTTGTGAAATCTTATATTAATGAGATATACCCACAGAATAACAAGAGAAGAAATTCACATGAGTATATGTCTTACTTCGAAGCGATCGGAGATGTGCGTAACTTCATCCAGCAAATATTGGCTGAGGCAACACCAACCTGCGCCATGTTGCCCCGTAGACCTGGAAAGTCGAGAGTTCATAGAGTTTGCCTAGTTCAGTTCGCATTAGAGTTGACGAATTCGATTCTGAAAGAAGCTCACGAAACTGTCACTTCATGTTTCCATGCGTTTTTCCCAACGCCTACGCTGAAGTGGAACCATCTTTGTTCGTTGCTGTTTCATGTCAGGGTAAGTTATTTTTACTATTTTAAATTATTTTGTAAAGATCTATCAAAATTAGACCCTTTTTTACTGGAAACCAGGCATTCCATCTTAGTCCTCACGTGTGACAACGCATCTGTATTTTGATTTGTAATCGAGGATAGATGTAGATGTCTACGGGCCACAGCAACCACTTACCATTAGGTGGACTGTGTGCTCGTTTGTCACCCTATCCTTAAAAAAATCAGTATGTATCAAGTATCAGTAGAAATGTAGGACAATCTACCATGACTTTATAGTCATTATTGTTTACTCTTTTAGCCTTATGTACTATAACTTTGGGCTTTAGAACGTGGTGCCGATATTTCCACACTAGTAAACCTACTGTTCATCACCATTCTGTGCATGTTGTAATAAGTATTTTTGAATTGGCTGCCGATTGTCGGTCGCCATTTACTTCTTTACCCACTTACGGTACGGTTTCATCACTAAGCGGCATGTAACGCGTGTACGCTTAAAAGTGTGGTAATTGTAATTGGATACAATGACATAGTCCAACAGATCAGTAAGCTGAAATGGCGTTGGTCTGGCTATATAGCTCGAAAATCCCACAACCGATCGGGAAGAAAGGTTTTAGAGTGCCAGCCTCGTGCCGGTAAACAAGGTGTAGCGTGGCTTCACACTAGATGGAGTTGTAGGTTGCAGGTGGCTCAGGACCTATGTTCAGCATTGAAAGTATGATGCGCTGTAAGGATGATGATATTATATATTCCTATGCACTTTATTACAGGATGGTAAAGTGCCAACAGTTTATGTTCGTGAGTTAACATCCACTTGCGCGGCAATGTGCGGCTCCCGTAGCTTACTAGATGTACTACAATACATCGTGCCGGTGACGCAATGTTGTCTGATTGCCGAAGAAGCGCGTCGTGGCGACCGCCCCGATTCCAAGGTAGGCTTTTCTGAAAATTTGTTTATATTTTGAACATTGTATTATTGTTCTGAACATTTGTTACTGGTATTTTTGTATGTTTAGAAACATATAACAGCGAAAGGTTCGTAGTAGAGTAATGAGAGTAAAAAGTTAATATGTCCCTCTGGGAGGGCACAAGCCTCCTCTTAATTCTGAGAGGACTGGATCATTAGTCTGCAGTGCTGCTCCAGTAATAACAATATAATAACTTACTTTACGTACTCTCAAAATATTTTATTCCTCAGATATTTAGCTATAATTACCGTCGTTATATAGGTATAATAACGCGGTGAACCACGTTCACGACGTAAGGAATTCAACCCATGTTACTCGCGTACCGTATAAGCCACTGATTGAGCTACCATGATTTGTGAGCACATGGACGTAATCTCAGTTGGTTCCAAGATTTGTACAAAAATATTCCTTTTTAGCTTTCGTGTGTGGCTGCGTTGTTTTGACTTATATCTGATATCTAAAGTTCATTCTCTCCTACTGCTGATATTATTGTGTACGCATTATATACACTGACCTCTATTATACAAGTACGTGGATACGTGAATATACTAGACTGGCTATACACCGCGAGATAACGAGGTAATTTGACTTTCGCCATTTTGGCGCTGATAGCAGAAGTGAGCGTTCTCGGAACCAGTAATACAGATAGAACAGTGTGACAAAATATATCGATAAAAATTCTATACCATTTTGGTTATATATCATTTTAATCGGTATAATAGCTGACAGTAAATAAATGTATTAATTAATACTTATGTCGTAGACGCAAGCTATATACTTCATATAAAACAAAAATCGACACTACATAAACCCTATCTACGTTTTCTTCGTAACTATAGAACGGATTTTGTTCCGGGTTTCACTAGGTATCTGTGGTGCTCTGTCTCGCCAGCAACGCAAAGTCAGGAATTTGCATTTGGGAAAACCCAAAATTAGAGACTTTATGTGCTTATAAGGTTTAAATTTTAAAAATTAACTAAAATTTTCACAGAAATTAACTGTTGAAATTTGCTTTGGTGGCAAAACGTATCGCTAGCAACGTAGTGACAATAATAGATATACGATAAATATTAAAAGCAAGGAATTAAGTGCTTATTAAGTGCTATATGTATAGTCAATGACAAGACGCCCCTAATAAAAATAAAGTCGTTATTCAGAACAAAGCAGATGCAAAAATCAGGTCTTCTGAAAATCTTCAGAAAATGGTAAACCTATAGACATCCGGTACTTGCGTACGAAGGTGGGGGAGGGGGAAGGGTTCTGAGGAATCTTCCTAACCCTTCCCCCTTGCGAAAATATATAGTCTATGTATAATATTATTTTTTGTAAAATCATAACCTCACTTTTTTACACAGGAATATTGACACAGTTACTTTTGTAACGGCTTCGGCGCTGTGGGAAGTCAGCCCTTTCGCCTGTGCCCTTGCGGGACTCACCCGCTACGGCTGAGTCCCGTCGCCGAAGGCGACCAATAAGCCGAAGCTGCGGCTGCTCTCCCTTCGCGACTACGGCTTTACAAAATCACTATAGGGGTAGGGCAGATCAGTGGCGAAGCTAGAGCTCCAAGCTAGGGCAAGCCCAAGATATAAATTGATAAAAATATAGATTGTTGTTTTTAGCAGTTTTATAAAAATACACCAATCTTGATCTGTCTCCACGCTTCAGTTTCATATTCAGTGCTGTCAAGGACGTGTTTAACAAAGCACACAGAAGGCATACCACTGCTAGATAGATTGTATTACATATCAGCAATTGCATAGCTTCGGTGGCTTTGAAGAAAGCCGTTTGGGTTTGTTTAAGCGAAAGAAAAAATATTTACATCCAATACAATACATGAACAAAAGTAAAACACGAACAAAGTACAAACAAACTATGTACAAAATTAAAAAAAATTATTTACATTCTAATGGATAAAAGATAAGATAAGTGGAATCGTCTCGCTTTCTTATGGAAAGATTTAATTACGTCCACGTAAAATGTTGGTGAACGTTTTAATTGTACCAATAACTGTTTTTAATTGCGATAATTGATAAGTCTGAAATACACTCTTAACCTTATGTATTATCTTAACAAAGTTTAAAGATTTCCTCTCGGATTATCACTTTAACACACTTCAATTCATCACAAGGAACACTATTATCCTCCATTTTCATTAAAAATCTTTAAAAAAGCATAAATTTTGAACTCGTAATATTAAATTGCTTAAGATATGCACACAGAGTAAATAAACATTGAAACGTGAAATGAACTTGTGTCAAACGTATTGCCCGCGCGCCTCCGCTTTTAACAAATTTATTCCCAAAAACCTGGCTTTAAATCTCTATACTAATTGCTATATATACAATCGTAGTTATATTTCATTATAGAATATTTTGCCATAGGTTAGAAAGAGAGCGAACGTCTTCTCGAAAGCCCCGTAAAAAGCCCACGCGAGCGAGGGAGACAACTATTAGCTCTATTAAAACTTTTTTTATGACAGCAGCAGTATCGCTAAGGCAATACGAGGTCATCGGTCGACATGTGTCGAACAGTGGAGTGCGCGGGAAATTTGAAATAGCTTGAAACATTTTACGAGTTATTTTATTAGTTGATATTATTGATTGATATTATTGATTGATTCCGGTTTAATAAGGCAAGCCCGGCTTTTCGGCTTTAATGGAAGCTTCGCCACTGTGAACAACGTGAGTCAGACTATTTTTATGCCGTTCATACCTTATAGTAAGGTAATGATGATCCTGGGCCCATAATTCCTCAGGCCTCAATAATGTTTCGTCACTTAATTTCTTGCTATTAATATTCATCCTATATCTATTATCGTCACTACGTTGCTAGCGATACGTTTTGCTAGCAATGCAAATTTCAACAGTTCGTTGCGGTGCAAATTTTAGAGTACCAAATTTTTAAACATGGCAACTAATTAGCACCTATTTTGGCCCTTATATAATAATATATTTGGTAATAAGCCCCTAATTTTGGCTTTTTCTAAATACTGATTCCTGACTTTGCGTTGCTAGCGATACAGGGCTTATGTATGGTTAATTCGAGAGGTTTTAAAAGGTCAAAGAGAAAAACTGGAGTAGATAATTACAAAATAAAATAAAATATAATTTTGTAAAGAATTCAGCGTTAACCATTAATTTAGGTCTTCGTAGTAGAGAAAATCAATAAGATCCCAAGATATTATGTATATTTCAACAATATCTATAGGTACAGTTAGTATTTTACAAACTTTAAATTGCATTAAATAATACCATAACACACATCATTGAGTCATAATCAATTTGCTTCGGACGCCAATTCACAAATTTTATGCTTAGTAGTCTCAATTTTAGTATACAGAGTATAAAAAGATATAAGTAGAAAGAAAACATCAATACGTATTATCGACAACAAACTCGTCACATCGTAATGAATTTTATTGTTTATCAAAAATAGGTACATAATTTAAAGCCAAACATTAACATTAATTACATTTAATAAGATGTGTGACAGATTTTTAAGAGTGTGGAATGTTACCACAGTTCCCTTCTGGCTTCTGGTGGTCGAATTTTACATTATCATTGTTACTAAAAATACTTTTTTAGCTGCGGGCCGCGGGTTTGGATCCCGTACGGGACAAGTATTTGTATTGTCTACAAATAATTATTCCGGGTCTGGATGTTAGTCCTTGTGCAATTTATGTTTGTAAACTGCCTCCACGATACAGGAGAAAATCCTAGTGTGGGGGTAACGTTTTTTAAAGAAACTAAAAAAAATATTACTAAAGTGAAACACAACCGAATTACTCAACACATACTCTTTTTCTCGTTAAACTTGAAAACACTCTTAGACGTTTTGAGCAAAGTAACAGCCATTTACCAGTTATGTCAAATTTAGTTCCCGGTACACTCAATGGCAGCGCTTCAAATTGGCACAAAAGTGTTGTAGGGTGTACTTGTGAACTAGCTTAAATGCAGGTCAGTGATTATACACCTAGGGTTTAGTTTTTGCACTGGTCGACATCGATCAGGTGAACATCACCACCCTAGCACTGTTTACATATTTACTCATTCCAGAGAGGGAATAAGTACAGGAAATATTTTATCAAGCTCCAACATTTCAGTTTTCTAATTGTGCTTTTCCTTCGCCGTGTTGTGTAACATACATTAAAGAAATGTCTGATTAAGAACCTCCTTCTTTTTAAAGTGTCTCATAAATTAAGAATAACGCCAAAACCTGAACCACCTAGGTTCTGATTTTTTTATAAATAATTATTGTCACATATTTTTTAATGTTTTTTTTTAACCTGCTTTCATGTGTCATTGACGCAAGATTAAACATATTATATTTGATATTGTGATGGTACATTTTAATATTCAATTTTATCAAAAGGTGCTAAAGGATGTGCCGTCCAAATCGGCCACGGTACCTCGATCGTCGCACCCTCTGAAGCCTCCGCCAATTCCACCAAGAACAAATAACAGGGACTTGCAGAGGGTACGTGCGAGTATACTTTTTGACGTTTAATAGGTTTTTGGAAAATTAGATCTAAAGTAAGCACATTTGTGTTACATATTTTAATCTTTTGGTTTTATCACCACTTCCCACAGGTGGGATTGTAATCAAGCACTGGCTTATAATAAGTAAAAAAATATTATTCGTAATTTTACATTGTTGTATATTATAGTGTTACATTTACTGTGATTTATAAGTAGTTGCTCTTTTATTTTTTTTCAACAGATGATATTATATGCAATATTAATTTTTTTTTTGCTACATTACTACCAGTAATTTGACGATCCTTGCTATCAATTAATATACACATTTACTAAAATTTTAAATTTTCGTTTTTTTTTTTGGACAAAAATAGTATATATATATATATATATATATATATATATATATATATATATATATATATATATATATATATATATATATATATATATACACTTACACATACCCTTGCATTACTTATACACTACTTATGCAAATAAAGTGATATTTTATTGGCAAAACACAAAACAGATATTTTTTTAATATCTTTTATTAATGTTTATTCGTGACAGATAATAAATGATTTTAATGTCATATTTAAATACTTATGTTTGTGATTTTAGCTGCAAGACCCGTCAAATACAAGATCGAGCCACATCGACTGGCACTTAATGGATGTGGTGCCTCGGCTTTTGGATATCGTATTGATTCCTATAAAACAGCAGATGATGACACGTCAATGCGGCAAACCCCATGATCACGGCGAAATTGCCCAACAGGATCGCCTTGCAGAATTCTGTTGCAAGCTTGTGGCTAGAATTGTGGCTGAGCTTTCTTATAGTGCTACAGAGATCCGGGTAATATTTAATTACAATTAACATCGTTTTAAATTTTTATTACGCTTTTTTTAGTAAAATATTTTATTACGCTACTGAAGTGGAAGGCATAAAATTATTTGTGAGCGAACTTTCCAGGATTGATCACAAGCATGATGTCATTTTGGTTTGTCATTTTGACAGGAGGATCCAGACTCGAATTCCGTGAAACATTTGATCACACCGTCCCGCTTCATACGCGTGAATCAGTCCCGTGCGTGGAACACGGGCAATGGTAGTCCCGATGCGATCTGTTTTACAGTGGACCGGCCTGGAATCATGTTGGTGGGCGCTTGCGTTTACGGCGGCCTTGGCAACTATGAATACACGCTCGAGCTACTACACGATGTACGTATAAATTAACAATTAAATATATTAATGAATTGAAATTAAAGTTACACCCTTTATATGTTCTTCAGTTGGACAAACTTTCTCTCATTTCTCAGAGGGTTTTTGAGAGTCCACAGCGCTGCCTTAATGCATATTGGCGGACTTCACAAGTTTTAATTTTGTTTTGTTTCCTAGATATGCAAGTTTTGTCACAACGTTGTCGTTTACCTTCTAAAAAGTGTTAAGCTAGAACTTAAAATGTTATTAACAATTTATGACAGCGAAGATTGAATTTGGTTTTGTCACGTACTATTAAAGTTAAGGCCTTTACCCTAGACTTGAACTAAAATGTTAAAAATACATTACGTTCATGTTCATGTTCATTACTTTTAAACAATAGCTATTATATATGATTATCACTATATTATTATCGATATTAATATATACAAATCCTTGTGGAATCGACTACCACCAGAGATTTTTCCGGACCGATACGACTTAGGGACCTTCAAGAAAAGAGCCTACTCCTTTTTTAAAGGCCGGCAACGCATCTGCAATTCCCCTGGTGTTGCAGTTGCTCATGGGCGGCGGTAATCACTTACCATCAGGTGAGCCGTATGCTCGTTTGCCCCTCTCCTATAAAAAAAAACATATAAATCGACAGTTGTCGGGGCTTTTTATAATATTGAAGTACAAGCTATCATAGCCACTTATCATCTACAGTTCACCTAATGAGAAGACAGGTTATAATGCATTGTTAACCTTTTAATTAATCAATGAAATTATTGTGGCTACCTTAATCTATTTTAATTCGGAACAGAGCATTGATTGCACTGCTGTTTGTTGGTAGGAATAAATAAGGAGAGCAAACACATAGTGGTAGGATGTTTTAAAAATATTCTATACGGCTACCTTGAAAATAAAGTGATATTTTATTAACAGAGATTAGATATTTAGTCAGAGGATTAACATTTTGTTATTTGATTCATTTGTCAATTGCCCATAATTTAAAGTGTGTTGTGCGTGTAGTTAAGAGTTGCAAGCATAAATATTAAACATCCATGGAACATGGCTCCAGTTTATGTTCATTTAGTTACCCCACGAGAGAAGAGACCAAAATAGGTGAAAATCTGAGGGTGTAAGGTCGGGACTATATGGTGGATACATTAACACTTCTCAATCGAGCTCTCTAAATTTTTGCTGAATGACCAAAAATGTGTGTGGTCTGGCGTTATCATGATGAAAACCACTCCTTTTCTGTTGATCAATTCACATGATGAGTACACACGATTCATTGGGTTTCTTCCAGTAAGATCGCGGGTATTTTTTCCCAAATGGTACCCGAATTACGAAGATTTTTTTGTATAGCCAGACTTTTTCAAATGGGTCGAAACTGTTTTGTGATCAATTTCAATTCCTCGGCTACGTTTTAACTACTAATATGCCGAATTGCTCCACTTTTTCAAAAGTGACATCGACTTTATCCATATACATAACATCAAAATTCGCGAACTGAAAACGCTTAAACCAACGTTGTGCTACTCTTACTGACACTGCATTAGGTCCATAAACTTCTCAATTTTTTTTCGCGGCTTGAGTCGTACATTTTTCCCTTTTTTGTAATAAAACTTCAGAATGTATTGAATTTCTTCGTTATATTCATTCATTATTGCGGACAGAAAAAATGAAAAATGAGAGGCAAGGCAAGGTTTTTACTTTTATTTTTCTTTTTCTTAATGTCCTATATGTATTGTTATTAAAACCAGCCAGATACAAACAGTACAACCAAACAAATTTTTCTTCAATTTTATACAAACAAAATACGAAAAAACTTTTTCCCCGACCTAATATGTTTTTAACGGTTATTAAAATTATCAAAGATTCGCACCAACACGGAGGAACCGAAGCCGTCACACTGTTGGATCAGCGTTGAGGTTGTTCATGGATCGTTCGCCGGCTCAGACTGTCAGCACGACATAGTGCCCATCAAGTTTGAGCGACCAGCGCTTTTGAAGGTAAGTTCTATATTTCCGTTACAATTATCAAAGTGAACAAAAAGGTTAGTAATTTAATAAATATTTTACTAATAGGAGGAGTATCGGTACGCGCTCAGGTTGTGTAACCATGGCGGACGCACGGTCAACGGCGACTGTGGACTGCCGTCGGTAAAGGGGCCCGATGGCACTACCTTCCACTTCGCTTCCTGCTCACTTAGTTTCAACGGCACTACACTGGCGAGGGGGCAGATACCAAGTCTCATTTACTATGGGTAAGGACTTGTGTTGTTTGACCATAAACATAATTCCTGCTTATTAAAATTATTTTGTATATATTTTTGTTCTGTAGTAGAGGTATACTTGTTATTGTACCATGATGAATCAGTAACCACTGATCGCTTTAAGCGTGCATTATATAGTAGTACCATTACGACTGCTACTACTACATAATTCACGCTTAAACCACGCTACGGGTCGCTTCATCCATTCATTTTCCCCCTGTGAATAGAAACACATTACCCGCATGCCGTCATCCTCAAAGGCGGCCGCCCAACGGCGTCAGAGGCATCTCGCTAAAGCATTCCAAGGCGCCCATCGGCGACTTCGGCATGAAGTAGTTTTTATTGGTTTTTTAAGCAGAATGTAACTTTCACTGAGTGGGTGCAAAGTGTTTTATGCAAGTTATTAGAATAAATATCATTTTAATTGATTAACGACCGAAATAATAATGCAGTGTTCATGTGAGCTACTTATTCGTTTATTATAGAATATTATTATGTAAATATATATACTAAATATATTCGAAGTTTTTTTCTTCTTTTAAAGTACGGAAAATATCAACCTCTTTTTTAAACTTACTAAGCTTACTTTTCAATTTTATTAGTGAACTTCATATACATATTTATATTTAGGCTTAACTTCGATTCTGTAAAAACTTAATGGTGATCTTTCTTCTGTTTTTTCGCTTTTTTCATACTCAATAAAATACCAAAACAATGAGTTAGAAATCACTTATCGATTTCCTTTGTTTGAAATTTTTCTTTTATGGCTCATTCAATCAGCGCAGTAGTCCACCTCATAGCGACACCTATCATTTGTTCCATGTATTAGGCGTGCGCGATGCTGTCGCTACTTCAAGAATACGAGGTCTCAATATCATTTCTTCCACTTATTCATGGTCAGTACTATAACCAACAAAATTTTTATTGGTTTGAGTTAAAATCCGAACCAAGAAACTAACCAAATAACAAATTTAAATTCACGTGATTATACCAAAGCCAATTATGTATATGCTACAAACGACTTCAAAGCCATCGTGTATAAAAATGCCTATTTATATTATGTTTCTAGGTCGTTAGCTGACAATTAGTGATTTTGATCAAATAATATAAACACATATATTATATAAATAATACATAAACACTCACGCCTGTCACCCAGAGGGGTAGGCAGAGACTACAGACTTCCATTTGGCACGATCCTGACACACCTCTTTTGCCTCCTTCACATCCATACACCTACGCATACATGCTCGTCGGTTAGGGTACTCCTAATTTGGCCCGTTTTCAATAAATCGTCAATTTGGTCGTTTTCGCCTAGGACGTCCCTTTCCTACTCTGCCATTCACTTCTGCACCATAAATTTTCTTTGTCACTCTTTCCTCATTCATTCTTTCCACATGACCAAACCACTGAAGCATTCCTTTCTTAATCCTGGCCACAACATCATCTTGCAAACTACACTCTTCTCTTATTACACAATTTCTTGCCCTGTCATTCAGATTCAGCCCTAACATACTCCTTAACGACCGCATTTCTACTGCGTTTATTCTACTCTCGTGCTCCTTCTGCCACACCCAACTTTCACTATCATACGTTAAAGTAGGGACCAACACAGCATTGTGAATTGTCATACGTGCCTTTTTCGACACATTTTGACTCTTCACAATAGAGAGCAAGGCCCCATTTACTCTATTTCCCGCATTCACTCGTCGTTCTATATCCTTATCATATCTCCCATCCCTGCTAAATACGCAGCCCAAATATACAAACTCATCTACTTGCTCGATCAACTCCCCTTCTATTCTTATTTCACAAATCGTTTTACTTTCTTCTCTTTCAAAAACCATAACCTTCGTCTTACTTGCGTTCACTTTCATACCCCTTTCTTTTAATGATCCGTTCATTAATGTAACCATCATTTGCAACTCGGCCGCCGACGACGCAAGAATAACTTGATCATCGGCGTACAAAAGGCATTTGACGGTTAACTTACCCATTCTTAATCCGCATTCTTCAACTTTCAAATTTTGCAAACAACTGTCTATAAATAGGTTGAACAGCCACGGGGAAGCCACACAGCCCTGTCTGACACCTTTATAGATGTCAAACCAGTCCGAGTAGACCCCGTTGATCCTAACACAAGCACTAGAGTCCCTATAAAGAGACTCCAATGCCTGTATCAAGCCAGCGCTCAACCCAAATGAGTTCAGTGTTTGCCATAGCAAATCCATATCCACTCTGTCATATGTCTTTTCCAAGTCCATGAACGCACAAAAAACCTTTTGGTTTTTGGCCAGAAAATTCTCCGCGATCATGCGCATGGAAAAGACTTGATCTGTAATCCCATTACCTTTCTAAATCCCGCTTGCACATCCCAAATTTTTCCGTCAGTTTCTTTCATGACCCTTTCAATCAGTACCTTAGCATACAGTTTTCCCACAATGCTAAGAAGGCTGATGCCACGGTAGTTTTTACAGTCCTGCTGCGACCCTCTTCCTTTATATACTGGGACTATCACGGCTTTGCACAAGTCTACCGGTACCCGCTTCAGTTCCCAGCATAAATTAAACAAGGTGTGCAGCAGGCCTGCCACCATTTCCTCTCCATTTAGCATTTCGAGTGAAACTCTATCATATCCGGCAGCCTTACCTGCTTTCATGCTTTTCATTGCTTTCATTATTTCATCTATACTTATCTCGCTACCTCTTTCCTCTTCTTTCGGTGTTTCTACTTCACTTAGTTCACACGTTGTCTCCTCACTCATAAACAAGCTTTCAAAATATTTCTTCCATCTCTTTAAACTCAAAACTTCAAATAACTCATTATTTATTAAAGGCACCGATGGGCGGCTTCGGCATGTAACCTTAAAATCAGTATTTTTATAAATCGCAGATATCCACAGTCCGTTTCGAGTATAGCTATAGATTATTGTAAAATGTAACTTTGAAAAAATGGTGTTTATATTGTTGTTTGACCAAGAAAACTTTAAAAGTGAGACGCCGATAGACGTCCTCAGCATGTGAATAAAGGTTGTCAGGCCACCCATGAGCGCTAAAGGCCTTGAATGGGTTAAACTTTACCTGCAGCAAATATGCAGTAGTTCATTAGTCAATTGTCGCCCATTGACGTCTACTGAATATCCACCAGTCAATCGCTTACTGTATATCTATTTGCTGTGAAGAGTATGTGTAACACTCATTAACAACCAGCGGAACAAAAAAACAGACATCAAAAACAGGTAATATTATTACAATAACTTGAGGACACTATTCTGCATTTATTTCTATAGCAGATTATTCCTTCTACTACGATGGCGAATCTTAGAATAATGTCTGTCGTCGTTAGACTGGCATAAAAATGTTAATTAGCATATCATCATCACTACAGCCCCTCACAAGTCCACTGCTGAACATAGGCCTCCCCCAGGGAATGCCACTAAGCACGGTCCTGAGCCACTTTTTATACGCGGTAGAGCCATGCTGCAGCTATATTATGGTTGTAGAACGAATGGTCCAGGTCGTCACTCCATCTAGTGGGGGACGCCCTACACTTTGCCTGTCGGTACGAGGCTGCAACTCGAGAACCTTTTTTCATCATCTGTTATCGTCTCTTCGCGCTATATGACCGGCCTATAGAGATATAATTAATATAGAGATTGATAATATTGTTACGTGTGGAGTGACCTGACCTGAACCTCGTTTAGGTTGAAAAATAAATGTATTATTTTACTAAAACAGCAAATGTTCTTCTGCTTATGCTTCTGCGGTTGTTGTCCTTAATAATCATAGTTGAGGTAGGTCGATTGGTCGTAGACGCTTCTCAGAGTAGGGTTTTCGAAATATCTAATTCTCCGGTCGCCGGCACACGCTTTTTTACTAAATAGGGGAAATATCTATTAAATTTTATTTCCCTATCATTGGGAAAGTATTAGAACACTCGCGATTAAAATATGTCAAAGGGAGAAAAGGTTTTATACACTTTAGGATAAGGTTGCGTCTTGCTTGCGTCACTAATCAAGAACATTGTCTATTCTTAGCATACTTGTATTTACTTGACAGAGGGGACCCTTATTATTCAAACGTAAACATTTATATTATATCTAATATTTCTATTGTAATTTCGAACTTCAGGAGCATTCTCGTGCAAACGTGATGCAACACGTAACTGGCTATCGTTATATTATGTGTAAAGTAATTATTGTAAAATTGTTAAAAAAAGTTTTTTTTGCTTCCACAGGACAAATTCGCTGACGAACGCGCCCGAGAGTGCGGATGCCATAGCGTCTACGCTGCGTTCTATGACGCTTCGTGTTTCTTCGATGGTATTGGAGCGCGAAGCTGAACTGCTCTGTTCGTTACGTAATGAGCTGACTGAGGAGGACCTACGTCGGAACGCAGCTGTACTGCAGAACTCGCCCGCGGTCAATATACTGCTTCCGTACACACTCGCTAACCTCGATGGGCTCGACGATGCTAAGGTATGTACTCTTAGATCAGAATACCTGGCTACTATGTTATTTGATACGAAACTTTGTCAAGAAATAGTAGTTATATAGGGATAATATATAGGGAGCATCGTCAATGATGGTACATGTGGTACTGCCACTGCCAATACGCCTGCTTTGCTTGGCGAATAATCTTACGCATTACAAAACACGCCCAAGTCCATAAGAGAATGAATTTAAACAGATAAAGAAGAACATTTAGATCTTACATTATCGTAACAGTAGATATGTAAGAGTAATATGCATGACTTTTTTTTAAAGTAACAAATAAATGTTCATTGTATGCATTCTGAAACACTGCAAACTACCTAATAGCACGAAAGAGTCAGAGATAAGGAAAAAATAAAAGGGAGAGAGAGGCGCTGAGTGGAGTATATTTGCGATTTTTAGTATTACGGCTTATGGAAATCGGAAGATTATGTTTTTTGTTATGTTTGCATTATTTCTTTCAAAATAAAAAAAATCAATAGCGCACGAGAATGTCAAGTCAACGTTTTTTTTTCCAAACTTTGTAACCCTGTCTTACGTAAAGCTCAAATCGCCAGATTTTATAAATGCACTCTTTTTAGCTCGTAATTAACCCACCTTACCTTAATCCGACGCGCTTGATTAAATCCAAAAAATTCCCTCTTCGGCTCCCCAACTTATGAGGCACATTTTAAAAGCAACGCCAGGGGGGGATTTAGGCTATATTTTATCCTAAAATTATAAGATCTGTTTTTGAAAAAAAAAATTAAAACCTAAATGGACTTTCTTAAATCCACTTTAAATCCAAATAAAGCCACATTAATAGATCCCATCCAGAGGAAGCCGGGGCGGATTAGTAGTAATTGATAAAATTAAATCCAATCCTAAGCATACCACTGCAAGAACTCAAGATACTATAGCAACTTTTTGCGTAGATCGCACTAAAAATTTGTATTTAAAAGCTGATGAAGGTGGCTTTGGTTAACAAAAACATTATCACGTCAACTTCAGTGCCATTTGTGACTATGAATACTATAAAGCGCCTGAAACGTCGAAATTCAAAACAAAAATAAAAATTATATTTGATAAAGTCCGTTACGTTGGTATTATTCTTGTGTGTTGTATTCAAATATATATATATATATATATATATATATATATATATATATATATATATATATATATATATGCCTATGTAAAATATATGATTGTGTTAACTTTGAATCGTGTTCTCAGACCGCAGTCAAACTATTGGAGATGATTCACAAGATACTACCCCACGTGACGGCAATAAATCTGTTGCTCCCAACCGCTGAGGAACCAAATACAAACAATACTCACTACTACACATGGGTGGAGAGTGACCACCCATACAAGCAGGCTACTGTCACCAATATGAGGTAATTACTGCTATGACTTGATTTTTGTCATGGCGATTCTGAATCTCGACCACGGTGTCAGATACTAGGTAACCAACTATAACTAAAAACCATCCAGTTGACCCCATAAGTACTTAATAAAAATTTCATCAAAATCTGTAAAGCCGTTTAGGAGAAGAATTAAGAACACAAGCACGTCAAAATTTCGTTTCTCTGCGCGTAAATTAAACATCATCGTTACAGCCCCTCACCAAGTCCATTGCTCAGCATAAGACACCACCCCATTTAGTGGGAGGCCGCCCCACACCTACACTTCCCTTACAAGTAGAGACTGCTACTTGAACCTTTCGTTTCCACTTTAGCTTGATATTTGATCCAGCCATGTTAGTTATTCTGGTCCTCATTACAAATTCTATCACGCAGAAAAACTCCGAGCTTAGACCTCTCCATAGCTCGTTTGGACATTCTTAAGTTTCCTCATAAGGTCAGCAGTAAAGAACCACTTTTCGGATCCATGACATCACTGGCAACAGTCTCCGGTTGTGTACGCTCTTTAAATAATTCTTTTTGAGTTTTGAGGAATGTTAAACCGAACAAAAATGTATCTCTATGCAAAATTTCATTATATTTGCATTAGAGCCGTGACTTACATGTTGAAAGTTATTCTTAATATGAAAGTTTTTGTCTCTATGTTAATTCCAAATTTAAATAATAATAGAAGGGTGATAATTATAAAAAGAATAATAAGGAGATTGAATAATGGCATTTTATTGCACAGAGTTTTTTGTTTTTATTTTTACACTACCAATTCGCTTTATCTTGTAAAACTTGACATTGCCGCTGCTGTATGTTGATCTTTGTGGACGTCTATTTAAAACCTTTTTTCATATTAAAAATAAATGGGTAAATTCATCATCGGTAACACACAACGAATGTCATTGTAATAGTTTTTTTATCGTGAAATGTTACAACAAAACCAGTAATGAAGAATCACTGCGCAATATTGAAGATGTTCCTAAAGCACCTAGTTGGAAAATTTATTCAAGAAACATTTTCGCTGAACGTACTAAAATAGTTGCTGTTCTTTTGGTGTAGCGTTACAAGCATTTACCTGAATGGTTGTTAAACCGCCTGCCAGTGCAACTATCATATCTAATATCTATAAATATAGATAATGATAACGGTGATGATGACTGAAATATTAATATATTAAACATTTGTTTCGATTTAATTTGGTTGAACTGATATTGTTTTTACTTAAAAAATCACTTATATTATATTTGATTTCCATAGCCATTTTACAGTTAAACAGGAATTGACAATGATTCTATAAAATTAATAATATTTATGTACTGAATTTTTTAAATTATAATATAACTTTTTGTCTCTTTTAGAGTTCTTTTTCCATCAACGGTGTCTTGGGTTGTTTTGGAAATGGATCCTCGCAGTATTACTGCACAACCTGAAGACACTTTGACTATCTTTGCCGCCGCTGGTACCCCTAAACAGAAGTGTCAATGTGTACAAGAATCTCGCATCTCTGAGTCGCCTTTCCGCAAGGTATACAAGGTAGAAAATCGTTCATTCATTCATTCATTAACTTTAAGTCATTAATTTATGTATAGTTTTGTGTTCAATCAATTATAAAAAAAATGTTAACTAAGCAATACGATTCTTGTGTTGTATTCATTGAATGATATTAATATCATTATTAAATAAATTTTGCGATCCATTTTTCGTATAAGATGTATAATTTACATCAAACTGTACTGATGTAAACATTAAACGTATTGCAAAATGTAATTTTGAAATTAATAAGAAAAATTTATTATTATCTATTAAAATACTTGTCGATTTTTAGCCATAGATTATTGAATTTGAGTACATAATTTGTTTTTAATATTCTTTCTTTATATGGCAAATTACAGAAGGAAAAATTGGTCAAATTAGTACCATAATTTCGTCGAAAGGAGATTTGTTTACAAAATAACTGAACCACAGGTTTTTTTTGCAAATGAGACTTAAATTTTTAACATATTAGCTGTCACTCAGCCGTCATTCACATCATAAGTAGATCTAGCACATTAGTTGGCTCTAGTACACTCGGACACTGTACACTTAGTTTCAGAATAATATACATATTGTAGGCTTGCATTTTCACTGTATCCTGTCTTAGTTATACATAAATAGTTAAAGTATTATTATATTATAATAAGCAAGAGAGGAGAAAATATGATCCGCACGCCTTGAATTGCCAAAGCGGATTGGATAAGGATTCTTTTTATTTCTTATTAACAGGAGCCTTATAAACGATTATAAATCACTAACACAAATAATTACTCATGAATGAACCTAACACTAAAATCATAGAATATTATAATACACAATAGAATGGCTGTCAACCTTATTTTGTACGACGATCGGTGTCATCGGGAGCACACATACAAGCAATTGCGTCGTATTATCATTACTGCAAACCAGATTTACTGTGTTGACAGACTGAGCGAATTTACAAATTTTTGACTTTTGATTAATATTTTTGACACATCAAAATTACTTTATTTTTGTTTCTAATATTCACAAAATATAAATAGTTTTGACTTACTGGTTGTAGGATATGTCTCCTATATTTAAATTCTATTTCCCGCTGTTCTTTCAACACGTAATTATTGCACAATTTGCCATTTTTTAAATAATTTTCATGCAGCGACCCTTGACACGAAAATAGGAAATGATTGATTGTGTTGACATTTATACGTGTGAATTGACATGTTAGTAACATGTTAGTGGCTACACGGGCTCCGCCCACTCCCCCGTTCTATTGGGTATGTATTGTAGTATTCTATGACTTAAACAATAGTGGTGGTTTCGTGGGAGATTGAATTATCTCATTTTGTACAATGGGTGTCATAACTGACGACTATGAGAAATGTCAGAAAAATGTTATGGCATCCGGCAGATGGCGTAGTAACCATCTCAGTAACGCTAGCCACAAAATACCCAGGCTGGCGACGGAATGCTTCGTCAAAGTAACAAATCATCGTTCTGTCCGCCAATCCTTAGGATTAATCTAAAGTCTTACAACATGTGTGGCCCAAGTCCTGGTGGACTTTTGCGAGTTACAAAGAAGAAAAAGAATAATAATGCAATAATTAAACACAACTAACTCCACACATAAAAGGTCACATGTGCAATTTTACATTTGAGAACTTAAAAAAAGAACGTTAATTTGTTTAGTGGTTAGGAAAATGAACTTGTTTTATTTTAATTCTCATGAAAATACAATTGATTGCTTCATGTTTACTATATTGGGTTTTAGAATGTATAACTTCCATATATTTAATATATCAGGTTATATGTAATGGAAGCTCTGAAAATTAGAAGCTTGGAAATGTGTTTACACAGCAATTACAAAAAATAACGTAGCATTTAAACACTTCATTTGATGTCTAGTGCACATGAGTAATTTGTACAGTTTGGCAGAAGAGCCTTAACTCAAGTCTGAGGGCGTGCTTTAGATTTTATAATATGTGAATTATCTTAAATCAAACTTTAACGTAGTACAGCCACGCCACAGATTTTATATCTACAGCACGAATAGGTCGTCCCTACCGGGTAAAACTGCGCTCTCGCAAAATACCGCCGTAAAATAGCAGCTTTATGCTACTGTGTTTGTTATGGTGAATGTAGAGAACCGGAAACCTTTATTACTTGCTACATGGCATTCTACATTTTGATTCTTGATCGAAGGCAGTTGTAGGTGTCTATAGGCACCAGCAGTGGACTGCGTGCTCGTTTGTTTAATCTATATAAGGAAATCTTATTTCTCTCTTTCCTTCCGAGACTGTAGATTATTGCTTTTGAGGTTATTCTTTTCAAATTTTAGAAAAGAATCACCTCTGAAGTTAGCCGGGTAGTGGCGGCGGAAGAGAAACCTATCATTCTATTTCTTCATGGCTGTAAGAAATGCTAAGGAGGTTTGATGGCTAAATGGCGATGTAATCATCCCATTTATCCAGCTGTTAAAGCAACGGCAGCGTCAAAGGTGCTAGACGTATAGCGCTGCGATCATTAATTCGTCTTGCAAGCGTGACAATCAAGTGGTAAATCCCTGAACGATAAAGGTTGTCTAGATGTCCTGTTATAACGATAGAGGAGGATGTCCTGTAGGTTCGCTTTACTGGCTAATGAACAAGAAGAGGAAGAAAGTTAAAAAATATTGATTGGTTATTAAGTAAACATCTATTATTATCATGTGATGTTGTAGCGTCTCGTTCAATTAACGTCGGAAGAAGGTGAACCTGAAGAACTAAGTGACGAAGGGGATCCTGAATCCAGCTGCACCCACCATAACAGATCCTACATAAGCGTTATGCCGCGATTAGCTAATGTGTAAGTAGAATCTTAATTTGCTATATTTAAGTTTTCGTTTGATAAATGAATTTATTTCATTGTCATCTATTTAGGTGTGTAAATATAAAGATACATTTATTACATAACTGTGTACAATATGATCTTAGTACAAAAACATATAGTTTTAGGCTCAACAGTCTACCCATTTCGGATATGCAACAAGAATATATATATATATATATATATATATATATATATATATATATATATATATATATATATTAAAAGTTTGTATGCTATCTAATTAAGCATATTGCTCGCACGGATGAGTTTCAGTCAGATTTGGCATTGTTAAAGTTTATATGGAGAAGGAGTGCAGAAAACTAAAATTCATATATAACTAGCTACGCCCCGCGGTTTCATCCCCGTATATCACGGTTTCAAATCGCGCGACATGACACCTCGCTAAAAGAGTCGCTCGTTGCTTCGTATCGGGCGGCTAAGCGTGCCGAGCTGAGTGTTTAATTATTTTCATTTTTTATTATCTCTTAAACGGTGCATCCAAATAAAATGCTATAAAGAGCAAAGTTTATCTTCATGAAATTTTCTTGATCCATGTACTAACTTTCGTTTTTAAGGATTGATATGCCTTGCCTAATAATGACGCCCATAAAACACTTTTTAATTTTCAATATTGTTTTGTTACAATATTACTAATAGCATCTTATGTATAAGAAATAGGCATTGGTATCGCGGACTTCTTTTTAGAAAGAATAAAGATCAATATTTTTGTAAAACATTATATTTAGGTATTACTAACCATTACGCCAGCGTTCAATAAAGCAATTCGGGAGTGCTTTTTCTTTCGACTTGCTAAACAAAAATCAATATTTTTAGGGCAAGCTGAGAGGTTGATATGCTAGATAGCCTATTTATTTATTTATTTATTCACAAATTGCGGTACATGAGACTTGTGACTAAACAAAATATGCAAGTACTAACAATCACATCCACCTCGAAAGGCATAGCAATGAACAGGAGAGGGGCAGACACTCAAAAATTATTTTCCCAATGTATTCATTAATTCAATAATAACTTTTTTTAATAAGTATATTTTATAAAGAGCTTATGAATTAATTATTATTTGTTTCGGCTTTTAGGTAATCTGGCAATTTATAAATTTTATTACATTTTACTTTATTATAATTTTATGAATTTTAATTGATATCGGGTAAGGGAGCAGTCAAGTATTATGTAATGCAATTTGGGGGGAGGGGTCTTGCAAAAGTTACGATGCAATACAGGGGCTGGAGGGGGTTCGAACAACGCGTTACGTAACATTTTTTTAATTTAAATAAAAACTAGGGTATTAATCTCCCAAGTTGGCAACCCTTTTCGTTTATTTTTACGGGGAATCCCCGTGTGTTGGGGCGTAGCGCCTGTTGCAGGATCCAGCAGAACCTAATCTAGCGTAGTATATCGCTCACGTCCGTGAATCTTAGTATTTCTTGCAAGTGATTAATTGCGTGGAAGAATCCTACTGTGGAGTGCACTGAAATCTGTCTTTCCGGATATTTTCCTTCTGCAATCCCACAAAATTATTCAAACCCCAAGCAAGCTCGTGGTACCTAGTCAGTTAGACAAAGTATCATGCAAGTTTCACCACTTCTTGTGTGTGAAGTTTTTCGTTGATCTGTCGCCTCCTCTAGAAGGTTTTAAGCAGATACCTTACGATTTCTTATGCCCATGATTACAATCCGACCTCGTTCAGAATATGTCCAACCTGTGAGATCGCTTTCACATCGCACAATATTGTGCAAATGCACAGTCGTTACGTACATGGCAAGACTGCCCAAAACCGTCGTGAAAGTGGAGTACGGCCGCAGCGACTTGCCAGCACGGCAAATGAACTGCATTGTGCGCTGCTGTGAAATGTCGTCTGAGAATGCCGATTGGTTCGACGTAGACGTAGTTGATGCAAGTGGTTAAACAATACGAGAACCCTCTTTGGCTCTCCGGATGCCAATAATGAAAGAGTCTGAGTACTTAACTGACAAATTTGTGGACAGAAGAGCAGTTACTCCAATTGCATTACTTTGTTACATACCTACTTTTTTGAGCTATGTATTATGGCTGATATTATTTCAAATATTTTGTTAGGAATTCTTTTTTATTTTGACTAAAATGTTTTATTCATGTTAGGTTTACGTTTATAATTTCATTGCCAAAGGTTAAAATAAATATGTTATTTTACACAATTGTCGACTTTAGGTAAAAATGGTCACTTGAGTATTATGTAACCTTTAAGGAGGGGGAGGGGGGTACATAAAAAGGCTACGGCGCGTTATTGGGGGGGGGGGAGGGTCAAAAATCTTCTTCAAAAATTGCATTACGTAATACTTGAACGCCCCCTAAGTACCTGCACTGTATAATTTTATTTTAGATTTTGTTTGCTAAAGGTTATTTTTATAGCGAGGTATGTTGTGCTATGTCGCGTTTATGATTTTGGTGCAAAAATTAGGGTGCTTTCTCACAAACTTACACATTCTAATACATATAAGCACAATAATGTTAGAATATTGAGATTTTGAAAGTTAGCTCAGCTTTCTCTTCGTTTGATGTTCGCTTTTAATCTATTCGGTTAACTATAACGTGCTAAAATAAGTAAAAGCCCATTTGAATACATTACTATAAATTTTAATAGCCAGTATTACAGTGAAACAATTTCCTTTCGAATGTTGATCGTCAATTATCTTATGCGTAATTTTGTTACAGAATTTCTGAATATCCACAAAACGCATTTGTCGTACCGGGAAATGAGGTTATATTTTCATTGGAGACAGCCTCTGATTACCTGAGCGATTACAGCAAAACTGATAAGTGAGTATATTAAACTAATATTATTTCAATAAAAAACCTCAATTATATTTTCTGTCTTAGTTACGAAGAGTTCGTTTGTTTTAAATGTTGAGATATTAAAAATTCAAACATCTCGAACAACAAACCTTTTTTAAAAATGACATCAGTCGAAAATTGTTTTCAGTGAACAAGAGATATTAATTCTAAAAATGGAAAACTTTCTTTTATGCTAAATATATATTAAAAATACTTGTATGTCGTTTCAAACGCTCTCTTTTTAAATATGACTACCACAAATACTGTTTGATGTTTTTCACTTCATTAAATTTAACCTTGGTAAATAATATCTGATCTTTGATTTAATTGTTTTTAGTAATAAAGGCGACTGCCGTTACGGATTCCGTTGTCTGTGCGTGGGCTATGAGGACTCGCCTTTCACGACACAACGTCAGGGTCTCCTCTTGTTGGAGATGGAGCTGGTGTACGCCGGGGCAGCTTGCGCTTCGCGCCTCTTGGCACCTGACTTGGAATTACCATCAATGACCTTAAGTGAGTGTTTTATCAATAGGGGTTTTTGTTTAATTTAACTTAATCCATAGCTTTTAAGTCGAATTATAATGAAGTGTACGACTCTTAGCATTTGGCTGATAGAAAACAAGCCTTATTCAAACAGCTCAATCAAACACCAAAAAGTTTTAATTTATTTAATTTATTTCAACGTAGGGCGAAAAAATAGGTACCTAATCATTTTACAAGATGGTGACAGCTGCTGGTATGATTTTACAATGTTAATCATAGTGTAAATAATCTAACAGAGTTAAATATTTTGAAAAGATTTTAAGCTTTCAATTTTCTACATAAATTTTAAATTATCTGTAACCGGTACAATTCTTGCGATACGTACGTAACAGCGAATAGCGTCTCATTTTATATGATGAGCGATCAGAGCCGAAATGCCAATTCTGGTTAATGATACATTCCAGCTTTTAGGAAGTGTTTGTTTACCTCCCATACATCGACAACAAGACAGTTAGGGTGTGTCCAAATATAGCGCGGCATTCGAGCGCGGCTGCCGCGCGCGTCTAGCCACGCTATAATTGGACGAGGCCGCGCGCGGCAGCTGCGAGCTACCTGCTGCGCGTGGCGAACGCCGAACGGTTGGTGTTGGCTGTTGGTTCGCCGGTGGTTGTGTGTAGACGGACGTGTTTTATTAAGTAAACTGGATAGCGAAACAGCAATTCGTCTTACGGCGCCTCTACACGTTGGCCAACACAGTGGCGAATCTAGTGGCCAATAGCATTGGCTAACGTGTAGAGCGGGTGTTAGGGCTTCACTGGTATGTATTGGAACGATGGCCCGCAAGTTGGCGCGAGATCCGTGTGGTGTCGGTTTTTTACAAAAGATCAAAGGATTGTTGGCAGAGTTTGGTCGCCGCGTCCACACGTTGACCGCGAGTTTAGTTTGCTACAAGCTCCCAGAGTGATTACACGCATCTGATTAAAATTTTATATTCACGCTTTGTAGGGTGGATGGCCCAATTACCAGCCTTTTAGTGCCAATTTCAACTTTAAACATTCCTACTACTTTAATTAGCGCGATTTAATTATTTTAAAACATTTGTTTTAATCGATAAGCTATTTATAAAAAAAAATTAACATTTATTTACAATCAGATTATTACGAGAACAATTTTAAAATGAAAAAAAATGAAGCACGTCGTTTATACGTGGTAGAACCATGCAGTTATATTAGAAGTATAGTTGTAGCACGAATGGGTCGGTTCGACCGGGGAAGGACCACGCTCTCACAGAATATCAATGTAAAATAGTAGCTTAATGCTGCTGTGTTTCGTATAGTGAGTGTAGAGAACCAGAGACACTTTTTAAAGGAAACGAGGCATTCCATCTTAGTCTTCACGGATGACAACGCATATGCATTTTGATTCGTAATCGAGGATAGATGTAGATGTCTATGAGCCACAGCAACCACTTAGTGTAGGTGGACTGTGTGCTCGTTTGTCACCATATCCTATATAAAAAACGTCGACTTCTTATAATTCAATCGTGCAAGTTTTCGAATCATCATCATCATAGCAGCTCTTCACAAGTCACTACTGAACATCCTCCTCCACAGACTGCCGCAAAGCATGGTCCTGAGCCACTTTGCTCGTCATGAGTTTTTCATTTATGTTCTAAGTTATAATTAGTACCTATTATTAAGTCAGTGTTAATTATATTTATTGCTATTGTTTTTGTCTTTCTCAAAAAATAGTTAAATTACCAAATAAATTATAAGGCGTTTTTTATATACATCAAATGTCTGATAGAAAAGCAAGTACATGTTTTGCTAAACTTTAAAAACAAAACCCAATTTTAAAACATAGACTAATCGATTATAACTCCTTTAACTTTAAAATAAGTTAAGTTCTAATTAATGATATTTATTCCAGTTTCTGATGCATGTAAAGAATAAATAAACCTAATCGTATATCGTATATCTATTTACAGCCCCATTAATATCCACTATTCTTTTATAATTAGTTTATAAAAACGTAACCCCCACACTTGGATTTTCTCCTGTATCGCGGAGGCAGCTTACAAACATAAATTGCACAAGGACACACATCCAGACCCGAAACAATTATTTGTAGGATATACAAATACTTGTTCCGTGCGGGATTCAAACCCACGACCCCTGGCACAGCCACTCATTTCCAAGCCACTGCCCATGGAGCCGTCGTCTAAAATAAAATAAATTCGTCCGCACATTGGCCCGAACCGAAGTAAACTGAACGACCTTCCAACGTGTGGACGCCTTCACCAACTCTCGGCCAATATATACGCCACTACATTCGCCACTGTGTTGGCCAACGTGTAGAGGCGACATTATTGAAATATATGGCTTCTATAGTTCCATTATGGGATGCTAGACGTAAACAATCTATATATTTAATAAATCGGTAGAAAAGTCGAGTCTGTAATTCTAATATTTTCTGGAAAAAACAAGTCCAGGGGGCTAAATAAATCCACTGAAAAAGACTACTGGAGCCAAATTAGTGATTTTTAGAATGTGTGTCTGTCTGCCTATTTATTCAAGATTCACGCGAAAACTACTTAACAGATTTCCATGAAATGTTGTGTTAGATAGTTAGGTAGGTAGTTACTTATAGGCTACTTTTTATCAGATTACGAAATTATAAAAAAGGAGGGTTAAGTATTTTCCTTCCTTTAGATGTTAATTTCTATTTTATACGATTGATGTGTTTTATTAAAATAAATAAAATTATTTATAAACAAAATCCAAAATAAATTTAAAAAAGAAAAAGAAACGTGTAAAGAAAAACGTCGCAAGGAAAACCTGCATATCTGTAGAAGTAAAAAATGTTTCGGAAATCATTTTTACTGCATATTTTTATTATTTTGAGCTTTGATCAGAGAGACGCTGCTGTCCATCTTACGTAGATTTCTACTCCTGGTCACGAATTTAATTATTTTATTTATTTATTTTATTCTTTATTGCATCCTTAAACAAAAGAATACAAAGGGCGGACTTAATGCCTTGAGGCATTCTCTACCAGTCAACCCATTATTTAATTATTCTTACACGTTCACCGTTTACTTTCACTTTACACGTTCGCCGTAAATAGAACTATATTTATGAAATTTCAAAAACTACTCGAACGTAAAAAAAATATTGGCATGTGATGCTAAACAATATTCAATGGTACCAGTATTAATAAAGACAATGAAATTAAATCTTATTTTATCAAAACTATAGCAAACTTTAATTTTGCATATTATATAAATAACGCATTTCCGATTCCAGGAAAATTTTCCCTTCATAAAAACGTATCAGAAGATATAAAAAAAGGTGTTGCTTGACCTATGATATTATTACGATTCTGATAATCTGTTTCTGTAGCCTATAATAATGCCAATATAGACACAGATACAGACGCGTCTCTACAAGTGATCCAGTTTTGCTAATTTTAGTACGAAATAGATTTTTCTAAATTCAATTGATGTTTCTAAATTCAAGCCCACGTGAGTGAAGCCGCGGGTAGAAAGCTAGTATCACAATAATAATGTAGGAGGAGATTTATGGGATGAAATAGAAAAAAATTCGTACAACCAAAAGCAGCTTTAAAATTGAAAATGAAAAATCTTTTAAGTTCTTATAGAAGGGAAAGAGACAGAGAAAAACATAGGTATTATATTTTATTAACAGTACAAAAAGTTAAACCTTATTGTATCCTTTTAAAATATAGGTATTTCCAAAATACCTTTCTTTGTAAACTTATTACGAAAAAACGGTAGGGCTATCTCTTTAAAAATATATATATTATAGAACCGTTCCTTAGCATTAAAAATATGTTTTTATCTTCGGTTCTTGGGCTACCTTACCTTTTCTCTAATAAAAATCATAGTGAAGGCAGTTTTTACTAGAGCTATTTTCATGCGCAGCAATGCCGCGCAGTAGGTCTAAACTAGTCGCTAGGCAATTTGTGTCCCGCGAATGCCGCGCGTAGCTGTCGCGCACCTTGCGCGTCGTGGTTGGACACACCCTAAGAGTACCATGTGCATGTATGCGTAGGTATATGGATGTGGTGGAGGCGAGTGAGGTGTGTCAGGATCGTGCTAAATGGAAGACTGTAGTCTCTGCCTACCCCTCTGGTTGACAGGCGTGAATGTTTATGTATGTATGTATGTACATCGACACTGGCCGTAAATTGACAATTGATAAACATTCTCTTTGGAGGATTTAACTTAATCGCTTTGCTTAGCGGGTGGATTGTTAACCGCAGTACTAGAAGTCTTGTTTTTATGTGTATTTGACTTTTCTGATCTAATCATAGACATCATACATACATACATAAACACTCACGCCTGTCACCCAGAGGTGTAGGCAGAGACTACAGACTTCCATTTGGCACGATCCTGACACACCTCTCTTGCCTCCTTCACATCCATACACCTACGCATACATGCTCGTCGGTTAAGGGTACTCCTAATTTGGTCCGTTTTCAATAAATCGCCAATTTGGTCGATAAATTTTCGCCTAGGACGTCCCTTTCCGACTCTGCCATTCACTTCTGCACCATAAATTTTCTTTGTCACTCTTTCTTCATTCATTCTTTCCACATGACCAAACCACCGAAGCATTCCTTTCTTAATCCTGGTCACAACATCATCTTGCAAACCACACTCTTCTCTTATTACACAATTTCTTACCCTGTCATTCAGATTCAGCCCTAACATACTCCTTAACGACCGCATTTCTACTGCGTTCATTCTACTCTGCTTCTTCTGCCACACCAACTTTCACTGCCATAGTTGTAGACCAACACAGCACTGTGAATTGCCATACGTGCCTTTTTCGACACATTTTGACTCTTCACAATAGAGTGCAAGGCCTTTACTCTATTTCCGCATTCACTCGTCGTTCTATATCCTTATCATATCCCATCCATGCTAAATACGCAGCCCAAATATACAAACTCATCTACTTGCTCGATCAACTCCCCTTCTATTCTTATTTCACAAATCGTTTTACTTTCTTCTCTTTCAAAAACCATAACCTTTCTTTTAATGATCTGTTCATTAATGTAACCATCATTTGAAACTCGGCCGCCGACGACGCAAGAATAACTTGATCATCGGCGTACAAAAGGCATTTGACGGTTAACTCACCCATTCTTAATCCGCATTCTTCAACTTTCAAATTTTGCAAACAACTGTCCATAAATAGGTTGAACAGCCACGGGGAAGCCACACAGCCCTGTCTGACACCTTTATGGATGTCAAACCAATCCGAGTAGACCCGTTGATCCTAACACAAGCACTAGAGACCCACAAGGTGGCGTGTTGTCTCCTCTATTGTTCTCTATCTTCATCAATTCGATCTGTTCCCACATAACTTCTCTTTACCACCTATATGCAGACGATTTACAAATCTACTCTCAATGTAAGATTGCGGATCTCCCCAATACAATTAGATTAATTAATGAAGATCTTATTCGTGTTTCTCATTGGTGTAATTCATTTGGGCTTAAAGTTAATCCATTGAAGACTCAAGCCATTATTATTGGGAGTTCGAAATTAATCTCTCGGTTAACTTTGTCGCTGCTCCCGCCAATCATATTCGATGGGACACTTATCCCATACAGTGACAAAGTTAAGAATTTAGGTATTATGTTCGATCAGACTTTGTCTTGGGGACCGCAAGTTAGTGAAATAAGTAAAAAAATGTTTGCCGCAGTTGGTTCACTTCGAAGATTACGCAATGTTCTCCCCATTCCTACTAAAGTTGCGCTGGCTCAGTCTCTTCTTTTACCGATCCTTGACTACGCGGACACTTGTTATCTTGACCTAACATACGAGCAACTTAATAAACTTGAGCGGCTTCAAAATTATTGCATAAGGTTTATATTTGGGTTACGAAAGTATGATCACATATCCGAATTCCGCCATAAGCTCAAGTGGCTCCCGATTCGTCTTCGCAGGAATACTCACATTCTTCATCTTCTTTACTGCATTCTGTTCAATCCGACCACTCCTTCTTATTTGAAAGACCAATTTATATATTTAAGTAGTTTACGATCTCAAAATAATCTCCTTCTAAGTACCCCTAGACATTCCTCTTCCTTCTATTCTAATTCTTTTACGGTTACCGCTATACGACTATGGAATTCTCTCCCCTTACATATCAAAAAATCTAAATCTCTTCCTATATTTAAAAATAAATTAAAACTTTATTACCTTTCCTCTTAAGTTACTACCTGTCGTCATTCATTTTTAATCATTTATGTTCTTCTATTTATCTTTCTTTATCATATTCTGTACACCCCTTCCGCTATCTTTTAAAATAGTATCCTCTGCCCTAAGGTTGCCTGGAAGAGATCGCTGTTTTAGCGATAAGGCCGCCTGTTGTACCAATGTCCCTTTAAATATATAAATAATGTAATATGTTCTTTGGTGTACAATAAAGTATATTTTACTTTTACTTTACTTTAGAGTCCCTATAAAGAGACTCCAATGCCTGTATGAAGCCAGCGCTCAACCCAAATGAGTTCAGTGTTTGCCATAGCAAATCCCTATCCACTCTGTCATATGCCTTTTCCAAGTCCATGAACGCACAAAAAACCTTTTGGTTTTTGGCCAGAAACATCGCGATCTTGCGCATGGAAAGGACTTGATCTGTACATCCCATTCCCTTTCTAAATCCCGCTTGCACATCCCAAATTTTTCGATCAGTTTCTTTCATGACCCTATTCATCAGTACCTTATCGTAGAGTTTTCCCACAATGCTAAGAAGGCTGATGCCACGGTAGTTTTTACAGTCCTGCTGCGACCCTCTTCCTTTATATACTGGGATTATCACGGCTTTGCACCAGTCTACCGGTACCCGCTTCAGTTCTCAGCATAAATTAAACAAGGTATGCAGCAGGCCTGCCACCACTTCCTCTCCAGCCATTAGCATTTCGAGTGAAACTCTATCATATCCGGCAGCCTTACCTGCTTTCATGCTTTTCATTGCTTTCACTTATTATACTACTGCGTATGGACCGGGTCATTGACAAACAAAATGGCACCGACTCATTGGTGCTAATATGTTTATGTAACATCAACGTCAGCTCATATGTGTGCCGTGCGTCCGTGCAGTGTTTCCACTTTTAGATATTTTACACTACGAGGGCGGCACTGAAAATTTCGGGAATCAAGGAAGTGACAGAACATTACTGGTTAAAAATGTATTTATTGCTTTTCGAAGTATTCTCCGCGAAATTTGACACATTTTTCCATACAATGGAACCAATCATTGAAGCAACCATTTCACTCGGAAGTTGAGGTCTCCAAAATGGCCGTTTTGTAGGCGTCCACAGCTTCTTCAGGCGATGAAAATATCTGTCCACGCAATTTATTCATTATTTTAGGGAAAGTATAGAAATCATTAGGGCTTAGGTCAGGGCTGTACGGCGGACGGTCTAATAATTCTATGTTTTCTTGCTCTAAAACCTCTTTTTGTTCTGTGTGCGGTGTGAAAACTCGCATTGTCGTGATGGAGGATGATGCGGCGGTTGCAGTTCTCTTTACGGAGTTCAGAAACGATCTGTGGCAAACATATGCTAGCATACCATTCTGCATTAACCGTTCTTTGTCCCTCAAGAGGAATAGTCGTAACATGGCCGGTTTTGGAGACAAACGTGGCCACCATTTTTTTTGCAACACTCTGTGAACGAACAATTTTTGTTGGCTTTAACTCATTTTCGAACACCCAAACTCGTGACTGGTTTTTTGTTTCGGGTTCGTACGCGTATATCGAGGATTCGTCACCTGATACGATGTTGTATACAGCATATGAGGATCCTACGTGGAATCTTTCAAGAGTTCTGACGCACCAAGTAACGCGAGCCGCTTTTTGCTCTTCACAGAGCGAATGCGGTATCCATCGGGAAAACAACTTTTTTACACCTAATTGTTCATGCAAGATTATTTGTATTTGACTCACGCCAATTTCTAAAGTTTCCTGAATTTCGCGGTATTTCACATGTCGATCTTCCTCAATCAGCTTACGCACAGCATCAACGTTTTCTTGGGTGACTGCAGTTTTTGGACGACCTTGACGGGGATCATCACTAAGCTTGACACGTCCACGTTGAAATTCAGCAAACCTAGCTTGCCAGGCAGACGTTTTTCTGCCCTTTTCGACGACCCTTTGTCATGTCTTATTAAAAATCTTTAAATTCGCAAAAGAAATAAATTGTGGGTCACTCATGGGCAAAAAAAGATCCTATCTCTCAAGTTGGACTAAACTGCACACGGTGTGCAAATTTGACCGAAATCGGTTAAGGAGTCCAACGCGGACAAACAACGTGACACGTAATTTATATATATTAAGATTAAATATCAATGAGCGTTTCATTAATAAAATATATATATTTAATACTATAAAGCTATTGTTTCTCTTTACAATGTAGCTTCCTTTCATTTGATGCACCTGCGTTAGAAGCTGCGTGATCGGAATATTTTCTTATAGGTGGAGAGATACATTGCGACCTCGAAATACAGACGTAGAATACTAATTCGTTTTATTTACTCAGTGAAATGTTTGACCTTTCGAAAGATTGTTTACGATATAAGTCGATAGCCCAAGTTCGCATTCTCATGATTAACGTTATATTTTGCTACAATGATTAGCATTAAAGATTTAAAAATTTATCCTACAATAATCACAGCATATAGACTTAGTTTAGCTTTTTATGTCTGTTGTAACATAGTAGCCATGCTACAGCTATATTATGGTTGAAGCATGAATGGGTTGGCTCGACCTGGGTAGGACCACGCCCTCACAGAATACCAGCGTAAAATAGCAGTTCAACGCTGCTGTGTTTCGTATGGTGATTGTAGAGAACCGGAGACCCTTTTACTGGAAACGAGGCATGCCATCTTAATACTCAGGAGTAGCAACGTATTTTAATTTTGATACTCAATCGAGGATAAATGTAGATTTCTATGGGCCGCGACCTCCGTTTGCCATCAGGTGGACTGTGTGCTCGTTTGTCACTTTTATTCTATAAAAAATGTCAATCTTAATTAAGAACTTACTTTTTTTGATTCAGTTTTGAGTTTTAATTAATGAAATAGAATTGAAATAGATTTTGATATGTAAAATTGATGCGTTTATGTGTATTAAATGTCTGCTTGTGCGATGTTGGTATAAGCCTAAAGTTATTTTGTTCACTTACGCTCTTTAAGGACCTGACATACTGTTGTCATCGATTGTCTGCTAGACCCTCGTCACAACATAAAACTTCGATATGCGGCACATCAGCATATTTTGTAGAAGTTTTACAAAATATTTTAAAGAATAATTTCTGACGAGTCCGTAACTAAAATAAAAACAAGCTTTTTATAAGCCAAGTTTATAGAAGTTTGAATACCTATAGTTATGCCATATTCTTCTATATGTAAAAATATCTAATACCCTTAGTAATACAAAGCAATAAACTTACTAGTTTCGCAAGGAATAACATTTTGATGTCTTTCACAGTGACCCTCACTGACATTCAAATCATGACAATGTTGGGGAATCCGCGAGAAGGCGACCCTCCCTTGGACAACACCGAGCTATATTTTATACATCGTGGCTTGGAGCTATCTTTACCACCCACCATCCATCAAGTGTTGGATGGACAGCCACTGCCGCGGTAAGTTTTTTTTTACTTTTTACCAGATTTTTTTATGACACGAATATTCATCGCTAGTGAGATGTATGGCATTTCACTAAATTATCTTCAAACTGACAATATAAATCAAAACCGTCCTTATCGTCGGTTTTGTTAATTAAGTAACAAAAAAAAGAATGTGATGTATTTGCATCGGCATCTGTACACTGAGGATTAAAATTGGATGCCCTGTACAGTAATATCACTCATCAGACAGCAACACCAACTTTTTTTTTAATGTTCTCGAGAGCCTGATTTCGATTAGACGAGCCGTCGCCACCATTTTGATCTGCAAGGAGCAACCTAAATGGAGCTTTAAGGTAAGGATTTTTTATGATTCCGAACACGATAATCCTTGAGGAAAATATTTGGACATTATTGACATTATTTCTGTATTTAGGTCTGAAATGTGCAGTCGATAAAATGATAAACCTCTCTTAGCCTTATTTTACAAACGAAGACAAAAGAAACAATATAAGTATTTTGTTGCTTACACCAACTTAACAGTTCACTGCTATTTGAGATGCTGCACTAAGTTAATTTAAACAATTGGGAATCTACAGAATAGAATGGAATAGAATATTTTTTATTCAATATAGATTATTTACATCGTGTTGTAATTCTTATTGAAAGTCATTTTTTACTTCACTATTGGTTCGAAAAAAACCTCTGTCCTGGTAGCAAGAAAGCCAGCAAGAAATCCAGCGGAACTTTAAAAAATTTTACAATATCAGTGGTATCACAAAATATTTACAAAACGACCACCTCATTTCCAAGGTTTATTATCAACCATGTATTAATTTATATTATAATAACCCTTTTTATAGAGTTTTTGTTTATGTAGCTGCATCCCGGAACACGTGTCCAGTTTTTCAGGGTTTAATCCTACATATTGATCACTACTTGATATACGGTTATTAAATTTTGTCACACATATACATCACTACTTATACCTTTGGGTTTATAACCTTATTTATGATCATCAAATTTGTCAGTCGAAGATAGTATTGCTCGCAATTTTGAAAAAGCATGGTGTTCTACAAAATAGTTTGTATCTACAATATTACTTTTTAATGTAAGTTTATGTAAATTACTTTGTCATCTTGTATTTAAATGGTTTTCTCAAAGTAATCCGATTTTTTTTAATGAAACAGCTATTACACTGCTGGACAAGTTTCTTATAGTAGCGACCATTTGCGGCAGGCGCCCCGTTTCGCCGATGGTTTGGCGTACATACTACCTTACATTCAAACCGTTGATTGGCTTATAGCTTATACATAACAATGCGTTCGAGTGCATTTCGCATTCCACGACGATGGCAAGTTGGCGGGCGCCGTGAATTACTTCCTTATTAACGTCAGTCGACTAAACAATAAAGATGCGGGGAAACGGGAAGGGTGTCGTACTCCAGGTACGCAGTTAGGTCGACCGCGTTGTAAGGTTGTTGTTGTCACGCTATAGGAAATAACATAAGGTGTGTGTTCACAGTAGGATACAGTCCTATCCTTATACTGGTATATCATTATATTTACATAATTTGTTATTATTTTATGTGGTGCTATTGTTTTATTTTATTAAAAAATAGAATAATACAGATTAAATGGAGTGTGACATGACGGTGCCATGACAATAAACGTTTGACCTGAAAAACGAGTGAAGTTGACAGTAAACCCAATCCAATTCTCCATGCATAGTACTTTTTAGGAACTGTCAAAAAGATTACTGCAAGAAATCAAATAAGACGTAGAAATCGTATAAGAATAGCAGTAAATGATGACATAATTCCTTGTAGTTACGTAACATAAGTATATTTTTAATAATAAAAATATAGATTTTTTTATAGAATAAGGGTGACAAACGAGCACACAGTCCACCCGATGGTAAGTGATTACTGTGGCCCATAGACATCTGCATTTATCCTCGATTAAGATTCAAAACGCAGATGCGTTGTCACCCAGGAGGACTAAGGTGGAATGCCTCGTTTCCATTGAAAAAGGGTCGCCGGACCTCTACACTCACCATACAAAACACGGCGGTATTAAGCTGCTATTTTACGCTGGTATTCTGTGAGAGCGTGGTCCTTCCCCGGTCGAGCCGACCCACTCATGCTACAACCTTAATATAGCTAGCTGCACAGTGGCTCTATCGCGTGTAAAATATATACAAGAACAGAACAAGTTTTGGCAAAGCAATGGAAGGATCCATTACGATTAATGGAGGGATCCATTACGAACCAGCATTTTCCAAAGTCGCCATATACGTCACCCACGTATGTGGCGACTTTGGAAAATCACAAGGCTTTACTATAGATAGCGACAAAGTCGTCCCGTCTACGCAGACGTAACTTAGTCTGCGACGGAAAGCGTCAAAGATGCAAGCCGTCTCGTACTACAGTCGTCAAAAAGCCCGCCAAGCGTGGCGATATAGGCAAATCCTTACTCTAGGAATAAAGACTATCCAGCAGTGAACTTCGAAGGTGAAGAAGAATATTTTAGTATACATTTTAAAAGATAGTCGCTAATAAAATAATATTATATAATAAACTTGCGCAAGTGATATTTATACACATATCTAACAAATATTTTAGATAACGCTCTTTCATTTATATAAATTAAAAATAAATATATTTTATGACTGTATATTTTACATAAAATATTTTATAATATTGATGCGCTGTCCGGTATGTGAACGTCCGTGAAATTATTCTCAAGCATAATCTTAAGCACCATGCAATAAAATGACCTTGTTTATAATAGAGTATATATTATGTCATTATGACGATATTGACTTGTATTAGTGTAAAGATAAATCTAAACACACTACATACGGAATTCCGTTTGAGAATTCCGAAACGGAACGGACGCGAAACGAAACGGAACCCACACACATATGAAATCCCGTTTTGCCCGCGAAATTCCGTACACAAAACTACCGTAGGTGTGTGACGGTTCATTTATTTTATATATGGACTAACTGCGTTCGGAATCCCGAAACGGAATTCCGTATGTATGTGGCCAGCCTAAATGTAGAGATATATTATGTGTTATGTAATAGGTAAAAAAGATCTGTATACAAACGTTTGTATACCTATTAGGTGGTGGGATTTCTTTTATGCCTAGGACTCCGCCTGGGACCAGTCTCTTACCTATTTCTGTCGCCAAATGGCAGCGCTTGCAATGCTGTGTTTCCTTTTGTTTTGCGCCCGAAGCAAATAAGGTCTACCCTCCGGTAAACGGGGGGAGGGAGGTGGTGAATGCTCATAGCATACCCCGCTTGACTGCGTGGTTATGTGGAGACTTTTACCCACTAAACACCATTTTTTGAAATTGGCTTAATGATCTGGCCAGAGATCTTCTAAGCCGTATCGAACGCGACCCCCATTGGGAGAAAAGGGGGCGACGTCTGTGGGCATTCCATCTTAGTCTCTAGAGATGATGACAACACATCGCCAGCCCTTTTTATGTGAGGCTGCTGGTGTGCATGGACCGCGGTAGCCACTTACCATCAGGACTGTAGGATTGTAGGTCCCCTGAAATATATTATAAATAAAATATTTATAAATAAAAACATATTCGCTAATGCAGTAAGATTTGTTGGTAAACAAGCCAAAACATGATGTTGATCACACAACATGTACACACAACGTATCGCTAGGCCACTGAGAGATGTTTACTATACCTTAAGATGTATTAACAGATGCCAGACTGAATGTAAATTTTATCTGTTATCCTTATTATTATTGTAAGTCTGGTATTATTAGAGATGTTTACTCTGATTGTTGTTAGAGGCTACCTATCATATTATATTTCTGTTATTTCTCTTATGCTATATGATTAAACTAGCTTAAAGAGACTTATTTAACAAATTACCATAATACAAATGTTAAGAACTATACGCGAGCAACAGCATAAACTATAAAGAACAATTGCAAAAGGTATTCATTAAGTCTAGATGATTCGTATCGATATTATTTGAACAAATCAGCGTTATCGACGTATGTTGAGTCACATTCGCAAAACATCGCAACTGCATTATTCTATAGGAAGGTAGGTACAAATTGCAATATAAAAATAGTTAATATGCAATAGATTTATAATACACAAGAAGAATATGAGCACAATGGCAATAATAATATGCTTGTTTATAAATGGAAATAAAGTAAACAATATCTTTGTGTTTAACAGTTTGTACTTTTTATTTTTAATTAAATAAACAATGATTTTCCATCAATAACTTAGTGTTACTTTACGAGCTTAGCTCGTATTGCATAATACTGATAGACGTATAAACTAAACTTGGCACGATTACGGCTGGTATGAGGTAGAGCACTAACTTAAACAATCAGTCGCGGAATGTTTGACCCACGGCGCGCTCCTTAGATCCCAATCATTCAGTCACAAGTCTGTGGTAAGGAGTTCGGCTCTCTCGACTACTATATGAAACTCCGTTTCCCTGTATGTTTTTCCGTCCGGCATCACTATTTGCAATTTTTTCTTCTTCTCGTTTTCATGTTTCACTATGAAGAAGATTGAAACGGCTGCCGCGATGACTACAATTATCACACCCACCACCACATATATCCAAAAGTTCTGTTTAAACGTTCCACATCGACTGTCGACATATGTTGGTAATGATACATAGTGATTCTCTAGTTCATACCAACATGTGATGCTACCTCCTTGCTCTTTTAACACTTCACGCCATTGCTCGGCCAACTCACACGCACATTTAACTTTGAGGTTTAAACCATCAACCCTTAACGTTAAAGTTCTCCTATTGAAATTGAGAGATGCCGGATTTAAATACGTTACTGTATTGTTATCTAACACAAGTTCCTGTCGGCCAAGTATCGACAAAACATCCATATCGACAGTGAATCCGAAAAATGCACCTTTTTGTAATGTCTTTATGGTGTTATTTCTAAAAGTTATTGGTCCCCTAGATGTCAAATGAAACCCATCACCTTCCAGGGAACCGATAATGTTGCTTTCAATTAAAACTTTCTTTGGTGAATTGACAAGAAAAGCCAAGCTAGATAGGTGTTCAACGGTAACTTCTTTCATCCTGAACAAATTGTTGACTTCAACGTCGGATAGAAACCTACTAGGAAGCGTTCCTATTGTTCCGCCATGTAATATAAAATTCAATGTTGAGAACTTCTTAAATGATTGTATTTCAACATTGTCAAATATATTATTAGTAAGTTCTATATTTTTAACACCAGACAGACTAGAAAATGCAAATGGTTTGAGATTACTTATGCGGCTATCGCTAATAATTATGTCGTTCACTCGTCCTTGAATCGCATGTGAAGATATCTCGTTGACTGTACTATTATGTATGGTAATGCGTATTCCGGGGTTCATATCGCTGTTTGAAGAGAATGGCGACCATGCAAGAGAACGCTCATTAAATACCGCATACGCTACATTCCTAATCTCCACGTTGCGGAGCTGAATGAGTCCGCGGACGGTATCGGGTAAGAAATGTACTCGAGCGCACCCGTCGATTATGATTCCGGTGGCCGTTGATGGCACCCGATATGCACCGTCTGGTCGCAATGTCACCTCCTGCAAAATAAAAAGAGTACATTTCTATTAAAAACAAAGATTCGAAGTGCTGTATTAAATGAAACTAATTTTACAGATTTTATCGCGTTTAACTTTAACATTGTAATTCCTGATATTATTATTACGCTTTATTATTTTGTTATTATTACGATTTTTACGCTTTACAGCGCTCATGGTCACAGAACTGTTTGACTTCTTAAGGCATTAGTTAATGAAAACTACTTCAAGTTTTCTTTGCCCTGATCTATTCTTTCGTCTACGAGTATCACTACAACTAATTTACACGATCGTGTCGTTTGAATCAGTTGTGGCGAGCCACGTCTATATTCTACAAAGAAACATATTATAATATATATTCAAGTAAAAAAGAGGTAGGATATGTATTCATATTTTAAATATAAATTTGGTATATTTAAAGCTACAAGCAAGTACCCGGTGGCTTAATGCGGACTGCTAAAGTTGATAAACTAAACTTCAATCGGTTATTATTTGAACTGGTCGTGAATGCGTTCTTGAATAAGATTTAGTGGTTAACGGATACAAGTTATGTTCTTATTAGTTCTCATTTAGTTTAATTTAGTTAGTAGTTCTCAGTTCTCATTTAAAATAATGGGTGCGATTTTTGAATCTGCTAGTGTGAAGTTTGGTTGAAGTGATTTAATTCTACAATGTAAGGTTAAAGCAACGTTCAAATTTTATATAGGATTATTC